CCTGCCGGGGGGCGTCTCCTGTCCGGGGGGGTTTTCCACCCCCCCCCGGGGGTGGGGGGGTTGTTTTTTTCGCACCCACGGGGGGGCTCGCATTGTGTGTGGGGGTCCCCCCCCCCCCCCCCCCCCCCCTCCCCTGATTGCATCTCGCGGGCCAGCGAGCTACGTCGCGACGCATCGCATTTCCTCGGCTGCCCAATGGACTGACATGGTTGCAGCTTCCACCCCCAGGACTCAACGATTACCTCCCATGGAAACAATCGACAAACTCCTCCTTTGCCGGCGGCCCACCTCATCCTGCGCCTGGTGGTATTGCCGGCTGGTTCAACGATCGTGTTCGCGCTTTCAAGAACCGAAACAACCGCTCCGCGACAGGCGCCTACGAACAGCCCCTCGCCTCTGGGGGCGCGGGTCCTCAACGAGGCTTTGGGCCACTTGACCCGGACGAGGCATGGGATTCGCGCGTCGGGCCCGAGGCGGACAGATACTACGAGGAAAGAGCCGACACGAGCTACGGCGGCGGCAGTTACAGCATGAATCTTGCCGGGCCGTACGGTCGGGACCATGATGATGATGCGGAAGAGCGCGGCCGGAGTGGTCGCAGGGAAGGGGACAGAAACCCGTTCGATGACGACCATGAGGCGAACAGCTTGCGCGGCGTGAGCCCACGGCCAATGGATGGAGCGGGCGGCAGGGGGAGTGTTGACACACGGAGGTCGGCGTTTCGCGAAGATGTATAGGATCTGTCTGGCGAGGAAAGGGGCTCGTCGTCTCTAGTCCTGTACCGTGCAGCAGGGGATATGGGGGAACCCTCGCTGGGCCAGCCCAGACAGGGCACGATGATCACGAGCCGGACTTTGCAGCGGAGGAATGGAGATTGACGCGAGGTCAAACTATGGCATTGTGGTTAGACTTGCCTCAAGTGGTCAGTCCATCAGCTGAAATTTAGCGTCCTAGTCAAGGGACGAAGATGATAGCTGGTGTTTGGTGTATTTCTCTTCGTTGGAGTGCACTGCGGAGCACTTTGTTCAATACGGCATCATGAACAGAGGAGTCGGCGTTTCCTGGTCATTGCCTCATACAGATATACCTAGAGTATACAATTCCTTACACAAACGATGCCTATGAGTGTCAGTCTCTTACATACCTGGTAGCTTGCATGTGGAGGAGAACGAATGTAAGGTAGCCAGTTGCTCCCCCACGTTGGCACTGGAGCTGCCCCGCCACAGCTACGGCACATAAACGTCAATGGCCGCTCCTCCACTCCAGTTTCATCCTTTCCACGACAAACCACCTCAACCCAAGTCAGACTCGCTGGAGCAAAGACATTCGAAATGGGCGACCTCGACCTCCAAGCCATCCACGATGAGATGGTCTCCATCGCCTACGCCGCCGGCGCCATGATGCTCGAGGCCAACCCACAAGACATCGATCAAGGGACAAAGCTCAACTGTACGAGACCCCCTTCCCTCCCCAGAGACGCTGGCCACGGACATAGCTGATTCGTTCCATCAAAAAAGCCGTCGACATTGTCACAGAGACCGACCAGGCCGTCGAGAAGAAGGTCTCCTCTCGCCTCTCCGCTGCCTTTCCCAACATTGCGTTCATGGGCGAGGAGACGTACACACCCGGCGCACGCATCGGTCCCGAGCCTACCTTTGTCGTGGACCCAATCGACGGCACGACCAACTTCATCCACTCCTTTCCCAATGCGTGCATCTCGCTGGGCTTGAGTGTCGAGAGGGAGCCCGTGGTGGGTGTCATCTACAACCCCTGGCAGGACCTCCTCTTCACGGGGATCAAAGGGCGAGGGGCGTACATGACGAGGATCAAGGGCTCTACGCCACGGCAGCTGCCGTTGGCCAAGACACCCAGGGGTCTGGACGGCCTCGACAGCGCGTTGATTGCGGTGGAATGGGGCTCCAGCCGCGATGGTCCCAACTTTGACCTCAAGACCAAGGTCTTTAGCAAGCTGGCCGCCAGCAAGGAGACGGGGGGCGCCATGTGCCACTCGCTCCGCAGCCTGGGGAGCGCGGCGCTGAACCTGGCCAGCGTGGCGGCAGGGCAGGTGGACGCCTACTGGGAAGGCGGGTGCTGGGCCTGGGATGTCTGCGCGGGCTGGTGCATACTCAAGGAAGCCGGCGGCATGATGGTCAGCGGAAACCCGGGGAACTGGGAGCCTGCGCTGGAGGGGAGGGTGTATCTCGCCGTCAGGGGGGCGCCCGCCGGGCAGAAGGAGTTTGTCGAGGAGTTCTGGGGCGTCATGGGCGGTGGGGTAATGGATTACAAGGTATAGATATAGATAATGAAAGGCGTTACAGCCTTTTAGTACACTCACGGTCCATTGCCATTCGATAGTGCGGATACGCAGTAGGTATCCCATTGCAGTGTTGCCTACAAGCAGAGGTATCGACATTGTTTTAAACCTTTCCCGTCAACCTTCCCATGATGGACCGCGGAATCCCAAACGCCGGTAGTCGTCAAAGCATAGACATGCATGTGCTTCTTCTTCTTCTTCTTCTTTGCTCTTGGAAACCAGTGCCCCGCCATCTCTTACGCCTCAGACGTGGTGGGCGCCTTGTTGTCCACCTTCTTCGCGACGGGCTGCTCGGCAGCACCACCGTCCTCCTCGCGCGCGCGCTTGTTGCCGTTCTCGCTTGTCTGGATACGCGGCTTGGCACTAGACTCTGTGTTAGCAGGAGCATCGACTGTTGTGTTTTCGGGGGGCACTTGCTCGTTCTCGCTGGATTTCTGCGCGCCCTCGTCGCGCTTCTCGGCGTTGCGGTCGCCATCGCGGCCGCCATCACGGCGGTCATCGTCGCGGCGATCACGACCACCCCGGCCACCCCGGCCACCACGGCCGCCCCGACCCCGTCCGCCGCGCCCGCCGCGTCCACCGCGGAAGCCGTTCCTCTGGTCGTTGTCACGACGCTGCTTCCAGTTATCGCGGTCGCGGAGTCCGCCGCTGGCCTTGCCCTCTTTCCCTTCAAAGAATTTCTTGGGCTGGCTGTTGCTGGGTTCCAGCTTGCCCTGGCGGATCAGGTTGCTCTTCTCGTCACAGTAGGCCTTCTTGGACATGATCTTGAGGTCATGCCCCTCCCACTGCGGCGCCGGGTCGGTCTCGATGAACTTCTTGGCCGTCTCCTCGTCGATAAAGGTCACAAAGACGGAACCCTTGAAGAAGCTCTCGTCTGTACGACGGAGCTTGAGGCCCTTGACCTCGCCAAGCTTGGCAAAGAAGCTCTCCAGGTCGAACTGGGTGGTGGGGGTCTCGTCTCCGAAGCCCTTGACGTAAACGGTGGCGGCCTCGTTCTTGCCGCGGCTCTGGTTAGGCTGGTATGGCTTCTTCCTCTTAACGGTCTCCTCGCCCTCCTTGTCGCCCTCGACATCGAGGAATGTGCTGTCCTTGAGGGCGGCGACGACGGCGCTGTAAGGCTGGAACACGCGCATACGCTTGAACGAGTGGATCTTGGCGATCGGGATGGGTTTGTTCTCCGCACCCTGCGCCTGCTCCCACATGAACTTGTCCTGGGGGAAGTTCCAGTCGCCAAAGTAGAACTCGACTTGCTTGCGGATGGCGACGGGGTCGTCGGTCACCTCACGGGCCGAGGGATCGAACTTGCGGTTCTTGGAGGGGTCGTCGTAGTTGATCTTGCCCTTGGTCTTGAGCATCTTTGTCGAGTCGTCCTCCACTGCGGCCGGCTTTGCCTCTGTCGCGGCCTCTTCTTGGGCTTGCTCCTTGGCGGGCTCTTGGGCAGCTTCGGTGGTGGTGGTGGTGGTCTCCACGGGCTTCTGCTCCTCGACCTGGGGGGCCTGAGTCTCGACAGGCTTGGTAGCCTCGGCGTCGCTCATCTTGGCGGCTGCGTATGATGAGAGAAACTAGCGATGCGACTGCGAATAAAGTCAATTGAGTGTCTTCGCGCGTTGGTTGTGGTGGCTTTGACCACGGAAACCGTGGGAACTGTCGTCGCCCAGCGTGAGAAAAAGTTGGTGGCGGGGCAGAGAGTCACTCACCAGCGTCGATTGCGGCGCTGGCGTGCTGAACAGACAGTTTTCCGGGTAAGACTTACAACAATGACGGGTAAATGGGACCGTTAACAACTATCTCTCGCTTCTTGGGCCTAATTCTTGCTAGAAGGCAGATTGAGATAGAATGGCTACGGTATTGACTGGAGTGGCAGAAAAAAGAAGGTAAGGATCGAATGCTGGCGCGACTGGCAACTGACCGCCCACTTGTTGGCCGCTCTTGTGCTTTGCAGATTCTGCCCCACCTTCCCGCGGGCGGCGGGTCACTGCAGCGTCTCCACAAGCGCCAGGTGAGACTAAAAAGGTAAAGAGACGGATATCTTGGGACTTAGGATAGTTCCTCATAGTGATGAACTTAATTCGGGGTTTTGAATTAGTGAGTCAGTGACTGTGCTCGCTGGGGCATTTCCCGAACCAGAGTCTGCGTACGCTAGGTTCCGATCTGCCGCTGCCAAGTCTAGACAGATAGATGCGCGTGGCTGTTCTGACCAACCTTGGTTGTCTACGCTCACAAACACAACCACTACTCGCACCAATCGCTTTAATAAAGACGCGACTGAGATCATTGCAGAAAACGTGTCTCCTCCGGCTGCTGGACGCTTCTTGGCAGGGGCGCGTCCACTCATCGGTCGTCTACGCCACTGGATGTCCGCAATGGTGGTGTTAGCTAGCAGGGAACAAACACTTGGCACAATGCTAAGCTGCACACTCTGTTTAAGACTCCAAACCCTGAAGATACTATAGAAATTTGAAACATCAAATACCTTCACAAGGCAAGCATCTTTCTTTTCATCTCACCTATTAATGCCCTGGCTCGCCCTAGACTACTACCGGCCATCTAGGGTAGGCATGTTTGGCCGCATTTGACAATAGTGACATCATCTCAAGATCCGGAAAAGCGTCGCGGGCTAAGATGGCTTAGGAAAGACCGTAGCAAGGAATTCGTGAACGCGCTCAATTTTCATAGCCGAAAACTTGGAAGAGGTACAAGTTTAGACCTCGACAATCCCCCGGCCATCGAGTTTCAACCCGCAGACCTGAGCTCCAAAGCCCTCTCCTACGATTATGGACATTTGATCATGCCCCGTGCTCGCCAGCATCACCGATATTTCAAATCAACACGCTCTTTACCACCAGAAAATCCCTCACAATGAGGTATCCCACACCAAGCTCAACTCGCAGCCTAGCCAAGCTTCGCGCATCTCTCACGAGATATACTGCGGTCCTAGCACCGACCACGGCAGTGAGGCAACAGCCAAGACATGGCTTCTTCACTGCCGCCAAGCGCAATGCACGCGCTGCCGCATCGCGGTCCTCCAAACCCCTGGCGGTGGTGTTCAGTGGCATGTTTATTTGGTGGCTCTATCCGTCAGAAGACTTTGCAAAATTGTCAGACGACCCAAAGAAATTGCGACTCAACAAACGGGGTAGAATCGAGAGAAAAGAAACCGCGGAGAAGGACGACGGCAATGATGGAAGTGATCAGTCGGCATGGACCAACTTTGCGCGCCGTTTTGAGTCTTTCACAATAGTGACTGACCTCGAATGGTCAGCCTTGTCCGACACGTTAGCCGATCTCATCCTGCCGGACTGGTCAAAGATGATTCCCGGTTACATTCGGAAACTCCAACGGGAGCTGTCCATGTCGCCCGGCTCTCTGGCAGATGAGATCTGGAGAGAAGCCCACGATCCGCTGGTCAATCCTGAGATCCGCTACACGGCCGAGGTGCGTGTCTCACAGGAACTTTGCAACGAAGAGAAGGAGTTCCTCTCGCGGCGCAAGAGGGTTATTCGGATGGCTCTGGCGCGGTATCTCGACCTCAAGGAGGAAGAGATACATCCTGACGATATCCCGACTATTGCCATGTGCGGCTCGGGCGGCGGCCTACGAGCCTTGATTGCTGGCGCAGGTTCAATGCTGGCGACGGAGGAGGATGGGCTGTTCGACTGCGTCACGTATACCTCAGGGGTGAGCGGCTCCTGTTGGCTCCAAACGTTATACTTATCCTCCTTCACAAAGGGCCGCATTGCGGGCCTGGTGGAGCATTTGAAAGCGAGAGCTTCGACACATATCGCCTACCCCCCTGTAGCTTTCCAGTCGCTAGTCTCAATGCCGACCAGCAAATATCTCCTGAGCGGCATGGTGGAGAAGCTCAAGGGCGATCCCAAGGCGGACTTTGGACTGGTTGATGTTTATGGCGTACTGCTCGCTGCGCGATACCTGATTCCCAAGGGCGATCTGGCGGTCAACGAGCGAGATTTCAAGTTCTCCAACCAGCGAGAATACGTCAAGTTTGGTCAGAACCCAATGCCTATCTATACTGCTGTCCGCCATGAGATCCCGGATCTCAAACCCTCGAGCCCTCCACCATCCGACGCAGCAAAGGAAGAAGCGAAGCAAGAAGCCTGGTTTCAGTGGTTCGAGCTTACGCCATACGAGTTCTTCTGCGAGGAGTTTGGCGCCGGCATTCCGACCTGGGCACTGGGTCGCCGCTTCAACAACGGAAAAGACGTACCTCCCGAGCATGGGTTTCATCTGCCCGAGATCAGAGTGCCCTTGCTTCTTGGCATCTTTGGGAGCGCGTTCTGCGCCACCCTCAAGCACTATTACCAGGAGATACAGCCATTGGTGCGCAGCATGACCGGCTTCAGCGCCCTCGACGAGATGATCTGGGGGAAAAGCGATGACCTAAGCAAAGTTCACCCCATTGAGCCTGCCAGCATCCCCAACTTCGCCTACCAAATGCGGGGCAAGCTTCCCAAGACCACGCCGGAGAGTATCTACGACAACCCCTATCTTCAGCTGATGGACGCTGGCATGTCTAACAATCTACCCATATACCCTCTTCTACGGCCAGGGCGCAATGTGGACGTTCTCATCACGTTTGACGCATCGGCAGACGTCAAGACAGACAACTGGTTATCGGTGGCAGATGGGTATGCCAGGCAGCGCAATATCCAGGGCTGGCCTGTGGGTGTCGGTTGGCCTCAAGGTGAGTCCCCCACTCAAGCTGCAAATGACTTGGAGGACGCGCAAGCCAAGTCTGCCCAGGATGCACAGCATCGCTTGGGCGAAGCACAAGCGGAGCAGAAGCACATACAGCAAGAAAACCAGCAAGATGGCTACATGGCAAAAGAGTCCCATGGCAATGCCCAGAATGAATCTGGAGAGGACGAGGCCAGTGACCTCGGCCATTGCACCATCTGGGTCGGAACTACCCAGGAGCGCTCATCATCACCACCGCCGCCCTCCAAAGCCATCACTGCGCCTGATGCGTGGAAGATCATGGAGCCAGACGCCGGCATCGCAGTGGTCTACCTGCCATTGGTTGCCAACGACAAGGTGCCCGGCGTGTCACCGGGCACCTCGGACTATCTGAGCACCTGGAATTTTGTCTACACACCGGAGCAGATCGACAACGTCGTTCAGTTGGCCCGCGCCAACTACGACGAGGGCAAAGAGCAGATTCGGTCGACAGTGAGAGCCGTGTACGAGAGGAAGAAGAAGCTCCGCATGGAGGCAGAACATCAGAACAGGCAAGAGACATACCAGGCACTGGCCAGACGGGGCGAGAAGGCCTTCCGTAAGGCCGGAGACCAATTCAGCTGAGTCGCACGTGCCCCGTGCGGAAACACGTATATATATTCAGAGACCACGATAATATAAAATAAAGATCCAAGCGCTCCTTTGTCGGCACTCTCTCCTTGCTCTACAATGTATTTATACAGATTTGATATGCTCCGGTATCCCTATGCACCGTGCAAAATGCCCGACGGCTAGATCTTCTCACATCTTGTTGTACACGCACACACATGACCTTGTCGTTCCCGTCATCATGATTCTTCTTCAGGTGATCACCTCGCCACAATCAATGTATGGCGCCCTCCATTTCGCCGCGCCCTTCTTGAATATGTCGCTGGGTACCCGCACTTTATTCCCAGGGCTGTAGAGATACCACGCCTTGAGCGAGGCCATGGCTGCCTTCTTCCTCGCCATCTGCAGACTCGACCCTGCCCCCTCGCCGAGCTTCTCCTTGCCGCTGTAGATGCCGACCAGGAAGACGGGCGTACGCGACATGCGACCCGTCTCGGACTCGAGCCGCGCAATCGGCGCCTCGAACCCCTCGCGCTTGCAGAGCAGGGAGAGCTCGCGCAGGGGGTTGACAAATTTGAAGAGCGTGCCCATTTCGAGCTGACGGCTCAGAATATGCGACTCGACGAATTGCTTCGCGGCTTCGCGGCCGCTGTGGCTGTAGATGGCTCCGACCAGGGCCTGGGCGAACGAGGCAAAGGCATGGTTCTCCCACTGCTCAATCTTCTGGGGTCCGTTGTGGACGTCGAGGTCGCCTGCTCTGCGATCGAACCCTGACAGCTCCTCCCGGGTGAGGTAACCACCCCAATTCTCCCCGGGTACGATCCTGGTGGGCTCCCACTGCAACAGACCCGGGTCGACTTCGGGGCCGGGGGCATGTGCGGTCTCGGCACCCCATCGCCTGGCCATCTCGCCAAGCGATTCGGGGCCGACGTAGCCTCGCAGTGCCTGGTACATGACACCCATGGGCAGACGGGGCCACTTGCAGAGCAGGTACTCGGTGACGTGATAGTTGATGATCGAGACGCCGAGGACGGCCAGGCTCTTGTTATTGGCGCCGTGGTCTCTGTTGGCGGACGGGGTGATGAGAGCGCGGGCCAGGGTGGGGAGAGGAAGGGTCTTTGGTAGAGAGAGACGGGCGTGGAGGGCAGAGAGTTTAGGGGATATCCTCGATCGGCTGCTGCTGGGGCCGCCGGCGCCGCCGTCCAGGCTCGAGGTCATGTTCGCCGGTATCGCCATCGTCTCGGCGGGGGACGCGTCGGTCTCGAGGCATCGCAATTGGCACTGGTGCAGGTATGGTCGTCTAGGGGGCAGAGGTGCGCTGGCAGCACGAGCCTGGAGCAGTTGCCCTGCGTTCCATCGTGACGGCCGTAACCGCTTCATTTGAATGGTCGAATGTGCTACACTGAGAAAAGGAAAGTGGTACAGGAGCTAGGCCAGCGCGGATGGCCTCGAATGGCCGGGGTTCAGTACGTGGTCGGGATGTCGTTGACGTTGGCTGGAGCTGCAGGTTGAGACGAGATGCCCTTCCGCGAAAAAGTTCTGCGGCCGCGTTCAGGGAGTCGTGTGAGCCACTGAGCCTACTGGACCAGGCAGGCTCAGGGTGCATGTGTGGCTGGTGAGGATTGGAGTGTGGCTTGAGTGTCGGAAGATCCTCGGACCGCACCAATTGGCAATGCACGGCATCAACATTGCTGGACGAGGGAAGCGCTCTTGGGTCGTTAATCACCAATCGAACCGAATTTCCCCAAACGGCCATCCAAGAGCAGTCAAAATGGTAAGCTGGAATGTCTCTGGCCATATGAAGGCGCGTTGCTGACTCTCCCAGGGCGGCGGTGGCAAAATCCCGTAAGTCGAAACGCGCAGACATCTTCTCCCACTCTGTCCGAGCGAATCCTCACCTTTGGCGAACAGATACCCCAAGCACGTCTGGTCACCGGCTGGTGGCTGGTACGCTCAGCCCGCCAACTGGCGCATGAACACTATCATCGCAGGCGCCACCATGTTTTCCATCGTGGCTGTGGCGTGGAACTTTAGCGCTGGCAGGGAAACCTGGGCGCGCAAACCTGAGGATGGATGGTACCCGAGCCGGTAGTGAGTTCTCTCGTGGGCCCCTTTGGCTGTGCTCCATCCAAGGCTAACACGCAGCAGCTGGTCGAAAGATTTGCAGAAGTACGACGCCCAGGACCGAGCGGCTGAAGCGAAGAAGCAATAGACAACTAGGTATTGGGGAGCCAAGTGTATAAATCAACGCCATGACACATTCCATCTGTTACAATCCGCCAGGTTCGCTCACTGTTGCAATTGTGCGCACATTTCTCGACCGGTTTGTCTTGTTGCTGCGGCATCAGTGGCTCATTGGGCTGGTAAACTTGACGACTGTTGGAGTTTGCTGCATGGTCTCGGTTTGTGGCACCGCGACGACGCAAGTTCTTTGTCGTGAGCGAGACCTCGCAATGCCACGTACACGGATGCGATGTGAACATCCTGTGTTAGAACCGCCCAGCTCCCTCCATCTCTTGCGGTTCGTGAGCTACCAATGTGCAGCTCTATTTCCATTTCGCAACGTGATGTCCTTTGCATCATCAACAAGCCATTCCACGCAGCACACCCAAAGTCAAGGTCTAGACTCTTTGGACATAGAATCTACTAGTCTAGTACCTTGGGCCATAGTACCGTGATCATTAGTAATCATCAGGTCCCCACAACGTGGAGATGATTGAGTGCCGAAGATCGACTGATTCACTCACTCCGTGATCGAGCTGATCATGGGTGCATCTGATGTATGCGAAGGCTCCGCGCACAGTCAGGTAGCTGACAACAGGATCGTGTGGAGGTAGAGGAATGGGACGACTTGTGTCTACATCCCCGCGTGTTCATCGTGGCCGCCCTCACCGTGACCTTGCTATTGTTAGCGAACTTGCCATGCCTGGTTCAGTTCGTAACCGGCGTCCGTGACTGCGTCATTTCCCAAGGAAAGACATAGAACCTCTATCGACTTTTGGCAGCCCGCACCCTCTCGTCTTGGACACCGATGCTTGTCACTGTTCCCACATTCTTCACACGACTCCGAATCCGACTGAATCATTAACCTTTCGGCTTTTCCAACCCGCTCCTGACCGCTCCCCTCGTACGTAACATAACGCAAGGTACCTTGTACCTTGGTTTTTGTTGGAAATTGACATAGAGGCGACAGCTAGCCTCAGGACGCCGATCCATCCACGACTCCATCATCCAACCTTGCTTACTTACCTATTGCTACCACTGCTGCTACTGGACCTCCCTCTACTGTGCGACTGGCTGGCTAAGTGCCTTGGCTACCTTATAAACTGCCTGCAACCCCGTACGATACGAAGCAGCATTTCGGACGCAGTAAGCGACCCGACCAGCGGAACACCGCTTATCATTTGGCCCTACGACCACGACGAGCAGCAGGCGCGATCCGTGCGACTGGCCTCGAACTCGTTTCCTCAGACATCCCAGCCACGACTATCTGTATCCAATCAGCGTTCCTTTTGTTGCATTGCCTCGTCGGTCCCACAGACCAGTCGAGGCACCTGGGAGAACTGCCCACTGTGGCTGCCCGAGCATTTCGCATCGCGGGCCTCGCTGTTGGATTCGGCTTGAGCGCACTTGCAGCATATCAGCAGGGTCAGCCACAGCAGGACCAAGCTCGGCATATGGCTTCTCGCGGTGATGGCCAGTCGCGCGGCCGTCTGGATGCCACGGGCGACAGAGAGGTGGTGTTCTGTCACGCTTGCTCCAACGAGTGGTACCGCGACCAGCATGGCTTGATCTGTCCGCAGTGCGAGGGGGACATTATCGAAATTGTGAGTTATTGCCAGCGGGCATGCCATGTACCAGAATCTAACCATGCACATAGGTTAGTCCCGAGAACGACCCTCGTGAGCCTTCAAACAACCCTCCGCCATCGTCGCCTCCGCCTGACCGATCCCAGCAGCGGCAGGGTGCCTACGACTCCGACCCCGACGAGGCGGATATCGAGGAGCACTTGCAGGGTCAAGACGGTTTTCACTACCATCGCAATACCCGAACTGGGCAGCCAGGCCAACATCACGATCCAGAGATAGAGCCGGTGCTCAACCGCTTCTTGGACATGATCAGCGGCTTTGGCGGCGGCGGTCGCATGCCTCACGTGCATGGTCACAATGGAAATCTGGACGAAGCCATGTCCGACAACGCTGGCGATGGTCAGAACGCCGATTCGGATCAAGGCCATGCCCACCATCCGCACCACCACCATCATCCGCACCACCACCACCATCATCACCACCATGTCCATCGTCAACAGCACCGCTTCGCCTCGTCGAATCTGGGCCCACACGCGACAGTTCACCGTGTCGTCAGCAATATCGGTGAAGGCGGCGGCACCGCCAGCTTTACTATTTTTACGAGAACAGGCAATCCGCGTACCGGAGACGATGGAATGTGGGGTGATCAAGGCTTCCAACAGTATGTGTGACTCTTGATCTCATCTTAACGAATCCTTGCTGACGGCACTAGACATTTCAACAACATATTGGAGAATATGGGGCCGCCCCGTGAGGCCCAGCAAAACCAGGACTCCGACTCAAACATCGGAGGAAGAGGCCCTGCCATGGGGCCTGGGCCCGGTGACTTTATCGCCAGCCTGCAAAGGATGATTGCCCTCATTGACCCGGCTAACGCCGCGGTTGGAGATGCTGTATACTCACAGGAAGCTTTGGACAGAATCATATCCAATCTCATGGAGAACAACTCGAGCTCCAATGCGGCTCCACCGGCTACAGATGAGGCGCTGGCCAAGTTGGATCGCAGACCAGTCAGCAAGGAGATGCTGGCCCAGGAAACAAAGACGGAATGCTCCATCTGCATCGATGAACTTGTCGAGGGCGACATGGCGCTGTTTCTACCCTGCAAGCATTGGTTCCATGAGAAATGCGTCGTGATGTGGCTCAAGGAGCACAACACCTGCCCCATTTGCCGCACGCCTATCGAGAAGCGCGAGTCTGGAGCTGGTGGAAGCAACGACAACAATACCGGTAGTCGATCGGCCAACACATCGTTCAACGAGCCTGGTTCCAGTTCCCAAACGCCAAACGCCGGGGTGAGGACCTACCTCAGCTGGTTAGGCGGCGGCGGTCCATCCAGCAGCAACGTAGGCACACCGTCTGACCATGCGTCGGGCCAGTCTCCCATACCCAGTCCTAGTGCTCGGCCTCCAAGCCAAAGTCAGAGTCGTCTCAACGAGGCCATGAGGAGTATATCGGCAAGACAGACTGCGCAGCGAGACCGTGACCGAGACGAAGGCTCTTCAACTAGCCTCAGCTTCGACACGTCATCCATGCAAAGACGCAATTCCATGTCCCCGACCAGCCCCCGTGCATTCCCCACGTCGTCGTCTCGTATTAGGCAGAGGAGTCCGTCGCGCGGCAACGGCAACTGGGTAACAGCTGATGAAGAGTCAGCCTCACAGTCTAGTCGTTCTGGTGGCGACGGCGGCAGCGGCGGACCATTGAGCTGGATCCGCGGCCGTCTCGGTGGGAACGGGCCCTCCCGTGATGCAAGGCAGTCGTAGGAACGAGAGGCCTTTCGCGCGTGGAACGAACATGCAAAGGCCACAAGCCGATCAGCTTCACAACACACATCATTAAAAAAATCTGGCGTCTCGGACGGCAGCTATTCTCCCTTCACTATCACCCCTTACTGGCTGGCCCGTCTGCTCATATTTCTACCACAGGGAGCCTTTTTTCTTTCTAGCTGATGATGGCATTGTCATCACGTCGGGGGTTGCAACCCGACGCGAGTCTCACGAGCGTACCATGAACATTTTATCAGCAATCAGATAGCGACGGAAGCGGGAAACGGCCTTTCTCCATATAGCGTGTGTGCGTAGGGGATGATGGACCAGGCAGTCAGTCCACCTAAAATAAAATCATGAACAGAACAATATGGCATATTTTCTTTGAAGGACCATGGACTGTCTTGCAAAGAACGAAGAATAGAATTAAGATACTCGGAATGCCACTTACTCTTATTACGTGTTTGCTGATACCGCAAGACTAAATGAGGCTGTGTGATGCGAGAGACATAGGCTGCCAAGGGAAACGGGACGGGAAAATACTCGAATCATGCGTCTATTATTGTTGACCCGCCAAGCGTATAGCTAACGAAAAAGGTGTATCATCATCACCACCATTCATATTTTAGAAAAGGCCCACAAACCCAGCATCATCAGAGAGCTCGGCATGTGCAAGCACTCCAGAGGAAGCAAAAATCTTGCCGATAAGCAACAAGGCTTGTATGAACCATGTAAGAAGGGAAAAGGACAATAAGAAAGAGGTATCTTTACACGCGCAAATGCCAAGGGCGTATATGTGTTGGGGTTAGGTACTGAGGCGGCCGTGTCGTCGTCGTGATTACGCTCGCGCGTAGAAGAGAAGGGGGGCCCCCCATGGGGGTGGGAGCGTCTTTGTTCGTAACTCTAGTCCTGGAAGAACTTGATGATCTGCTGCAGGTCGCGCAGACCCACGCCGTGCTTGGGGTAGCAAATGTACACCTCCTCGCCGAGCGTACCAAATTTGGACCGGAAGTCGGCCTTTTTGCGGAGGCCGAGGCTGTCGACGATGGAGTTGTACGTGCTGGCCAGGAAGCGTGCGCGGATGCCGTGCAGGTGCTCGCCGGGGGTGAGCTTCTCGGACACGCCGACGCCAAAGGTGACCTTGCCCGTGACGCTGGACAAGGCGTACTCGACGAGGACCTCAATGGCTCCGTTGACCGAGTTGGGAAAGTCGAGCGCCCACTTGACCTGCCAGCCGTGACGGGGGGCGAGCTGGGCCAGGACGACCATGGAGAGGACCTTGCCGTCCTTCTCTGCGGCAAAGTACCGACGATGGGTTGTGTCGACCCACGGACGGACCTCGGTCAAGTGCACCTGCTTGCCCTTGTTGTTGCGGGCGCTCTTCCACTCCTCGATGGCGGGCTCGGCACGCTTGATAAAATCGGCGTCGGGCTTGACTTCGTGGATCTTGACACCCTCGCGCTCGACGCGGCGGGCCTTGGGACCCGCCGTGGACTTGTGCTTGCCTGTGTCGACGCGCTGCTCCTCGGTGCACGAAAGCGTGCGCCAGCCGAGCTCGGAGGCGAGGATGTGCTGTACGTCATACGACACGAGCATCCAGACAGGCGTGAGCTTGAGCTCGCCAGTGACAAATTTGACAAATCCCTGGCAAATTTCCGCGTACTGCTTCTTGTCGCAGAGCGGGTCGCCAGTGATCATAATGAACTTGTCCTGCTTGACGTAGCCCACAGCGGCGCCGGTGGGGTGACGCCAGAGCTCGAATCGATCATCGAGCCACGAAGTGTTGGAAGCATCACCGTAGTTGGCGATGAGCTTTTCCAGCTCCGGCATCGTGTCGTTGGGGTGCGGCTTCGTGGTGTCCGCCTCGGGGTGCGGCAGACCCGGTGTCCGCTCCGGAAGTGATTTGGGATCGCGGTGGAAGAGCGACGCGTAACGCACATCGCCCAGCTCGAGCATCCAGGCCACAATGCGCTCCAGACCGAGACCGGCACCAGCATGGGGGGGTGCGCCAAGCTCAAAGGCAAGCAGGTAGTCCTCCATGCCATCTTCGGACATGCCACTGGCGAGCATATTCGTGCGAAGCTGCTGGAGATCGTGAATACGCTGGCCGCCGGAGCAGATCTCCTGGCCACGAATGAAAATGTCAAATGAACGGGTCCAGTCGCGGTCCTCGGGGTCGCGGTGCGTGTAAAAGGGACGGGCGTTTGCTGGGAACTTGTCCAGTACATAGTAGTCGGTGCCGTACTTTTCGCGGACCAACTCGCCAAGGCGCATCTCATCAGGGGTGGACAAGTCCTCGTCCGCCACGTCGCGACCATCGTCGCGAAGCATCTGAAGACCGTCGCGGAAGTCGAGGATCAGAGTTTCATCGAGCCACTTGAATTCCTTGCTGGGCCAGCGAGACTGGAGGATCTCAATCTCGGGCAGCGAGTAGACCGCCTCGAAGACCGACTTGAGGAAGTCGTCGATGACCCAGACGACCTCGTGGTAGTCTTTCTCAATGGCCATCTCAATGTCGAGACCGGTGTACTCGGTCAAGTGACGATGGGTGTTTGAGTTCTCCGCACGGAACACGGGGCCGATCTCGAAGACGCGGCGGAAGTCGGCGGAGATGGCCATCTGCTTCGCCAGTTGGGGCGACTGAGCCAGGAACGCTTGGCGGCCAAAGTAGTTTACCTTGAAAACAGCAGCGCCGCTCTCGGTGGCCGCTGGTTGCAGCTTGGGGGTGTTGATCTCGACGAAGCCCTTGTCCTCGAGGGTCTCGCGGAACTTGCGCGTGACAATGGATCGAACCCGGAAGAGGACCTGGTTGGAAGGGTGACGGAGATCCAGAATACGAGCATTCATACGGTTGCGAAGGGTCTCGGGAGGCTTGTAGTTGCTAAAGGGAGCATTGCCGGCCGGGTTCACGAGATGGATGGACTGGATGTCCACTTCGACACCGGCGTGGGAGGCGGAGCGGATAGGCTCAGGAGGTTCCTTGAGAGTACCATGGATCTGGACCAGAGACTCGGGGTGTAGTTGTTTGACCCATTTGATCATCTCAGGGTCCTCCCGTGAGAGGACACCTTGCACTGAGTGTGTCTGATCGCGGAGGAGCAGGAAGTCGAGGAGCTTCGACATGGGTCTCTGCGCGTGGATACGGGCGCGGAAGTCGACCTCGGTGCCGATAGGGAACCGATCCAGCTGAGCGATCGTGTTAAGCTCACCAGGGTGGATTGCCATGTCGCTGCGCCCGCTGTCCATGGAGCGCCTGCTCCTGTCGATGGACGAGTTCCTGTCGACGGACGAGTTCCTGCCGACGGACGAGTTCATGCCGGGGCCCTTGTCCATGGAGGATCTAGCGGACATGATGTCGACACTGGACCTGGTAGAGTTCTTGGGCAGCTCGACGCCGCTGTCGTTCATCTTGGCCAGGAGCTTGCGATGCTCCGGAATGGCCGAGGAGAGGGTTGGGGTGCTGTTGGTGGCCTCGGTAGGGTTGAGGGGACCGAAATTGGTTGGTGTCGGCGTGGACGAGGTGTCCAGCGGGTTGCTGATGTTGCTGTGTGGCGTCTCTGTCGCGGTCGTGACGGGCGAAGCCGCGTTCGTGCTGGCGGCATCGCTTGGCTTGTTGTGCTTGGTCAGATCACCCATCTCGGGTTGGCTCGAGACGGCCGGATGGTGGTCCTGCTGAGCAGCATCATCCTTGAGGCTCTTGCTGGATTTGTCCTTGCGACGGACCCCAAGAGCCTCGGCGACAGCAGCGAGACCGCTTCCGCCGGCCATTGTGAGTCTGAGTGGGAGATCAGGACGGACGTTGGTCGTTCGGCTGACGCGGGTTGAGGGACGGTTGTGAAGGTGTCAGTGAGAGTTGGGCTTTGCCAGGTCTAGGCAGGAGACCGAGAAGTCGAGTCGAAAGCAAGTGACGACAATGATGAGTGTTGTGACGAGGTGACAAGAGTAGAAATTGTTGTATTAGTGCTGCAATGCTTGCTCAGTGCCGCTTGAACCGGCTGTCTGTACACGGGGAGGGGTCAGCGGATACCCTTGAGAAAAGTCGCATGTGGCGGGCGACGGAGCCAGCCATGCGCGAGAGATTGGAGCTGTCCCAGGATGAATGGATGCTTGATGATAAGAGAATGGAATGGAAGAGACGGGACAGGGCGGGTTTCTGGAGCAAAGGTCCGGCATTATCACAAGGATTGCCATCGTAAGCGCTGGTGCTAACGGCGTGTCCGCAAAGTACTTGCGAAGTACTTTTTCGCTTGACTTACGCCGAATTGTGACGTACGAGGGGCAGGTCACGTAATCACAGCCGCTGTCAACTTACTCGGATGTGCCTGCGCCGGAAATTTATGCGGGCTTTGGACGACTGGAGTTGTGCGTCGTAATCAGGAGAACAAGACAAGCTGAAAACATGGGAGGGAAGACTTTGCAAAGAACGACCACGAAGAAGAACTGGCGCGCTGGGGGGTTATAACGTAAAGTTGGACCGGGAGACTTCAGCCTCCAGGGCAAGGAATGGGTTGAGGTCTGAGGTTAGGTCCAGTCGTCAGGACAGGGTCTGGCGTGGCATCGCATGGTATTGGCGAATGACTGGCATAGTGGCACATCCCGGACTGGAACCGCCGGAACCTGCTGGGCGCGCTAGCTGCGGGACCGCTCGGATTGCCTGGTAGTCCTTCATCGAAGTATCGGAAAGTACCTACTAATGCCGTAGAACGGACGGAACGGCACTGAGAATTTCATTTTTCAGTGGTCAAAAGGCCGTGCACATGACTAGCAATACTGGAATTGTGCCTCTCCCGTCCTCTCCGACGATGATGGACGTGGACATGAAAGTGGGCAGGCATTCCATCCCGTCGGAAACCTCGCGAGCCTCTCTCCAGCCATGTACTTACGTAGTACATGTTCAGGGGCCGTGTCGAGCTGGCCGAACGCGTACGACAACCAGTTCCAAGGCCATCATGATTGAAAATCACACACCGTGTTTCGCTGCGGGTTTTCTCGTCACCAGGACGCCCTTGATAGCAGGGAACCCGAACGATCGACTGGCTCGCGGCGCAGCGTTCATTCCTCAGCCCTCCGAGTGTGGCTGCTAGTAGCAGGGAAAATGGGCAGGCAGTCCTGTTACTGTGGCTTGACCGCCGCTTCCCCTGCGTCGCCAATTGCACCAACTACGTACGAACCGAACGACCACCCTGTTCCTGATGCTTTCCTTGCCTTAGCTACCGGAGCTTCCGGTCCGCGACAACCACAAGAACTGCGGCTCATTTGACATCGGTGTCTAAAACTGTCAAACACTGGTGCGTAAACGGCTCTGTCCTTGGCAACCTGCTGAAGGGCCATGGCTGACGTCAGTGGGGGACTTGCAGTTGTCGATGGCTCGATGGAGTTCGATGCTCGATTGCCGTCTAGCAGACGTCATAGCTTGCCGGGCTTGGGGCTCTAGCGGCCTCCCAATCCCGGCCCCAGTCCCGTCGTAGGCACACAGCGCTACCCGCTAGCCGTACAGTAATCGTTCGAGATGTCTTCCACGCCCAGTACCTGAAGGAACGGAGTCCATTAGTCTGTCTGCCCGTGGATGTAGGGAGATATTGAAACTGTACTAGCCCCCAGTCGAATTTGTGCACTGCCTAGTGGGTGGTTGGTGACAGTGACGGCGCCGCCAGGCACAAGTCCCCAATTCCACGTGAGCGACTGGAGATGGAGCAGCAAGCTGCCTGGAATCCAGAGGTCCAGGACCAGATCTCCCCCCACCACCCATCTGGCTAATCTCACCTACTTAACTCCTCCCGTCGTCGTCGATGATGGCGTGACACCTTTACAAGACTACTGACGATCTTTATAGACAGCCGCATTTTTCACACCTCACCAGCCAGCCAATCGTTCGACTACACCTTTTCTCTTGGCTCCTTATCGCCCTGGAAACTGTCCAGACCAGCCCTCATTCGCCCATCGTATTCATTTCTCCATATCAACCAGGGTATTCACGCGGTGTACATGTTGAGCGGCAGCCCCTGAACGGCTTACGTGCGACTCCAAGTCTGCGTCTTGTTCTTCTTTCCCGTGTTACTGTATAATTAATTAGCCGTCCACGCTCCGGATACAGCATCGCCGCCTCTGGGACTCCGCTCAAGGCGAGTGATCAACTCCGACAGAGCACCCTCACAGCCCCCCGGGTCTCCCTGCGCATGGAGCTGGAACCACCCTCCGATGCCAACCCGACACAACCGGAGCCACCTGGCTATGTGAATCCCCTCGAATCCAGCTCGCGCTGGTACCTGAACGCCCGAGCGCAGGTCATTCGATATGCCGCCAACGTCGGCTTCAGAATCGCCAACCGCACCGAACCAACTGCCCCCGCGCCGACACGCGAAGTCTACCTCGATTCGACAATCTCCATGCACAAGGGTCGCGAGAAGATCAAAGTCGAGGTTTGGGAGCCGCCCAAGGTGAGCACGGGAGGCCGCCCTGCCGTGATCAATTTCCATGGAGGAGGATGGATTCTGGGGCAGGGAACAGATGATGCTCGTTGGGCCGCCGGTTTGATGACGGACGTTGACGCTGTGGTTTTCACCGTCAACTATCGTCTGGCGCCCTCCCACCCGTTCCCCACGCCGGTAGAAGACTGCATGGACGCAATCTGCCAGATTACACAGCGAGCTGACGAGTTCGGCATTGACCCCTGCAAAATCATCCTGTCGGGCTTCTCCGCAGGTGCCACCAACACACTGGCGTCGTGGCTCTGTCTGCACGATCCTGATCGCTTTGGGTACGAACTACCGTCCAAGCCACCCAAACTGGCTGGCCTCGTCATGTTCTACCCAGTTCTCGATTGGACCATTACGAGGCCGATGAAGCGCCAGACGTGCGCTCGCCCAGATCTGACTCTACCGAAGGGGCTGACAGATCTCATCGATGCCTCGTATGTGTATCCGCCTCTGCCTCGCGAGAAGCGGACCGATCCTCGGTTGTCGCCAGGCCTCATGCCCGATTCGCAGCTCAAGGATATACCACCGGTGCACCTCGTCGTCTGCGAATACGACATGTTGTTAGCCGAAGGGAACGCTTTCGCCAGGAGACTGAGCGCACTCGACAAACAATTCACATTCCGTCTTGTCGAAGGCGAGCAACATGGCTGGGACAACCCGCCGCCCATGACACCAAAGGAGAGCGTTCACGTGGAATATGGCGAAGCGATCAGCGCTATCGCCTCCTGGCTCGGGACCAAGCGGGAAACCGACTCGGAATCGATGAAGTCGATGAAGACGAAGCGGCCTATCCTCAAACGACCGTCATACCTGGCGTCATTCAGGTCCAGAACCGCACGATAGGGACAGACCCCTCAGGACCCACCACGCGGAGACCGGTCAGATGCCATGTCATTGCGCTAGACTTTCCCATCGGCGTTTTTGGCATCTACTACCTCGTATACGTAGTCTATTTAAAGCGCGCCGGTCAAGGTGGCGTGGTGGTCTTGGGGGGGTGCGCGGGACGCGCGACACTTTGTGATGCTAGAGAACAATTACAATGAACATCACGTCAATAAAATGATATCTTTGTTTGTGCGCATGTGAAATAGAGATGAATTTCGTGTGTTGTATCTGGTCTGGTAAGTCGTATCTTGTCATCCAACAAAGGTCGACCACTACTACCACTTGGCATCCTTGCTATCAAGGAAGCCCTTGAGGATGCCAACCACCTTCTCCAACGCCATCAAGTACGCCCGCATTTCGACCTTGACCTTCTCCTGGTCGTTACCCAGCTTTGCGTAGAAGGTCTGGCGGTAGGGGGTCGCACTCATGGCCGCGCTGAAGATGGGCTTGACCATGAAGCTGTGGTGGGGCTTGAGCGTGCTTCCGTAGGCGGCGCGGAACGAGTCGGCAAGTTCCTCGGATTCCTTGGCGATGTTGGAGGACAGACCGATGCAGGTGAATTCGAGGCCACTGCAGCACAAATTGTTAGTCAAGTCGGGAGGCTTGACCGCTAGAGGGGAACTCGTGGAACGAACCGGACAAGCCAGAGCAGACCCTCGGTGGCCGTGTGCTTCTTCGTGGCGAGCTCGTTCCTGACCAGATCCTGGATTGTGGTCGAATCGGCAGGGGCAGCGAGCTGGCGGTCGCGGAGCTTCTGTGGGGTGCTTGTCAGCTCTGAAAGGGAGAGAAAATCATCGGGGTTGGTGGGCCAGCGAACCTTGATGTTGCCGTTCAGGTCACTTTTGACGGGAGAGAAGGCAACGCCGCCGAGAACATCTGGTGCAGCAGTCAGTTTCCCCAAGTGTCAGAAACGTGTCCCGATGGGTGTTCGCACCAAAGATTGTGGTCAGGGACTCGGCAGCGTCGAGGAACTCGGTCGTGGCGATCGCATTGTCCTTGTCGGCGTCAATGGGGACGTCGACAAACGACCGTTTGAAGGTCTGGACGATGGTGCCGTCTGGAGGGATGACAGGAGCAGACATTTTGAGATGAATTGGCTTTGCGATGGATGCTCTGGATGGCGATTTGGGGAGGAAAAGCAAAGATGGCGGTCAGGGTTCAGTGAAGCTCTGGCTGGAACTGACTCCCTGGTACTAGCTCAGCCCACTTAGACGCCTGATACGTATGTAGTGGTCGCCCCGTCGCGGTGGCTAATTACTGGCTCAAGCCTCAACGCCCTTACACAGCACGGCCACGGCCATTGAGGGGAAGAGGGGTCGCCTGAGCGATAGAGGGGTTATGTCTTGGGTCCACCTTACGGTACCTGATGCTTGTGAGGACTTGAAATGTTGCTCGCGCTACTTGTCTCTGATGAACTAATTGAACCCGCCAGGTGGTGAGATGAACAATTCCCACGCGTCTCGGACAAATACACGGACAGAGACACGGGTTCTCCACCGCGAGAGCCACGCTGCCGTCCTCCAATATTCAGTTCGGTTGAGGTTCAACGATCCGCTCCATGAACTGACGTCATTAGTGGCAGTCCTTTCATCCTAAGAAGATAGCCCGATGCATTCATTTAAAGTACTCACTCATAACTGGAAGATTGGATTCGTCGAGCTAATCACATTCATGCATGCATGGCGGGGGACTCGCTCGCATACGGTACCGTTCATCGTTGAATCTATTACGCGGCCCTCGTCACGATACGTAGCCGAGAGCAAGTTTAAGAAAGCTGGGCAGCTCGGAAGCCGACCCCACCACGCAGTGGACGTCCTAATTAGGGCATCTTAGCAAGAAGAACCCATGCCTCTCTACGGAACAATATGCCATGAAGAAGCTTGGCTGTTATTAATTTGCGTGATCAGCTGTTCTCGTTTGGGGCCATGCCCATGCGCTTCAGCTTATTAGGTGCTAGCCCTCCCCCCCCTTTAGCCTTTGCCGATGACATCTTCTCACAGCACGACCCAAGCTTTGCCCACTCAAGTCAAATGTCATTTTTGGACCTGGTGATGGTGTAACGGACGGTCCGGGTCCAATTCTTCAGATTATCATTTGCCAGATCTGTTGCTGACATTCCTGTCTTCCTTGCGAGCGATACAGCTGGTACCATCAGCTGCGAGATACCCCTAGTTCCTTACTGCGACTTGCGCGAGCGTGTTGGCCCAGCCAGCACAAGCTATACACCATGGCAAATCACAAAGAAGAGGATGGAGAAAGCCATAGCTTTCTGCATGGCTTGAAAGAGAAGCTGCAGGGCACCAAGCTTCACGAAGCCAAGATCAGTCTACACCACAAGCGGTACGCAATGCCCACGGATAGCCCTTGCTCTATGAGTCTTGTGTGAGTGAATACGCTGACATGAAATCCTCTCATCCAGAAATCAGATCGGCAAGCTCGCAAACCTGGTAAGAAGAACACACGGAGAGCATGGTCGCAGTACACTTGACTCACTGTTGTGCAGTTCAACGCGAATCATCGTCACGATGAGGAGCACGAGCAGCGGTGCGACGAGAAGCGCTCGGAAATCTGCGAATCGCATCGCTTTGAATCCTACTTTCCCGAGCGTGAGGGAAATCTGATCAAGTGGTACGTCGACGGCCGCGATTACTTCTGGGCGGTCTCGGTGGCTCTGGAGCAGGCAAAGGAGATCATCTACATTGAAGACTGGTGGCTGTCGCCCGAGCTCTTCCTGCGTCGCCCTCCTTATCACAAGCAGGAGTACCGCCTGGACCATGTCCTCAAGAGAAAGGCCGAGGAGGGCGTCAAGATCTTTGTCATTGTCTACAAGGAGGTCGAGGCGGCCCTGACCTGCAACTCCCTCCACACCAAACATGCGCTACAGGCGCTGTGTCCCGAGGGCACGCCTGGGCATGGCAACATTAGGATCCTGCGACACCCGGACCACAACCCGTTCGAGAATGCCGCGGATTCCACAATGTACTGGGCGCATCATGAGAAGTTTATCATCATTGACTTCGCAATGGCCTTCATTGGCGGACTTGATCTGTGTTTCGGGCGATGGGACGCCAACCAACACCCCCTGGCGGACGTGCACCCCGAGGGCGTCGTCAACGAGATATGGCCTGGGCAAGACTTTAACAATAACCGTGTCATGGACTTCCAAAAGGTCGAGGATTGGCAACAGAATGAGCTGAGCAAGGCCGAGTATGGTCGCATGCCGTGGCACGACGTTTCCATGGGTGTCATCGGGCCTTGCGTATACGATATTGCCGAGCACTTTGTCTTGCGATGGAACTTTGTCAAGCGTGACAAGTACAAGCGTGATGAGAGATACGACTGGATAGTGCTCGAGGGCCGCCAGGGAGAGGACGAAGACCTCATCGGCGTCCAGCGTCCCAAGCATCCTGTCGGAGACTACGTACAGCATCCCCTCACGCCCCTGAGCTCGAAGAACTTGGACAACAGGGGCACCGTCAAAGCACAGCTGGTGCGCTCCAGTGCGGATTGGTCCAGTGGCATCCTGACGGATCACTCTATCCAGAATGCATATGCCGAGACGATTCGCAAAGCGCAACACTTTGTCTACATTGAAAATCAATTCTTCATCACGGCCACAGGCGACGAGCAGACGCCCATTACGAACACCATTGGTGCCGCCATCGTCGACGCCGTACTCCGCGCAGCCCAAGAAGAACGCAAGTTCAGAATCATCATTCTTATCCCGGCCATCCCGGGCTTTGCCGGCGATCTCCGTGACGACGCAGCAGCCGGCACGCGTGCGATTATGGACTACCAGTACAAGTCCATCTGCCGTGGCGAACACTCCGTCTTTGAGAAGATCAAGGCCCAGGATGTTGACCCAACCCAGTACATTTTCTTCTTCAACCTCCGTTCCTATGATCGCCTGAACAAAACACCGCAGCTCGAGGAAACGGAAAAGAAGACAGGCATCAGCTACCAGCAGGTTCAGCGTGCTGAGGCTGAAGAGATTATGGCCGCAGGTATCCACGGTACGATCGATGCTGCAGACAAAGAGCGCGACGAGCACATGGGGGGCGTGAAGACACAGGAGAAGGGGATGGAAGACAAGTCCATTAAGGAGGCCATAGCGGCCAAGGACAAGTTCGAATCTGCAAGGCCCGAGGGTCCCGTTACCACGAACACCTCTGTCGCGCATTACGCCATGAATGTGGAAGGGACTATCCTGGACGAGCCTTGGGACGAGAAGAAGCCCGAGTCGGAAGTCGAGAACTACGTACAGGAGGAGCTGTACATTCACAGCAAGCTCCTGATTGCAGACGATCGCATTGTCATTTGCGGTTCCAGCAACCTGAACGACCGCAGTCAGCTTGGCTATCACGACAGCGAGCTCAGCATTGTCATGGAAGACACGCGGACCATCACCAGCGTCATGGATGGCGTGCAGTACGAGGCAGGCTACCATGCAGCAACGCTGCGCCGATACCTGTGGCGTGAGCACCTGGGCATGCTCCCACCGCAGGATCTGGATGCTAATGACGATATCAACGCCCTCCCGCCCACGGTGAACCCGGAGAACAATATTCACGACGACGTGGAGAGCTACAAGTTTGTCGAGGATCCTCTCGGCGAGGATCTCTGGAAAATGTGGACTGAGCAGGCCGACAAGAACACCATGCTGTTCCGTCACCTATTCCACTCCGACCCTGATGACCACAGTATGTTGCGCCGCACATCGGTGAGATCATTTGCTAACAGGCTACGTAGTCAAAACATTCGAGGACTATGACCGATACCTGCCGCCCCGTGGCGTCAAGTCAGGTCACATCTTTGACCAGTTCATCCCACCACAGGACGTGCGCGAGAAGCTGAGCCAGATCAAGGGGCATTTGGTCTGGTTCCCGCTCGAATTCCTCCAGGATGCCGAGATGGCTGAAAGGGGTCTGCAGGTCAACACACTCACGGAGAGTATCTTTACCTGATGAGATGGGGTGGGAATGACGAGTGATGATGAAGGCGTTGGAGGCGTTTCCCTACCGGGTGAGGGTCGTTACAGGCCTTTTTTCTTCTTCTTGCCTAGTGTTGAACAAAACAATGATTCTGTTGAGAAACCCGACTCGCGTGCGTGCCGGACCGTCCCCCGCGCGGCAAGCAATGAAATCTCGAGAACCAATGTAATCCCGTACACGAGGAGTCGTGATGAGCCTCGTGAACGCGGGTCGGCCAATGGGGGCGTCTAGATGGCCACCCGCAAGGGGTGAGTAGATGTCACCTGCATAAGCTCCGTCTTGGTGTTGCGATAATACGCATTTGAAGAGACGATGGCGCACCCTCGTGTGCGGTTTTTGATTGCGGGCAGCGTTTGCGTACTCGCGCCAAACCGTGAACGTGCAGTAAGGTTGTGAGGACCTTGCCATGCTGGACGTGTAATTAGCCCTTTTGTCCAAGCCGAGAGGAGGTATGAGCATCTATACGACCCTTCCGTGGTTTGGAGTGATCCATCTCACGATGTTATCTTCTCGGTTCTTTCCAGTGCCATATTCGTAATTGAAGAACCTCGACTCCAGTCGCTTGTCAGAAACTCAACACTGGGCACCTGCCATGCGATGATGCGTGCTGTAGATAGCAGATCAAGTACCGTACCCTAGACTACAGTAGCGCTGTGGCCGCCACTAATAGCCGGCGCCTGCGCCCACCAATGCATGTTGCCAGGCAAGTTGACAACAGCTTGGAGCAGTCATTTAATATCAGTCGCGGCTACCAACTTGAAGCCATAATTAACAAGTTGGACGCTTCACTTCAATTCTTCGATTCCCGCTTGCCTTATAATAGGTACCCGACTCAGCATTGCAGCCTAACCGCCGGGACTACGTCATCTCCATCCCCTGTCTGGCCTGAGCGTCTGGAAGCTCCTGCCTCATCGCTCGTTACAGCCTACAGCACTGCAGCACCCCGCTTCGACCCTATCCGACACATTCAGGCTCGAGGAGTCGAGGCCTCGACCAGCGGTGACCAAGGTAGCATCTGTAAGTAGTAGTCAGGGAAAGCATCCTCATTTACTGATCTAACTTCACCCTTTGCAGACCCTTAACAGGTGATCATCGACTTTACAAGGCTCTGTCACGGCGCCACCCAGAGCCTTGTTGTCGCGTACCTGCGCCGGACCAGCCATCCCCCTCCTCAACGTTTCCGTCGCACCCCACGCTCCGCAGCGCGTCGTCCAGGTCGCATAGACGGCGACCTCCCGAGCCCTCTTCCTGCGCGCGGCGCGCACGAGCAACCCCTCCATCATCGACAGTAGCTGCACCTGCACCTAGCCGGCGCTGCTTTGGAGAAGTGACCGATAGCTTCCAGCCTCGCCGTTGTTGACAGACAGGCAACTGCCCGAGATGGCGCAGTCACCCATGCTTTCGGTGCCTCTCAAGGCAACCAACGAGATTGATTGGGTCGCTCCTCTCAAGTCCTATATAAGCAACACCTACGGAGACGACCCGGAGAGATATGCCGAGGAGTGTGCCACCTTGAACCGCCTGAGGCAAGACATGCGCGGTGCTAGCAAGGAGAGTACCTCTGGGCGGGACATGCTCTATCGATATTATGGACAATTAGAGCTCCTGGATCTGCGGTTTCCCGTGGATGAGAATCATATCAAGATCTCCTTCACGTGGTAAGGCCCTCCTTTGCGGTCATTCTGCGTGCATTGCTTTTCTGACCAGCGCTAGGTTCGATGCTTTTACACACAAACCGACATCTCAATACTCGCTGGCCTTCGAAAAGGCATCCATCATATTCAACATCTCTGCGGTTCTGTCATGCCATGCTGCATTTCAAAATCGGTCGGACGAGTCGTCGCTCAAGACCGCCTACCATTCCTTACAAGCTTCGGCCGGCATGTTCACTTATATCAACGAGAACTTTCTCCACGCCCCATCAAACGATTTGAGCCGCGACACAGTAAAAGCATTGATCAATATCATGCTGGCCCAAGCGCAGGAAATCTTCCTGGAGAAACAAGTCGCCGACAAGAAGAAGGTGGGCTTGCTAGCGAAACTTGCGGCGCAAGCGGGATATCTATATACCCAAGCTCTAGAAGGAGCCCAGGAGAACGTCAACAAGGGCATTTTCGAGAAAGTTTGGTTAATGTTCATACAGGTGCGTGAAATTGAAAGAAAATATACTTGCGTAGTACTGACAATCGCAGGTCAAAATGAACCTCTTGCTATCGATGGCGCAATACTATCAGGGCGTTGCAGACGACGAGGCTGGCCACTATGGTGTGTCAGTGTCTCGCTTCCAAGTCGCTGACTACTTGGCGAAAGAGGCCAACAAGCTTGCGAAGACGTTCCCCAGCGTGCCGTCGCCCAACTCGAATCTCAGCGCAGACACCGCCGGGCAGCTCCAGAACATAGCGAGCAGACATTTTTCAACCGTTCAAGAGCGGCTAGCAGAAGCGTCAAAGGACAACGACTATATCTATCACCATACAGTCCCTGCGGAGGCGACTCTTGAAGCTATTGCCAAGCTCCCGGCTGCGAAGCCGATCCCCGTCTCTGAGCTATACGCAGGTCAAGATATCAGCAGGATCACCGGGCCCGATCTCTTCTCGAAGATTGTGCCCATGGCTGTCACCGAGTCCGCCAGTCTGTACGATGAGGAGAAGGCCAAGCTCATACGGGCCGAGACCGAAAAGGTTGACACAGCAAACGGGGAAATGGCGGCCAGTCTGGACTACCTGCGTCTCCCCGGCGCATTGCAGGTTCTTAAGGGCGGCTTCGATCAGGATATCCTCCCAGACGAGGACTTTCGGCAGTGGTGCGATGATGTTGCGACGCACGAGAACCCCAGCACCATCTTCGAATCGCTCCGAACTAACAAAGAACGGATCGTGAGTACATTAGACAGATGCTCCAAACAGCTCGACATGGAGGAGAGTGTGTGCGAGAAGATGCGATCCAAACACGAGAGTGAATGGACGCAGCAGCCCAGCTCTGCGCTCACAACAACTCTTCGGGGCGACATTCGAAGCTACAGGCAGGCCTTAGAAGAGGCTCTGCGCAGCGACGGCCAGCTCGAGGCCAAGCTGCGCCAGAATGAGGCCGATTTTGAGGAGATGCGTCGGGCGGCGCAAGACGGCGAGGTGGACGGGCTGTTCCAGAGGGCAGTCGCGCAAGTACGGGGCGCCCAAGCTAGCAGCCCGGGCGGCATCCAGCCCAACTTGCTTGATGATGATTTCGAAGAGGAGGGTACAAGCGTAGTGGACCAAATCGCCAAGGTAGAGGACACTCTGAAGAAGCTCAATCTCGTCAAGCGCGAGCGCAATCAGGTATTGAAGGACCTCAAAGACAAGGTATGTTTGTGAGCTACGCCACATCAAGGACTCGAGACTGACAAATTAGGTTCATCACGACGATATCTCGCAAATCCTTATTCTCAACAAGAAAATGTCAAACTACGAGAACCAATTGTTCCAACAGGAGCTCGAGAAGTTCCGGCCACACCAGAACCGACTCTTGCAGGCGAACCACAAACAGTCGGCGCTCATGAAGGAACTGACGGCCACATTCAACGCCCTGCTGCAGGATGAGCGTGTTCGTTCCGAGCAGAGCAAGTACGAGGCGATCCAGAAGCAGAGGTCGACAGTGATCAACCGTTACAAGCGGGCGTACCAAGAATTCCTTGACCTGACGTCGGGGCTATACAGCGCCAAGAACTGGTACAATGAGATGAAGGAGACTGTGGAGAGTCTCGAGAAGAACGTGGAGTCGTTTGTCAACAACAGGAGGTCGGAGGGTGCACAGCTTCTCAACCAGATTGAGCAGTCGCAGGCTTCAAACAAATCAGCGCAGGCGGAGCTTGAGCAGGAGAGAATGCGAGGCCTGATGGAGCGTATGTCGATGGGCGACCAGTCCCGAACCCCACCACAACTGCCGCCGCAACCTGGACAGCAACAACGCCAGAGGCCGACGCCGCCAGCTCTGTTCCAGTCAGGGCAGGCCCCAAGATATGGGCAGTCAACGTATCAAGGACAGTACCAGATGCCCACATCACCACCACCCAACCAGCCTCCTCAGCAAGCGTACCAGGGATACACAAGCCCGCCGCCACAAACGTACGGACAGCCGCCTTCTAGTACATATGGGCAAGCGAGCTATAACCCAAGTCAATACGGACGCACGCCAGGTCCAACATCACCTCCCCCGAACCAGACATCTTTCGGTATGCAGGCAATGCGTGGTCCAGCCTCGCCGCCGCCTCATCAGACATCATTTGGCCAGCCGCATCACCAAGCTCATCAGAGCTTCAGCACGTACGGTGTACCGCAGACGCCGCAACAGACCCAGGGCGGATACGTTCCTCCAGGCTTCGTCCCGCCTCCGCCGCCTCCTGGACCTCCACCTCTAGGTCCGCAGCAGACAGTACATTACGGTCAGTCCCAACCGGGGCAGCAAGGCTATGGCCATGGGCCGCAGAGTGCGCATCCACAAAGCGCGCATCCTGGCAGCGCTCACCCGCAGTCAGCGCAGCAACAGGCCCCTGATCCGTGGGCGGGACTCAATGCATGGAAGTAGACACAAATCTTAGGTATTTGATGTAGAATGGGGAGGCATTACATGTTTCAATGAGAGCGTCCATACGAAGCTTTTGAACGTTGATAGTTGGTGAGAGTAAAGAAACGTGTGGGTACAGGGTAGTTGTCCTGCACCTTGACAAATTCGCAAGCTGCGATTTGCTCGTCATCCGTTGACCCGACGGCCGAATTCCCGAGGCTCGGGGGCTTCTCGATTTTGTGTCCAATCACGTTCCTCCAATGTCGATGAAGGCCACACATTGTATGGGGCAAGGAGATAAAGCGGCGGAGAGGGAGGTTGGGGCGCTGTGATGCCGTAGCGCCTTGCGGGGATTGAGCCTAGCTGCATCGGAGCATCATCATTGAGAAGGCGATTTCGACGGATGCCGACGGATAGTACCCGAGAAGCTCAGCTCTGATTTGAACCTGACCTCCGGCCAGGCACCTTTGTTTCGACCTCACCGACCAATTCTTGGGTGGTAGACAAGACTGTCGCTCTGGAATTCCCAGACACACTATCGATACAGCACTAGACAAGACAGCGATACCGGACTGACGCTGAACCCGGACGAAAGGGATCATGACGCTCTCAGGGAACGACGTCGCCAAGCACAACGACGCAAAGTCGTGCTGGGTGATCGTGCATGTAACACAGATGCCTCTCGTGAGCCCAATGGCCGAGACAGACAGAGACTGATGAGCAAACAGGGCAAAGCATACGATGTGACGGACTTTTTGCCAGAGCACCCTGGCGGCTCCAAGATCATCCTCAAATACGCCGGCAAGGATGCCACCGAGGAGTATGACCCAATCCATCCCCCGGATACGCTGGACAAGTATCTCGACAAGTCCAAGCACCTCGGCCCCGTCAACATGGACACAGTCGCCAAGGAGGTCATGGAGGAAGACCCCGACGAGGTGGAAAGACAGCAGCGCGTTGCGCAGAAGCCGCTCCTCGAGCAGTGCTACAACCTGCACGACTTTGAGGCCGTCGCGAGGAGGGTCATGAAGAGGACGGCGTGGGGGTACTACTCGAGTGCGGCCGATGATGAAATTGTGAGTATATCTGTGATGTCTTCTCCCTGTACCTGCTAATGCTTGTCCCAGACGATGCGCGAGAATCACTCTGCCTTTCACCGCATCTGGTTCCGCCCACAGGTCCTCGTCGACGTGGAAAAGGTAGACTTCAGCACCAAGATGCTCGGCACGCCATGCAGCATCCCCATCTACATCACCGCCACGGCCCTCGGCAAGCTGGGCAACCCAGAGGGCGAGGTCATCCTCACCCGCGCCGCGCACAAGCACGAGGTCATCCAGATGATCCCGACCCTCGCATCCTGCTCGTTTGACGAGATTGTCGACGCGCGGCAGGGCGACCAGGTGCAGTGGCTGCAGCTCTACGTCAACAAGGACCGCGAGATCACCAAGAAGATCATACAGCACGCCGAGAAGAGGGGATGCAAGGGCCTCTTCATCACCGTCGACGCGCCGCAGCTCGGACGTAGGGAGAAGGACATGCGCTCCAAGTTTACCGATCCCGGCAGCAACGTGCAGAGTGGCTCGACGACGGACACGTCGCAAGGCGCGGCGCGCGCCATCTCCTCCTTCATCGACCCGAGTCTCAGCTGGAAGGACATTCCCTGGTTCCAGAGCGTCACCAAGATGCCCATCATTCTCAAGGGCGTGCAGCGCGTGGAAGACGTGCTCAAGGCCGTGGAGGCCGGCGTGCAGGGTGTCGTGCTGTCGAACCACGGTGGTCGGCAACTCGACTTTGCCCGGTCGGCTGTCGAGATCCTCGCCGAGACGATGCCCGTCCTGCGCGAGAGGGGCTTGGAGAACAAGATTGAGATCTTTGTCGACGGCGGCATCAGGCGCGCCACAGATATCATCAAGTGTTTGTGCCTTGGTGCCACCGGCGTGGGCATAGGCCGGCCCTTCCTGTACGCCATGAGCGCGTACGGACAGCCTGGCGTCGACAGGGCGATTCAGCTGCTCAAGGACGAGATGGAGATGAACATGCGTCTGATTGGGTGCACAAAGGTCTCCGAGCTGCATCCCGGGCTGCTCGATACCAGGGCGTTGAGTGTTCACGCAACGACACCTGTCGATCATCTGTCAGGGGCGGTGTACGATCCCCTGGCGGTGCCGGCCCAGCGGCCAAAGGGACCGCCTGTCAAGGCCAAGCTGTAAACGAAGCTCAGGTTGCGGCCTGTATGTATTTCATCATGTTTGATAGACGCCATTGCAATGCTCATAGTCCATGATACATCGTTATATAACTCGCTATCCCTACCTACAGACCCCGGAGGAACTCCTGCAGAGACATTGGTTTCCTCACTGCATTGTTCATGCCTTCGTGGTAGGTCACCCAGACCTTTCTCTCTTCTTTCCTGGCTCTCTTCTGCGCATTAATGTCCAGCTCGGCCAACGGGCGTGCCTCGATCACGCGACCAAAGAAATCCTTCTTGACAATGGTTGCCGCCTTGGCATCACTCATGATGTGATCCATGTTCTCCTTGTTGTGTATAGGTAGACTCGGCGTCACGGCAGCGGGCCCTCCGCCTTGCAGGAAGCGTGCCTGACGAGCAGCAGCGTCACGCTGGGCAAGTGTTCGTTGCAACTCCTGGTCCAGTACTTGTCGGACAGCGAACCGGACCGGCGCTTGCGAGGATAGCAGGTTTGAAGCTGTGTCAAAGGCCGAGAGGGCGTCGAGATCGCTGCACATATCCAAGATTAGCATATACCATCCAGAGCAAGGGGGTCTCTGTAAAGCGTTGGTACGTACGGTTCCATGCGATACACGTATTGCGGTGTACGGCTGTTGAGCGCTTCACCCTCAACCTTGCCCTTGTGCAGAGCAATGCCAACCTCAGCGAGGACCTCTGCTGCTCTCTTCACCATTGCCTTTTCACTTTCCTTGCGAATGGTCGCGGTCGAGCCGGTGCTGCCACCCACTACGACGGGCTTCACCTCGGGCGAGACAATCCTTGTAAGGTACGGCAGAAACTCGGTGGCCACATCCTCAGCGCTGCGGAATGCACGGCCCAGCGTGGGCGTGAGCTGGGCCTGGATGGCCTGTAGCTGTGCGCGGTTGTGCTTTTCTGCTTCGTGGGCTTCGTAATCTGCCCTGGGCCCGGAGAATGGAGCAGGGGCCGCCGTGCTCTCCTCCGCCGACTCGCCCCAGCGCTTGTCGTACCCCTGACCAACAATATGCCTCTTTGGCGAGGCAAAAAAATGATGGCATGCCAGCACCGGCTGCCCTAAGTACGGCGCCAACTCCCACTCTTGACTGGCATACAGCCTCCCCTGACAAGCGTCGTGGAAATGCAGCCAGTCGTACGCCTGGTTTGGTTTCGTCAGGTAGCTGTCGTCGTTGAACTCCCGGTTGGGGTATTCGGCAAAGATCTCTGCGAGTATGTACCCAATCTCGCCACTCGTATCGACCATCTCCCGGAGACGCTCCATCGAGTACTTCTTCTGCTGCTCGCCGAATCCCAGTTCTGTCGTCGGCTGCTCATGCTTGTGATGTGTTGCCTCCATCCTGACTACAGGTTTGGGAAATCCACCTCCCTCTTGGAAGATGCGACTGACAATGTCCTTGGAGCTTCCACGGCCGAGACCGCGTGCTCCCGCCGCTCCGCTGGCGAGGTCGGGCAGAATGTGCCTCTCGATCCAGTGACGCGTCAGACGGTCCTGCCCGCTCGCGTTGGCTGCACGGAAACGTCCCGCAGCCCATTCACCAACGACCATGACACCACGGAGATCCCCCTCGACGGTGTTCTGAGCACCCTTTTTTGCATCGGCACCGGTTCCCATGCCCCATGCTGCCTCACAGAGCTTGCGCGAGGCATCCTTGTCGCAAGGTATGGCCTCTTTGTCGAAGATGGCTCTCAGACGACCGACCACAGCGTCCAGGGACGGGCGTCCGACGTGGATGACTTCTGCCAGGTTCGACTGTCGCAAGGGCCTCAGCGATGGAGCGTATACATCATTACAGATGAGAACAAGTGGACGCATCTGTCGAAAGTCGTCCCCCTTTTTCTTCTTGCGCCCCTGGGACGCCCCCGAGTTGCCCCCGCTGTTTGTGTTTTTCTGATCCAGCATCACAAGGTCGATCAAGGCTTTGACAAAGCCACCTTCGCCGGAACCACCTGAGCCAGTGACGACGCCGTCTACCTCATCGACGACAACGCAAACCGGCTTGGCAGGCTTCTGTCCAGCCCCGCCCGTTTTCGTATTGGTCACCGTCTTGACGCTCTCTGTCCCCAGACTGGTCCTGATGCGATTCTTGACAACGTCGCGACTGCGGTCGTCACTTGCATTGACTTCGAGAACCTCGTACCCAGCTTGCTTTGCACACACGTGCGCCAACGTGGTCTTTCCCAGCCCGGGTGGTCCAGTCAGCATGAGGATCTTCCTGTGTGGTTTCTCCTCTTCCTGCTGTTGCTGCTGCTGTGCGCCAGGCCGTTTGGCAATGACAGGTTTTGCTTTACCTGCGCCAGGGAAGACCACGGGATCCCATCTTTTCAACCACCGCAGGACGTTTCTGTTTGTGCTGTCGTCACCGCAAAGGTCCATGAAATTCTTCGCCCTATATTTCTCCGTCCACAACAAATGTTTCCTGGATTTCTTCCTGCTGGGGGCCGCCTCCACAGTTGGGAGAACCTCGCTCGTTGGCGTGGGCTGCCCAGCAGGCGTGGCGTCGATCTCTGCCTGTGCAGTCTTCATGAGATTGTGTATATCAATGCCGTAGTATGCCCTTTTCGCACGACCCTCTTTTGTCGTTGTCCGTGCAGCTGCCATCTGCTCGAACGATTGGGCTTCTGAGGTCTGGCGTTCCTTTATGTGTAGCGACCTGCCCGTGCAGGTGTTGATGGTATAAGAGCTGGGTGTCAGCGTGTCGAGGAAGGATTTTGGGAAAAGTGCGCGCCCTTGCGTCCAGGCCGGCCCAGAGTCACGGGAGTCTACATGCTCGGTAGGCAATTGGGCATTTCGGCGCTCAGCTTCGAGGTCCAGCGAGACTGTGTCCTGGTCGGGTTTCTCGAGCATTCGCCTCTTGGGTGAGGGCTCGTCGTGTGCTGCATCCTGTTCTGTGGCTACCGGGTCCTCCTCCTCCTCCGAGTCTGAGTCGTCCGTGATGAAAGGTCCGGCTGCTCGAGCTTTGGGTTTGCTAGTTCGATCATCATGGGGTCTATCCCGCTTGCTGGCTGGTGACACACCAGCAACTGGCACTGAGGTTTCGAAGGCAAGCATATTCCGAGGTTTGGCGGCGTAGTCCGATTCAATGGCTGGTGGTCGGACTTGATACGCATTCACAGCATGTTCGATCGGCTCAAGGTTCGCTGGAAATCAAACGTTGAATGTGGGCTTTAGGAGATGCTGAATTTCCAGGTCCAGTTCTGATGGTAGTGAAGCAGCGCGCCTCGCGTTTAGTGCTGTGTGAGACGCGTCGCGCGTCTGAGCTGCCCCACGTTAGAGCCGGCCGTCGCCTCGGAGGAAAGCTGAGTCAGCATGTCCATGGGGCAGATTCCGGACTAAGGATATCCCGTGCTTCCAAGTCGCCAAATTTTGGAGACCAGCGAGTAACAACACAGCACGCGACAATACGTCTGGCTGCTCAGCAAGGAGGCCCAATTCATTCTTTACCTGTTGACACGGTCGACCTCCTCACGCCACAATGCGCAGACCGGCAAGGTACCTCAATTTGAGGCGACCCGTAAGTTTCATTTATGCCCTTGAGGGATCCTTGCGATCCTAGGCCCTGCCTCATTGTGACCAAAGAGGCTGACCCAAGACAGAAACTTCGCCTGTCATGGAACAAGCACAATCTATACAACATCGCCAAAGGCGTCGGCTCCGTCGACATGGGGCGTGCCTCGATGCGAACTTTTTTCCAGCAGAAGTGGGAGGCCAAGTCAACGACGCGCGGTTACCACGGCGAGCACATACCCGAGAAGAAATGGAAGCGCATGTTCACCCGGCAGCTCGCCTCTGTCGTTGAGATGGACCCGCGCTACCTCGCAGAGCATGACGGTTCAGAGCAGGCTACCGGCCGTGGATCGGGCATGGGAGCACGCCAGGTGGCGGCCGACGACTATGCGACGTGGTTTCCCCGTGGGCAACGACAGGACGAGGTGGGACACGTCGCAGCGACCAGAGTCGGATCACAGGTTACTCGCGAGATGGAACTGGAGCACCGTAACATTACACCTCTCATGCAGATGACCTACGCGCCGGTGGAGCGGAGGCTGGACATGGCTGTTTTCCGGTCGCTGTTCGCAACGAGCATTCGTCAAGCGAGGTTGATGGTCGTCCACGGTGCTGTGACGGTCAATGGCAAGAAGGTGAGCTAGCCAGGCAGTGACACGACAACGGGCACTGACTAGGATACAGATGGTCTACCCTGCCTATCGCCTGAACCCTGGCGACATGTTCCAAGTTGACGTGGGCAAAGTCCTCTCCGCTGTCAGCAAACATAAGAACCCTGAGACGAAGCTGGAAACAGCCAAGGTCGTCAAGATGCTCAAGAACAACCAGAAACTCTACGACAGCATGGAGAAGCGGTTACGAGTATGGAACGACCAATTCGAGGAGACCGCCAACCCCAAAGCGACAGAGGTGAACGAGGACGGTGAAGAGAAGACTGCATTCGACGAAGCACAAGTCATCAAAAAATTCCGCTACGCCATCTATTCACAAGGAAAGGGCAAAGACGGAGCAGCAGCAGCAGAGGCTCAGACCGAGACCCCGGCCGAGGGTGTCGAGGAGGCGGCGGCCGAGGGTGTAGAAGGTGGCGAGAGTGCGGCCAAGCCCAGCGCAGAGAGGCTGTTGTCCAACGAGGAGGGTCAGGAACTCAAGAGGCTCAAGCTCGAGACCGCATTGATCGATGCCAAGCTTCTGATCCGCGACCAGAGTGAGAAGAACGACCCCCTCTGGCGAGAGTTTAAGCTGCGAAGCTTTAGGGACCAAGTGGGCCGCGCGCTGGACATGGACACATCAGCACAGACGAGCACCAAGGAGCTCATCAGCCAGCTGGAAACCAACATGAAGAGCTTGAGCATGCTACACGACGAGAAGTCGCAGAGCTCCCAGGCTGCCAACGCACCGGGGCAGAAGACGCCGCGGCAATACGCCCAGAAGGCCCTTTGGCTCTCGGGACACACGTCCGATAGCGACGTCGCCGTATCCGTCGGCCTGGACAGGCTATCGGTCAAAGAGTTTAAGGACCTCGCGAGGTTGCTCCGCTCCGATGCTGAGAACCCCATTGACGAGCACAAGCCCTACCCCACGCCCTGGGCGCCTCGGCCGTTCATGAAGCCGTTCGTCTTTGTGCCGCGTTATCTCGAGGTCAACCACACCACCTGCTCTGCCGTCTACCTGCGTCACCCCGTGGCGAGAAAGGGCATGGGTGAAGTGCCAACGCCGTTCAACTTCTTCACCAACCAGCTGGCACACAACTGGTATGTCGGCCGGGGGGCGAAGCATGCTACCATGTAAGATAGTCAGGGCGTGGGGGTCTGTATATTAGACGTGTTGTATAATTGTACAAAAGCGCGACAGCGGCGATTGTACGTTGAGAAGTAAAGACTTTCTCGCAGATCCATGAATGTCTTGAACGTACGTCTCTCAAGTATAGGAATGGGAGATCCCAATGCGTGTCTGGCCATGCAGTTGTGTTCAACAGTTGACAGAATCGACGGACGTGTCTGATAAGACATTTCGATGTGCACCACTACTATTGCCTACCCTGTACCATCATCCCACGTTTTCCCCTCAAGATCGTTATCAGACCTCACCATCCATTTGTCGCTCACTTGCTGATACGTACAATATCCATCTACATGATCTCTACGGAGCCTTGAAATGTGAGATTTGAATGCATCTCACTGGCAGGTACATTCATGTGCACAGCCATTCTCCTCTTTCACCCGAGCAGCCTGCTGCTGAGCATGAACAAATCCGGCTATCGCACGATTCGCGCTCTTCATCCAAGCGATTGCTTTCGAGGCCACACATGAAATCCGAGACCCGTCCTCATTGGTCAGCCACGGGATTTATTAGGATCTACAAATCTCGGCCCAACTGCGACGGCTCACGGGTCACGGGTCCTTAACATGAATAACGTCAACAGTGGTGCCGGCGCTGCTGCTGGCAACCAGAGTGACTGGTCGCAAGCCCTGCATCATCCACAACCAGCCTCGTCTGTCAGCGCAGACACGTCTGCGGCGTCGGCACCCAGCAAAAAGAAGCCATCTCGCCGACGAACGGGCGCCTCTAGCCCCAAGAGACGATGCGTCAGTACTGCCTGCATCGCGTGCCGCAAACGCAAGTCCAAGTGCGATGGCGCGGTCCCGAGCTGCGCAGCATGCGCGAGCGTATACGGCACAGAGTGCATCTATGATCCCAACTCGGACCATCGGCGAAAGGGCGTGTACAAGGAAAAGGCCGACAGTATGAAGGCGCGCAATTCCACCCTGCAGATCTTGATCGAGGCGATCCTGAACGCATCAGAGGACGAGGCGTTTGACATTGTGAGGAAGATCAGGACGTGCGACAGTCTCGACTCGGTAGCAGAGGGTATTCTGTCTCAAGGCCCTGAGAATGACCAGATGCTCTCCGAAGGGTCCGACGACGACGCAGGTGGCGACACCCGTGCCACTGAGACCGGCAACGCCATTGATGGTGAGAGGGCGCTCGCCCGCAAGATGGGCGAGCTGCGTCTGGAGAACGGATCGGTTCGCTTCATCGGCGGAACGTCGCATCTAATCTATCTCAGTGATCCCCAAAGCGGCCTGAGCGACGAGCCCCTGGCTGACGAGTGTAATCCTGGGGCAGACGCTGTTGCGACTTGGACACGCGTGACGGACGACGCGCCCCTCATCAGTATGCTCATCAACAAGTACTTCAACTACCACTACCCTTACTTCACGACGCTGTCCCGCAAAATTTTCGAGAGGGACTTCCTCAAAGGAAGCCTGGAGGTGGCGCGGGAACAGAGACAGGGGGCTACCGTCCACTGCTCTGCGCTGCTCGTCAACACCATGCTTGCGCTGGGCTGCCACTTCACCGACGTCCCGGGCGCCTATGCAGTCCCCGGAGACAGTCGCACAAAAGGCGACCATTTCTTCGCGGAAGCCAAGCGCCTCATCATCGAGAATGGCGAGTACGAGCGACCTCGGCTGGTGACGGTACAGGCCCTGGCACTCATGTCCGTCCGCGAAGCCGGCTGCGCGCGGGAGGCCAAGGGCTGGGTCTACAGCGGCATGAGCTTCCGTATGGCGCAGGACATTGGGCTGAACCTGGAGATGGACAACATGGAAAGGGAGAGAATGCCGGAGCATGAGGTAGATGCCCGGCGGATCACGTTCTGGGGCTGCTTCCAGTTCGACAAGGTCTGGTCCAATTACCTCGGGCGCTTGCCGCAGTTACCCAAGGGGTCTTTCAACGTGGCCAAATTCGACGTGTTCCCGGACGAGGACGCTGAGATGTGGTCGCCTTTCCCGGACACTGGGTTCGACGACGAGTGGGCGCAGCCGGCACGCACTCGAGCAGTGGCTCTACAGCTGTCCGAGCTATCCGAGATCAGCAGCGACCTTTTGATATTCTTCTACCATCCCAACCACATTGGGCGGTCAAGCGGCAAGGCCGTCGAGTTGAAGAAGCTGAGCGAGCTGCATCGACGACTCGAGGAGTGGCGGCAGAAGTTGCCCATGGAGCTAGAGGCCAAGGAAGGTCAGCTGCCCAATGTCATTCTCATGCAGTAAGTGACCTCCCACAGCAACAAACTTGGCGTGATACCAATCATGACACAGTATGTTCTTCCATCTGCAGTACATTCACCTCTTCCGGCCGTTCCTCAAATACGCTCCCTCAGCTTCCCCTCTGCCAGTCCACGTATCACCTCGCCGCATCTGCACAGCCAACGCGGGAGCCATATCGAAGCTCATGCGGTTATACAAGAAGACGTGGAACATGCGGCAAATCTGCAACATTGCCGTGTACATGACGCACTCGGCGTGCACCATTCACCTGCTGAACCTGCCCGAGCGTACGGCGCGTCGCGATATCATACACGGCGTGAAACATCTCGAAGAGATTGCGGAGGACTGGCCGTGTGCTCGTCGTACGCTATGCATCCTCAGCGTCCTGGCTCGCAAGTGGGGATGCGAGTTGCCCGAGGACGCCGCATTTGTCTTGCAGAGGACAGACGAAAAATACGGATACTACAGCACGTCTGAAGTGCCGTCACCCCATGGGCAGCAGGGAAGAACGGCAAATAATTTCGAAAGGGGTTCTGCTCCACATGGCGGTCACGCCAGGGTACATAATAGTCCTTTGAGTCAACCCCCTCAGCAGGTGTTGACTCAGCAGACACAGGGCCAACCCGTAGACATGGGCCTGAATCCTCAGGTCGAGGCGTTGGTGCAGCAACATCGACAATCGCGGCCACAGTCCCCTCAGGCCCAAGGCTTACCTCAGGACATGGGGTTCTCTACGCCATCACCATTGGCATCCTGGCCCACTGGACTGTCGCCCGTCAACGATGCCCGTTACGCTGGATTCGCAGCGAATACACGCACGCCGGAGGACCAGGAGCCGCCAGCTGGAGTGGTCATGGCAACAAGTCGTCCTCAAATGTCCCCGGCGGGTGTGAGCATGGACGGCCACGACTGGTTCCTCAACGATAGCGCTCGCTGGCAACAAAGCTTTGAGACCTGGAACTTGGGTGCTGGCGGACCTCTGCCCCCCGGCCAGCCTGACGCCGCAAGCGGTGTCTACGTCTTTGGGGACGTCACCGGTGGCGGTGTCGTACCAGATGGCGGGCAGGGCCAGCTTCAGCAGCGATCAACACCGCACGGTGACGAGGTCGAGGGCGCCTTTGACGGCCTGGGGGCTTCGCTGAACGGCGGTGGGTGGTTACCGGGGTTGGACTGATGGATGGACGACAGTCAGGGGAGTTCCAATGAGATTTAAGAACGCAACGTTGGAGTGTCGGTGTACTTTAAGACGACATGGACAATGCAGGGAAAGATACCTCTTCGCGATCGAATTCGCATGTTTTTTTGAGCCTGTGAGAATCAGTACAACTGGGGGATCCACGTTGTTCCCAACACAAAGATCCGGTTTGAGTCCTGACACCCTCGCTCCGAATGTCGATCTACTCCGTATATAGTTGGACCCTTGAAGACAAGACATGTCGGGTAAATCGGTCTCGACAATCATATGTCCAACGGCATGCTTCTTCGGAACGTTTGCATCGCGGACGCAGGACCCATGCGGGGAGGGCCCAGAGGCCCCAGACTCATTCTATCACCCCAGAGACCCTGAAAGCTTGTCTGCGCTGAATGTGACCAAAGATCCTCTGGCTATGCGGAAGGGGACATCAGGCTACTACGCACGTGCGTATCCCATGGGGCTCGGCCCCTGGGTGGCAAGGCAGACGTACACGTAGGAGGGTCGTATGTTCGCCGATGTTGGGGAAAAATTAAAATGACCGCCTCTTAATATGTAGGAGCATTATCATTGGTAGCCCTGGAGGGGCGGTGTCATTGAGCAATCCTTGATGGCGGTACGTATCTTGTTTCAGTGCTGAGTCCTCTCGGACCAAGGGAAGATTACTATAATAACAAGGTGCGTGGTGTACTAATAACCAATACTTCTCAAGTTCTCAACGCGGTTCCAGGCCAATAGCTGGCGTTACATCAGTGTCATCTCTGCGCGGACTGAGATGATGAATTGCATATTACGGTCAGACGTTGGACCACACTTCATCTGGGCTGTCCAAGAAGATGAACCCCAAGTGCGCCAATACCACTCTCCTTTGTCTTGCGTGGACTCCTTCTATCTATGGGCTACATACAGCACAAAATAGTTGTACTCGCTGAGGGAAACCATGGTGAGCCCGCGTTTCTAAGCCACAGCGTAATACAGTAGTACTTGTTGAGTGCTTGTTGCCACGTCTTCGAGCCTGTTCACCCGCTGCCACATATGGACGCTACAAGTACGGATACGGATACGGATATATGTCTGTACCTACATACTTAGTCATACCTTGGTCATTGGCACGTCTCAGATCCGGATTATTCAATGCAGCATGATGAGATGCATCTTGGAAGCTGAGTGAAATTAGAGGGATGATCGAGCCAGCCATTGCGTCCTCGACTTGTCGGCGAACGGGCAGGCCGCAGCCGTCTGCGAAGGTCTCTGGCTCTCAGAACAGGCACGCAGGGACCCCTGCTCGCCATGATGTGAGTGCCCTGCTGAGCGATTGGTGCAAAATCAGGACCGGGGCTTCTCCGCATGGACGGTCGGCCCGCACTCCGACGTTCGAAACGTGTGGTGATTTGGGTTAGCGTGGGGTTCGAGTTGGGGAATGAATCACTACTAGTAGAAGGAGTCGGGAGCCGTCATCCTCACCGAACCACAAGCGGACGTGGTCAGGAGGCGTCGAGGGCGCGTCGATCGTCGGTGAGAGGCGCTGTCTGTCTGGGCGGGGAGGAACTGCGCGAGGCTGAGTGGCATCAGATCGATCAGCTGACCGCGTGCAAGAGGTGACGGGCATGTCGTGCCAGATGTTGTTGGGACTTGGAAGGCGCGAGAGCAGGAGAAGGCAAATTGGAAGCAGCCACCGATGGTGGCTTGAAATTGGGGAAGGAGCACGAGCAACATGGTCAGCGACCCTGTAATCAACATTCTTTGTGTGCCTTTCTGACGAATCCATGTCTCAGCCTTTTGCTGGATTTGGAATCGCAAGCTCATCCCCGCAAGATGCTCGCTCGCCGTGTCGCCCATGCTCATCGCTCCTTGTTAAGCGCGCCGATCTCATCTCCACGTCAATTGTGCCCGCTTGCTTGACTCACTTTGACTTGAGTGGTCGAACGCTGGACCCTGGCCTCGGGAGTCTGGAGTCTGGAGTCTGGAGTCTGGAGTCTGGAGTCTGGAGTCTGGAGTCTGGAGTCTGCTACCCCGGATGAGGACTGGAAACGCGTGAGACGCGGCGGACATTCCGCGTTGATGCTAACAAACAGCGCGCTCCTTTTGCTTGCCTCGATCGACCAGGTACCTACATAGCTGTCTACTGAGCCGGTCACCGCGGCAGTCCTCGAACCACGAAGCGTCCACTTGGGTCTAACTCTAACACAACTCGGAATCGAAAGTATGTCCCGGGACAATCGACGGCAAACCCATGCGCAAAACTACTGTACAGTACGCACGCCAGGACGTAGCATCGCCGACGTACCCCACATTCTCAACTGGCGTCGACGCGAGTCGGATGGATTGTCGGGCGAGTGTCCGGCGGACACGGGACACGGGCAGGGTTCATTCGTGTTGGCCGCATCCACTGGTTTGCGTCAAATATCAATGCAATCTTCACGCCTCGTCATGGGCAGGGCCGTCGCGGACTCAGACGTCCGTTTGTCTCGGGACGTCGAGCACATTTATGTGCTTTTCATGCCATGCCATGCTCAAGCTCAATCGGCGCCGTGGAAACGACGTCCTGGACCCGATCGAGCCTCTGGCGCCAAAGCGGGAAAAAAGCCCTCAGCAACGGAATGCCGCGGGCCACACCACTTAGTCTATAATTTAGTCTCCGTGCCCACACACAGGCGCACCAGTCCCGTCCAAGCTTTTTCTTCGGACGGGACGCTCCACCTCCACTTCGACGACGTGCCTCCTCCACACGGCCTACGCCTTGTTGCTACTCTCCACTCCGCGCTTTTTGAGTTGCTGCAGCATTGTCACAGTGGCTAGCGAGGTTGGTTGCTGCACAGAGAGCTCGTTGCCTTCTCCTCACGAGTCATACTGCCGTGACTGATGTACTCCTGCAGGCTCCAAGCCTCCAAAACAGGGATCCCCAAGAACGGCCCTGTCCGAACCCCGGAGCCCTGAAATTATGCAGTGGCAATTCAACAGTTCGACCCTCCCGGGGACTGGACGCTGGAGCCGTTCGGGGGCTCAACTCGATCAGGCCGTCCCCAGCCCTTCCCCCCGTGCTCTTGGCTAGCAGCCTTGGCAGCCCAGAGTCCCAGGCCTTTTGGTCACTCGGATGGGGAACCTCGCCTAGGCCTAGCTTCCCAAAGTCCCTCCTAGGAAGAAGAATATTACCAGAAAGCCGCCCACTTCACCCCCCTCTCGGGATCTCTCCACTGTCCAAGGCCGACCTTGCCTGCTCCTGTGAGCCACATGTACAGACACGATTCACGACAAGAGACGACGCTTATGACCGCTTTTCCACACTGTCAAGGAGGCACTCACCACATCGACCTGCCCGACACACGCCTGTATATACTGTAGTTTCGAATCACAGCTCTTTCTTGAACCGAGGCGCAACAGCACGCCGACCCTAGCCACCGACTACACCAGCTGGGAGCCTGGGACCATCGGCATACGCATGCGACAGAAAGCCGCTATTCCTTTTCACAGCCCCTCCGTCTGCACAAGCCAAGATGCTGTCAAATCCTCTGCAGCGGTACTCGCCGTACCAGAACCTGTCTCAGCCCGGCCTCGTCTCCAATGGACATTCTCAGCAGCCGCTGGCGCACAACAATGGCGTTGACCACATGGGACAGACTGCGCAATACGGCTTACACCAGCTTCACCACAACATGGGACCACAGAGTCCTCCGCTGACCAGACAGACACCTGGTCCGAAGAACCGGCAGCAATCGTTCAGCTCCGCGCGAGGAAGCGCCAGCGGGCAGGTGAGGCGACGAATCAGTAGAGCCTGCGACCAGTGCAACCAGCTACGGACAAAGTGCGATGGACAGAACCCTTGCGCCCACTGTACCGAGTTCGGCCTGGGGTGCGAGTACGCTCGCGAGCGCAAGAAGCGCGGCAAGGCCTCCAGAAAAGACCTGGCTGCCCGTGCTGCGGCCGAGGCCGTGCAGGCAAAAGCACCCGGGGGCCAGACAGGAGACCGAGAGCACTCCTCCACAGCATCGACGGTCAATGGAAAGACGGACGCCTCCAGTAGAGATTCGCCACAAAGAATGGACGACGAGGGAGCACTTGCGACCAACGACGCCAACAACAACTCATCTTCGAGCGGGCTCAGGGGGTTTGACCAAATAGAACAGCACACGAGCAACGGCTCTTCCAACATGAAGCCTGACGGGCACAACGGCGAGACGCCTCGAGCGCTGGAGATGAACGGATATACCGCCATGACTCCACAAGGGTACGACCGATCAGACATGAATGGGCAGATGATGGGGGCGCGCTCCTTTGGACAGAATCACGGCGTGATGTCTGGGTATCCGGACTTGCCGTACCCAATGCAGGGACAGAGCCCTCCAGGCTATCATGGTCACAATGCGGGCTTCCGCATCGGCGCAAGTCCCATGACAGGCTATCCCATGGGAGCGGCCACCAACGCGTCGCCAGGCTGGGGCATGCCATTCCCCTCGCCGCCGGCGCATTTCGGGCACGTGCACATGGGCCAGAATCAGAACAACATCAACACGTCAAATGTCCGTTATCCTGTCCTCGAACCACTGCTGCCCCACCTGGCTGGGGTACTACCCGTGGGACTGGCGTGCGACTTGATTGATCTGTACTTTGCGTCCTCATCATCGGCGCAGATGCATCCCATGTCACCTTATGTGCTGGGCTTCGTCTTCCGCAAGAGGGCCTTTCTTCACCCGACCCGACCGAGGCGTTGCCAGCCCGCTCTGCTTGCCAGCATGCTGTGGGTGGCTGCGCAGACAAGCGATTCGACTTTCCTCACGAGTGTGCCGTCGGCTCGCAGCAAGACATGCCAAAAGCTGCTCGAACTCACCGTCAACTTGTTGAATCCGCTAATTCACGTTCCTTCTGGGCACCCGTCACCCGGTGCAAGTCCAGCCGCCGACGGTGTCGCTCTTGGTGGGCTGGGCGTTGCTTTGCCTGGCTCCATGAGCATGGATGCTCTGACGGGCGAGTCGGGAGCCTTTGGGGCGGCCGGCAACCTCGACGACGTGGTCACCTACATCCACCTGGCCACGGTGGTCTCTGCCAGCGAATACAAGGGCGCCAGCCTGCGGTGGTGGAATGCGGCCTGGTCCCTGGCACGCGAGCTCAAGCTCGGCCGTGAGCTCCCGCCGGGTGCTCCGGGGATGGACGCGGAGATTGACGGCGATGCCGACGGCCTGGACGAGCACGACATTCAGCGATACAATCCCAACGTGGTGTCCGAGGAGGAGCGCGAGGAGCGGCGACGGATATGGTGGCTTGTCTACACTGTTGACAGGCATCTGGCATTGTGCTACAACCGACCCCTGTTCCTGTTGGATGTGGAATGCGACGGGCTGAAGCAGCCCCTCGACGAGCTCGTCTGGCAACGAGGCGACTTTGGCAGCCTAGACAGCGTCCACGACCCCAATGCGCTGGGCATGTCCGAGGCCGACGCCCGGCCTCGAGGACCCGGGTTCCAATGCCACGGGCACAGCATCTTCGGATACTTCTTGCCACTCATGACGATCTTGGGCGAGATTGTCGACTTGCACCACGCGAGAAATCACCCTCGGTTTGGCATCGGGTTCCGTTCCGCTGGCGAGTGGGACGATCAGGCCGCCGAAATCGCGAGACACCTGGAAACGTACGAACACAGCCTCAAGATGTTTGAGCAGCAAAACCTACCGAAGCCAGTCTCCGACGACAAGAACGATTTCCACGACGCGGGCGAGCACCTCGGGGCCGGTGGTGAGGCCCCATCCCCGTCAATCCACTCGGCTCACACCAACAGCTCGGGCCGCATGACCGAGAGCGACATCCAGACCAAGATTGTCGTCGCGTACGGCACGCACGTCATGCACGTCCTGCACATTCTGCTCGCCGGCAAGTGGGATCCCATCAACCTCATCGACGACCAGGACCTGTGGATCTCGACGCAAGGGTTCATCACCGCCACGGGCCATGCGGTGTCTGCCGCCGAGGCCATCAACCAGATCCTCGAGTTCGACCCCGGGCTGGAGTTTATGCCCTTCTTCTTTGGCGTCTACCTCTTGCAGGGCTCGTTCCTGTTGCTGCTCATTGCCGACAAGTTGCAAGCCGAGGCATCGGCGAGCGTGGTCCGCGCCTGCGAGACGATTGTACGAGCTCACGAGGCGTGCGTCGTCACGCTCAACACGGAGTATCAGGTACGTCCGTGTGTCCTGTAATCGGAATGGCTGATGCTGATCTTGTGCAGAGGAATTTCAGCCGAGTCATGCGCAGTGCGCTCGCACAAGTGCGCGGACGAGTTCCGGAAGACCTCAACGAGCAGCACCAGCGCCGGCGAGAGCTGCTGGCCCTGTATAGATGGACGGGCGATGGCACCGGTCTCGCCCTGTGAAAAGTATAGGTACGATTACGGCGCGGTAGGCGAGGATATGTTGAAACTGAACGGGCGCTGGAGTTGCGGTTGGCATTTTAGGGGTTTGCTGGGCAATTGGCGAGGACTGGAGCCACGAATACAAACAATCTATCTCCCCGTCTCGAAGACGTCTCCTGCCTTGGCGTGAGGATTGCATACTATGGCACTGGTCAGCAGTACTGCTTGCGCTTCATGGCCATCGCACTCCACGGCAGCCACGTCGCACATGGATGCTCGGGCGACAACAAACACACCATTCCTGGAGCATTCGCGCAGCCTGAGCGTGTATCGTTCGCGTCTCAAGATGAGAGTGCTCAACTGTCACAAGGCCGAGAAAAGCCCACAAGGGACCCTCCGTCCATGGTTCAGAGCCATCGCTTCGAGAGGCATTGTCACGCATGGTGACCCGCAGAGGCTGACATGGCAATAGGCCGAGGAAGGACCAGCAGATGGGCAATCAAATCAAAGGCAACAATCGCTTCGGGGTTCTCTTCGCCTGACAGCTCGTCAGTGTTGGTAGCCAACTCTTTCACCGTCATACGTCGCCTCTGACCGCCTGACGGTTCGTCCAATGTTGCGATGGCGCACGCGGCGGCGTGGACGGCCTGGATGCTCGCCTCGTCGACGTCCGACTGACCTCGAATCATGACGTGCACCATCAGTTGATCCAGATTCAGCCAGCTTGCTCCGTTTCAAGGGGGTCCTCTTCGTTTGCCATTCGCCTAATGTGCTTGATGGGGACTGTCACGGAACGGGGGCCAGGCTGTGATTCAGAGGGAGGTGCTCCGCGGTGAGGCCGCGTCCACACTCTTGGGACACCGACTCACCATTGCCCATGCATGTGCTCAGGAGGCTGCGGCTGGCCTATTTATACCACGGGACTTGGGACCCCTGGGACTCACTGGTACACCAACGTCGACAATCTCGCTCGTGTTGTGGTACTTTCCAAGCGTGGCTTCCAGCAGCACGACAGCTCACTGCATTTATCCGTCTGCTCACTCATCCTTCAGGGCTCAGCTGACTTGCAATGGCTGATGCTCATCATCACCACCAGAACGGTGGGTCGTCGTCGAAGCGTCCGCGCTCTTCCACCGGAGACAACAACAACCACAACGACCAAGGCGGTAGCAGTTCCAAGAGACAGCGGACCGAGGCCCATGCCCAGGATACGCAGAACCTTGATCCCTTGGGGTTTCCCAACGTCGACGCCTTTGGTCATCCGCAGCTTGACTACAACAACTATGTCGCCCCCATGGCCACCATGCAACAGTACAACATGCCGCCGCCAACAGCGACAGCGACAGCGACATCGGCCGGCAACCCAGCCGCTCCCAACGGCGTCTCTTCTTCCTACGGCGCCACCTACCAAGGATCCCTACCGGCGAATGTGCCTCGGTCGTCCACCCGCAGCGGTCTCAAGATCGGTCCCCTGACTCTCGAGCAAGCCCAGCTCGCCATCCCCGGACACCTGTCGCCTGCCGACAAGGAAGTCCTCAAGACCCGGCTGCAGGACGAACTCAACCGGCAGCGCGCCCATCCGCCGGCCCTGCCTCGCTCCGAAGTCTCCGGCCTGCCCCCCAAGGAATTCATGCCCGAGTACAAAAAGATCGAGGAGCACTTCACACCCGAGCTCAAGGCCCGCATCCGGACGTTCAACGCACGCATCTCCGAGGAGCTGCAGCGCATCGACCGCGAGCGCAACAACCAGGCGGCTAAAAAGTCGCGCGAGACCCGCCTCGAGGCCCTCCGTCTCACGCGGGACATGCTCAACAAGAAGACGGCCGAGCGCGACTGGCTCCGCCTCAAGGTGCTGCAGCTCCAGGGCGAACCAAACGAGTACGACGCCCTGCCGGACCAGACACGGCGCCGACTCGTCGAGGTGGTCGAGACGCGCGTCCGCGAGATTGACCAGACCTACGCCGAGGAGAAGAAGCAGGAGGAGAGCCGCAAGCGGGCCGAGCGCACGCGCCTGCGCGCCGAGGCGCGCGAGCTCGAGGCGATGACGCCCGACTACTTTCTGAACGAGATTGTGCCGCCCGAGGAGGCCCTCACGGCCATTGTCGGCGAGGACGGCACGTATATCGACAAGGAGCAGGAGGAGGACGGCGAGGGGGAGCCGGAGCAGCAGCTGTATGCAGATGGCGGTGGTGTCCTGGACGAGCATGTGTTGGAGCGGACGCTGTATGGAGGGGGGCACCATGGTCACACCTTGAGACTGTGAGCTTTGCGGCTGACTTGCTGGTGCTTATTCATGGTGTTTGACAGAGATTCGTCTTTTGGGGTGGGGGGGGAAAGCCGGCGCAGTGGCATATTTGTTTTGGGCGAGAAATTGGGAGAGACATGATGGCACAAGGCATTCATCAAGGCCACGCACATGGGACTGCCACTGGGCTATGGGATTTGATACGAAGGCGTTCTAGGATTGCTATACCTGGGGGGAAAGTTTCTTGCTCCAAGTTACTCGGGGCGCAGGGCGAGAATCATTGATATTGAGAGAGTTTCGTGTCTGTTCTGAGTGACTTCCTGCTTCTTCAACCTGACGTATAGGCGACGGTGTATTTACATCTTGAACTGCGGCCTTGGGCAGATGCATCTCGACATCCTCATCCTCGACACGGCGGCCATCGCTCAAGCACGCACGGACAAGGACGGCGAGCAGTATGATGATCAGGAACCTGCAGAGAGACGGTCAGTATGCTTTCTTCGTCTCTTCAGAGGTATGGGTAGAAGCATCTCACCAGTCGACAGCGGCCACAACCGTGCTCGCAATCAAGGCAGCATAGAAGCGCCTCCAAAGGAAACCATCGCCCTCCGGCCAAGACGACATGCGGCCCCAGTCCTCCACCCACTCGACCTCCTTCACCTGGCCCGCCAATCTCACCTCCCAGAGCCAGCAACCGAGCCAGAAGACCGATTTGACGCCCAACAAGACGACGAACGCCAGTTGGTAGTAGAATCTACCACCCTTGGACGTGTATTCCATGACCAGCATGGTCGTGACGATGGCCAGGGTCAGCACGCCGGAGAAGTGGACAATGTTGGCGGCGTCGTTGACGAGAAACGCCCAGTCCTTGTGGTGCAGGCTCGCGTTATAGGCTGTCGTACCAACGGCGCCGGCTGTGACGAGTAAGATGGCGACGCGCAGGTAGACGAGCCATCTGGGCAGCGAGGGGACGGACATTGTGTTGAAGCAGGCCATGATGGTCAACGTTCTGCCCTACCGTAGTATGAGTTAAATCGCATGCTTCCAGCATGGCGGGCATTGTAGGCAGGAGAGGCTTTCTTCTTACATGTTCCTACGAGACTCTTTAGCGACGGATGATCACTTGACGCAGGCAGGGTGTGTCCGTCGCCTCCACCACCGCAGGGCTGCAGGTGCACGACTTTCGCACGTGTCCCGGCCGAGTGAGCATGGAACTATCAGGACTAGCACTCCTGTGGATTGTGTTTGCATTTCTCCTGACTGCGTTGGTGGGAGCAGCTGCTAGAGGCAAGTAGTGATCCGGCTTCTTCACCAGCCTTCCTTGCCAGCGCATGAAGCCCCAGTATCTTTTATCTAGTTCATATTATCTCGGATCTAGTAGTAATGTCCTTGCTGTCTACCCCCTCGCGTGCACCAGCCGCCCGCGAACCCACACCCTGTCCGTGTTGCGGTCGTCGCCAGAGTACACCCACTTGGCCATCTTCTCCTCCCAGTCCTCCCAGCCAAACAGATCCACGTTGCCACCATCGCCTGCCTCCTCTTCTTCCCCCTCGGGCACGTTCCGCAACCGTACGAGCTGCGCGTCCCAGGCCATGCCCTCCTCAAAGGCACCCACCGTACCCTCGAGCCCGACACACTGGGCGCCGCCCCTCGTAGCAAGGTACAGAACCTCCTCCACGCTCAGCTTGTCCTCGTCGTCCTGCGTGTTCATGCAGACGTGTCGGCTCACGAGTGCCGCCTGGCGCGCCGCCTCGAGGACCGACGGCGAGTAGCCCCCCGACACGTCCGTGCCCAGGCCGACGTCGACGCCATGCCGCCACAGCCAGCGGATGCGCGCCGTCCCGCTGCTGAGCGATGAGTTGCTGCACGGGCAGTGTGCGACCTTGCTCTGCCGGGCTGCGATGGCGCGCGCCTCCCGCTCCGAGAGGTGGACGCCGTGCGCGAGGATGGTCCGGGGCGTGAGCAGGTCGTGCTTGTCGTACACGTCTGTGTAGTCCTCGTACCCCGGAAACAGCTCCTTTACGAGCTCGATCTCCCCCTTGTTCTCGGAGATATGCGTCTGCACGTGTAGGTCCTTCTCCCTCGCCAACGCGCCGAGCTCACGCATCGAGTCTGATGTGCAGCTTGGCGCGAACCGCGGCGTGAGGACTGGGCGCACGAGGGCATCGTCTCCGTTGCCCTTCAGCTGCTGGATGTACTCGATGCACGCTTTTGTATTTTGGAGGCCCTCCTCGGCGGACTCATCGCGGTAATAGTCGGGGCAAATACCTGGTCGGTCCATGCAGACGCGTCCCACCAGCGCGCGCTGTCCCAGGTCGAAGCAGAGCTTGGCGAGGAGGTTGGTCGCGTCCACGTCAATGGTGGCGTAGTACGCCGCTGTCGTCGTGCCGTGCGCCAGCGTCCGCTTCACGCAGGCTGTATAGACGCGCCGGGCGCGCGCGAGGTCCTTGAGGGACGACTCGAGCGGGAAGGTGTACTTTTCCAGCCAGGAGAGGAGGGTGGATTTGCCAAAGATGCCGGCATTGGGATACTGTGAGGCGTGAATGTGCGTGTCTTCTCTAGTCAGCTGGACTGTCTCTCGGTCTCGAGAAGGAGGGAGTCGCACCGATGAAGCCCGGAAAGAAGAAATCGCCTCGAGGGCTGCGTGTCACGTTGACACTGCTCTCATCCCAGCCCAGGGACTGGATCAACGCCGACAAGTCCTTGGCAGGACCCTTTCTGGCAATGATGCCATTCTCGTCGATGAGAAGCACGGTCTCATGGGTGTATTCAAGCTCAGCTTTAGTTTTGCTGTGGATGAAGGTGCCGACAAACGCTTGTCTAGTGAGAGCCATTGTGGGTGCCGGGTAGGTCAATCAATCATCAAAAAGAACGCAAAAGGGGAGGGGACGGAAACGAGCGAAGTCCCGCGACGAGCGTGGCCTTCTTCTATAGAAATGACAGTTATGTGATAAGAGAAACAGGCCCCTTTCTTTGCCTGCTGTTCCTTTGGCAGTGTACAACGGACAGCAAAGTCAGAGATTCGGAGTAATGTATGTGTCGGGCGGACGCCGCCTCCCCCACTCTTTAGCTCAACAAGATCGCGGTGCTCGCCGCCGGCCGAATCGCTCTCTCACGGACGACATTCACTTGGAGTCTTGGACAAATGCATGGACGGATGGACCAGCAGGAGATAAGAGCAAAGGAATTGTCATCATAACTACCAACTAGTCTGTCAAACGCCGCTCTAGGATCTATCAAATGCCCGCATATCATAACAACCATCATCAACCACAACAACCCCAGTACTCGCTGCTGTATAAAAATCGTCCCTTCTAATAACAACTGCCCAGCTAGCTAGCCCTTACGCACCCCGCGCGGGGCCCTCGTAGTCGCCGCTGCTGCTATCTGTGCCAGCCTGCCCGTTGGGGCCGTCCTCCTGCGTGTACTTGTCCCAGTTGGCCAGCACCGCGCCAATCTTGGGCGAGTTGGTCAGCTTGTACACGTCCTCAAAGTACTCCTTGGTCAATGCAAACGGTTTGGCCGTCACGTTGGGAATGTACTTGCCCACCAGCTTGGACGGGTCAATGGTCGTCTTGTTGATCTTCTTCATCAGGAAGGATCGGAAGGGCTTGACGCCCGACCGCAAAAAGGTCGAGTGGAATGGCACGTCAATACCCTTGAGCGGGATTGTCGCGAAGCCGCGCTCCAGCTCCAGGGGCTGAGGCTTCTTGAGCGTCTTCTCAGCACACCCGCGCACAATCTCGCGCAGCGCGCCCTTGGCTTCCTCAATGTTGCTGCGCATTTCCTCAATGTCAATCTGCTGCATCTTGAGGAAGTTGGTCACACCCGCCAGCGTGTCCAGCGCACGCAGGTCGCCCGCGCACACATACTGCATGTTGGCAATGTTGTAGTTGACAATCTCCAACAGCCAGCCCGTCTCGTCCGCAATGTTGCTCACCACAAACTCGAGAGCCTCCTCGGTAAAGCTCTTGGAGATACGGCTCGGGTTGACCGCGCACATGGAGTAGTTGGACCGTCCACTCGCGTCACGCTCCACGGCCACCTGCATGGTCAGACCACGATAGAACACGACAGAGACCAGACTCTCAATGGGCATCACATCGGCCAGGGCGGCCAATGCGGAGTACTCGCCCAGCGAGTGGCCAGCGAATGTGCTGTCACGAGCAACCAGACCCTTGGACTTCATGTCCTCGAAGCTGGCCTTCTCCATCAGCGTCAGCGCAGGCTGCGTGAATTGCGTCGCCGACAGCAGGCCCGTGGGCGAGCGGTATGTGTACGAGGTCGTGCTCTCGCTGATCTCCTTGAAGATGCGCTCCGACTTGATGGAGCCGTCGGCCGCGACCGTCTCGAAGGTCATCGCCATGTAGTTCTGGCGGATGGCCTTACCACGAGGGCCACCAAAGTGGATGGTGAGCTCCTTGGGGTTGTTCTTGACAATGTTGGTGATGGAGAAGCCGTAGTTGTCGAGCAGGTAGTTGTCCGCGCGGTCCCACACCTCCTTGGCGACAGGACTGCTGGCGTACAGCTCCATACCCATGCCCTGCTCCTGCGAGCCCTGGCCGGTGAAGACGTAGGCTGTCACAGGCTGCTCAATCTCGGCCTCGGCCAGGAGGACCTTGTCCCCAGTCTCCTTGTTGCTGGCCTCAATCTTGATGAGCTTGCGTCCAGAGACCATGCCAACGTGCTGGAGCTTGACTTGGATATCGTCGTTGGGCAGCACCATGCCCGTCAGCGAGGCGTGGAAGCTGCGGACGCGGCCAATGTTGTTCTCCGCCGCCCAGGTCTCGACGAGACTGCGTACGGCCGCGCTCGAGTACATGCCGTGCGTGATGGTGCCGGGCAGGGACGCGTAGCTGGAGAAGACGCGGGACACGTGGATGGGGTTGTAGTCGCCCGACACACGCGCGTACTTCTCGTTGGAGGCAGGCGCACGGAGCTGCAGAGGCGTGCGGCCGCTCAACGGAATGGCGTTCTCAAAGTTGAGGGGCTGGTCCAGAGGACTGCCGTTGCGCTCGAGGTAGTCGAGCACAGGGTTGCCGTGGGACTCGCCCGCCTCGTAGTCCACGCTGGCCACCTGGATAACCTCCTTCGTGGGAAGCTCGAGCAGGACTTGACCGCGTGTCTCCACACTGCTGTAGACGTCCTTGTTCTTGAAGCGAACCAAGCTCTGCAGACGGAAGGTCAGGGTCTGGCCGAGCAGCTCTATCTCGCTCGGCAACTCGTCAGCGCTGAACCACTGCTTGGAGCGGAGCACGGCCACATCGCGAGTGGTGGCGAGATGAACCTGGATAGGGGTCTCCACCTTGCGCTGGAACGTGTTCTCGTAGTCGGTGTACGTCCCGCGGTAAAGGAACTGGGAGGTGACCTCCATGACGGGCTCGTTGTCACGGACGAGGGTACCGCAGACCTCCACCATCTTACCGGACTCCTGGTTGATGATGGCGTTGATCTGAGCAGTCGTAGAGACCACGTCACCCTTCTTGAGGGGCTCGGCACCCGGGATCATGCGGAACCCGTTGGACAGGTGAACCAGCTTGAGCAGGTCACCGTCAATGGTGCGGGGGAAGATGGGCTTGGTGATCGCCTTCCAGCCCACGACAATGGCAAAGTCCATGGGAGCATAGACCGTCTTGCCGGGGCGATCCACGAAGGCCTCGCCAGTGTTACCAACGGCATGGACAAAGTCCTTGATGTCCTCGCCGGTAATGGTAGTCTTGCCACCGTCAAACTTGCTGGTGACAACGGCGTCAAGGTCCAGCTTCTCGTTGCCGAACCACGCCCGCCAGTAGAATTCCTTGATGCGGTCGTTGCGACCTTGCATGACCTCGTGGATCGGAGCGTAGCCAGCCTCAGGGTTGTAGGTGAACTTGAGCGGCAGCGATACCGGCTCACCCAGAGCAGTGGTATCCTTGACCAGGTTGACCAGGATCTCGTTCTTGCCCACCAGCTTGACCTCGATGACTGTCACGTACTGGTTGTGGCGAGGCTGCTCCTTGACGATGATGCTGGTCCTGGATGGGTCGTTGGGGTGGTAAATCTCAACAAACAAGCCACGGGTAGGAGCAAAAATGCGTCTAAGAGGGTTGGTCTGGAACTTTTGACCCTGCACAACCACGTCCGAGCTGAGAAGTGCGTGTCTCCAGTTGCGGTTGGGACCAGCCAAGAGGGTCAGCCAGGCGTCGAGCTCGGGCATCACGGCAGTCACCGAAGAGGAGAGACGGTAGGTGTGCTTTTCAGCATCCTGGATGACCGTCAAGCTGTCGATATCCAGAGGAACCTCGGACTCGACTAGCTTGCCACCAAAGTACTCAAGGGTGGGGATCGACGAGGCATCGCCATTGTAATAGTCCCTGACGAGGAAGTCAATGTGGGCGTTCTGGATGCCGTCAAGGATGTCCTTGATGGGCTCGTCAAGAACAGTAGAGAACTTGGCGGCAGTCGGTCCCTGAAGGATACAGGTACGACCAACGTCCTGGCCGATGACTGCGTCGAGATCCTCAGACTGCCACAGAGAATCCTTCTTGAAGAAGAACTCAAAGTTGTCATCGAGCACGGGAATGAAGGTCACGGGCTTCTGGCCAGGGCGCGAGCAGAGCAGCAAGAAATGTTGCACGTCCTGAGCGTTGATGATCTGGGTATCGGCCTCAGGGTAGTGAGAGAGGATGCGGTCAACAGCTTCGTATGGCTCGTCAAGATCAGCGTAGCTTTGAAGCAGAGAAGGCTTGCTTGAGACACTTGTGAAGCGCTCCTCGACGCGGTGGATGAAATCTCCGGTCAACCGAGCGAACGAAGGGTCGATCCAGCGCGACTGGTACTTAACGTAGAGAAGGTCAACCAGGCGGCGAGTGACCTCGGCATAGGTCATGTCCTCGAGGTCCACTGCTTGACCGGCCTTGTTGCAGCCGAACCAGACCTTTTGGAAATCATCATTCAGCTTCTTGATGATGTATTCACGGTTCTTCTTAAGTTCCGGCACTCGCTTCTCCTTGGGCAGAGCGAAGATCTTCTTATCCATCTCGGCCCAGAAGCGTACACCACGGGTAGCAAGCTTGTGGATGGGCTCGCCCATCTCGGAGCGAACAGTGATGACACCACCGGCAGGGCCCTTGTATGTCTGCTCCCACTGGGTATCCTCCAGCCCTGGAGCGTCGACGATTGCCTGCTTGGCACTCTTGCTCGTGTGGGCCTCCTTGGCGACCATCATGCGGCTACCGAACAGGGTACCGTCGAAGGGCATGGGAGGATATCCGTACTTCTTAGACCACTCACCGGTGAGGTAAGGGTAGGTATCATCGGCGCCACCGAAGCCACTGCCAGCAACAAGGATGATGTTCTCCTGGCGACGGATGCGACCGTACATTTGCAGCACAGGCTGGTGGAAATCCTCAAAAGAATGGTGACCACCACCACGACCACCTGTCCATTGCAAAATGACAGGGAACGTGGGGTTCGCCTTGGCAATGTTGATGACGGACTGGATGGCCTCACCTGATCCTGGCTTGAAGGAAATGTGCTTCAGACCAAGGGTCTCAATGTACTCCTGGGCAACCTCAATGGAAGGAACGCCGGCACCGATCGTGAGACCTTCAATGGGCACACCCTCGGCACGCAAACGGCCAAGGAGGGGGATTTGCCAGCCCATGGCGCGGGGGTTGACGTAGATCAGGTTGACAGTGATACCACGGCCAGCAGGGATGGCGCCCTCGATCTTGAGAAGCGCCTCGGTCATGCGCTTGGCGTTGAAGTAACCACCACCACCAAGCTCAATGTGGTAGCCGGCGTTCATGGTCGCAGCAACAAAGTCCCAAGGTACCGTGCACGGGGTCATACCGGCCACCATGACGGGGGCGATGCCGAGGAGTCGACTCATGCGGGTGTCGACGTAAGTGGTGCCGCTCGATGTCTTGACCAGGCGAGGCTTGTATTCCTTCACCCAGTCAATGGCATACTTGACGGCGTGCTCCTCGTCCCTGTCGAAGATCTCTGGCTTGTACCCGACCTCGGTGATGGTTCCGTCGATGGAACCGGCGAGGATGACACGGACGCCAGTACCTTCCTTGTTACGGCTAGTCAGGACACCCAAGCCGGAGATACCGCCAGGGCCAAAGTCCAGGATGTGGGTTGCCTCTTGAAAGACTGTAGCGGCTTCCCAATTGACGGGGTCGCGAGTGATGAGGCGGATCAAGCAAGGAACAATGTTACCCTGGACCTGCTCACGGAGATCCCTGCCCGTGTTAGTGTCGAACACTGGAACGGCCAGGGCGGAAGCATCAATGCTGATATTCTTGAGGTCTTCGTCAATCATAGCAGTAGCCTCAGACAGGTACTTGCTGTGGAAAGGAGCGGTGATGGGGAGGAATCGGTTCGAGAACCGGATCTTGCGCTCGGTATAAGGGACCCTGGTCTGGTCCAGGCCTGTGGGCGCTTTAACCTTGCGCAACTGCGAGTTAAGACCGTACAGTGATGTGGGAGGACCTGTGACAACCATGTTGCGAGGGCTGTTGACGAGGGAGATGCTGATGTGGCGATCAGCGGGAAGATACTGATTGGTGGCATCAATGTGCTTTTGCACCTCCTCCCTGGACAAATCTCGAATGCTCAACATTGGTGTGGGTGTGCCCTCGCCATTGTCCTGCGACTCCTGAAGCATCGTAGGGGTCATGGAGGTAACGGGGAATGCTTGTTGACTCCTGGCACCGATCCAGAACAAGATTGTGAGGGTCGATGCCACGATCTCGCGCCACGACTCCCAGGAGTCAGCAGCAGCAGTGGCAGCGGCCATAACGATACCCTGCGAATGACCGGTGGTACCGGCAGTCCTCTCGCGCAGGACCCCAGGGTCCACGCCGAGGACCTTGCAGGTGATTTCGTAGTGGGCCATCTGCACGAGACCGATCAGGGGGAAGCTGACGGGCGCGGAGATGAGATAATCAACGTCGGGCGTCGAATCTGGTGCATGGAGCCAGCTCATAATGTCCAAGCCCTTGGCGTAGATCTGCTCAGCGCCTGGGTGGTGTGAGAGGCTCTGTAGTCGCTCGGCGGAGCCTGTGATAAGTTCGCTCACAAAGCTGGGGTACGTCTTGTAAAGCTCGCGGAGCTCCTCAAAGTACTCCTCGATGTTGCCCTGGCCGCCAAAGATGGTGTAGACCTTTGCGGCTCCCTCATCAGCGGCTCTGAACAGCGCTGACTCGTGAGGTCGGATGTTTCTGTTGGACACAGCACGAGCCGCGTAGTAGCTGCGCACGACCTCGAGCTTTTTCGACTCAATGCCGGGAAGGGTGGCAGCTAACGCGTGCACCTCGTTGCCATGCAGGAAAGCGCGCTCGAACTCGTTCAGGACGATTTTGAGGACCTCCTCGTACGACCCCGAGTCATCGTCCTCGCCTTCCTCTACCTCGAAGGCAACGAAGCCCAGGTAGCGAGCGACGAGCTCGGCGACGGATGAAGGTTCATCATCTTGCGCGAGCTCGTCAGTAGCTGTTGGTAAGCTGGCGAGAAAGCGCTCTTTGAGCTGAGCTGCGTGGAAGTGTAGATTTGTGGGAATGAGGAAAGATGTGTCGAGAGACCCGTGGGAAAGAGTCAACGGTCGCAGCGAAGCGTTGGATCTGGGAGTAGAGATGCCCGTCTGGGGGCCAGTCCCGGTGCCGTACATAATGGTTTGCGAGGAGGGGGGTATCGTCAAGTCTGCGGGGAGACGAACAGTCAGTGAGTGCGCAGGAGGATGCTCAGGAACGATTGCGCACCTCAATCGTTTAGCACAGAGTGATCTCGGACGCTCCTTTCAGCCAGGGAAAGGCGCAAAGTCGGTTCGTAACTCTGACAGGCCGCAATGGCTCGAAACACGCCCCGAAGATGGGTGAACCCGGGGGAATTAGTACAGGCAAAGAGGTACGGCAGCGTCTGGTCAAGTTCACCTCCCGCACGTTTGGAGATGAGTTCTTGCACGCTGAAGGAAGGAAGAATAGGAAAAATTAAAGAGACGATCTCGTGATGTTCATGGGAGATCTCTGGGGAGGGGAGGATGAGGTTGTGGTTGAGAGTGGCAGGATGACAAGCGGTGGGAAATTTTGGTGGAGGTTGATGGGTGGACCTGGCCAGGTGACAAAATAACCAGCAAAGGGAACCTTGCACTTCAAGTGGCGTGTTGACCAGCCCTTGACAACTGTTCTTGTCCCGAGTTGGGCAATTTGCGGCACCGGATGGGCTGGAACCACCAACATTGGCTTAATAGTGTAACTTTCTAGAACATCGCAGCGATATATTAGACGACCTACTGAATGCACAGCAGCCGCAACGTACCGGTGGTGGCCGAAAAACCAGTTCTGTTGGGGATGGTTCGGTTGGTTGGCGAGAAAGAGGTGACCCCTCCAGTTATTTTTTTGGTGGCTAGTTCCACCTCCAGTCCACGGTTGACAGTCCCTCAAACTTCATCAGGGGTCCAGCGTCCACTGTGTGCATCCCGGCCATCATTTTGTGGGCAGGGGTGGCTGGAGCTCCATTTTTCTCCCTCTCGGGTGTCTTTTTGGGGTCCGGACGAAGGGGTCTGCTACCTGACTCTTTCTAAGCATATTCGGGGCACTAGTCAATGATTCGGCTCGAATCGCAATTCGTAACTGGGGTATCTGGCAGTCCACGTACTCCGTAGTTATGCCCGAGTGCCGTCCAGGGGACGTAGAGCATCAGCAGCTCCAAGCTTACTTTCCGCTGTCTCCATCCCACTTGAAGTACCACGGCGTGGCAGCACACAGGGACCAAGGCCCACTAGCAGCTTATCGATAGGAGTGCCTGCATCCTGCAATAGCCCGGTCCTGCGGGCGGACACACTGCATGGTACATGTAAACCACTTCACGGATACATATCAACTTGAATATCAACAATAGCGCAGCCTCGATGTGCAACTTGCATCATTAAATCACCAGGTCTCCGAGAGCCCTGCAGTGAAACTGGCCGACTGTCTTGAGATGCAGTATCAAGGCACTCCTGATAAGAGTTGACGACTGAGAGCTCTTCCAGCACTTAAGCTCAGTATGAGGTTCCGAACTTCCGAGCCCTTTCTGCTGGGACCTGGCATGGGTGCGGCAGCCAGGGACTGGACCCAGTCCGGAAGCCTCCCGTCATCACGCAGCTGCGGCGGTCTTCGTTGGAAAATTGTTGGAGGCTAGTCGAGTGTTGGCTACGTATCCAAGTAACTACATAGATTCCAGAAAAGACGCTCACACCATCATTTGCCCGTGCCGTCCGGATGATGTTGCATGGCTTATCAAGCAACGATAAGCTGATGGGCACAGACAGGTCCAATGCGGCATGAGCCCCTTTTGAGGGATGGCGGTTCCTGATGATGCCCCAAAGAAACCGACATCGATTCGGGATCCTGGGGAATGAGAAGCCTAGAAGGCACGCTCGAGGACACGCTTGACCTAACAGATACTAGCGTCCCATATGGTTGAGAAGGGTGCCACGGCTTTTGGAGGGGCATGCAGGCCTGCTGCAGCCTGTCGCTCAGCGGGACACCACGACCGGCTGAGGTCTGGAAGGCGGTGACGCCTGTTGAACTCGTTCAGGGTCGCGCCTGGTATGGGCGAGTATTTTTCTGGTGGTGCTACAGCTTACCAGACCGCCAACTATGATTGGCTGGCCTCGTTCAACAATCAACTTTCATGCTCCACCATCACCTGTTTGACTTGTCCTGACAATTAATTCCGTTCTGCCTCTGGGCGATCAACCTTGACTCGAGCATTCTGTCGCCCACCTTCGATCGTTTACTCTTTCTCGAACTTCCTTCCCCTCCATCCTTCCATCCCCCATCCTGTCAAGCTCTCGTCGGTGGTCGAACAGCACATACTTTCCTCACCTGTTGCTGGCGATTGCTCTTCTGTAATATCTGCTTTAATACCCGCCTATAATTCGACCACTACGGGCCTCGCATCCCCCTCTCGCGATTGCCATTGTACTTCGCAGAACAGTCTCACCGAGGAGACCGTCTCCCCCGAGTGTCATTGAGTTGACAGCTCGTCACGAAAGCCCACTACGACTTCCTCAACCCCGAACGATCGATATCCTATAGCACCGCCATCATGCGTCCTGAAGTGGAGCAGGAACTGTCTCACACCCTGCTCATTGAGCTGCTGGCATATCAGTTTGCCTCGCCCGTGAGATGGATTGAGACTCAGGATGTCTTCCTAGCCGAGAAGACCGCCGAGCGCGTGGTCGAAATTGGTCCAGCGGACACCTTGGGTGTCATGGCCAAGCGCACGCTAGCCTCAAAGTATGAAGCCTATGATGCCGCAAAGTCCGTTCAACGTCAGATTCTGTGCTACAACAAGGATGTCAAAGAGATCTACTACGATGTTGATCCTATCGAGGAAGAGCCAGAGCCAGCGGAAAGTGCCCCGGCTGACGCTCCTGCGGCTGCTGCTCCCTCAGCAGCTGCACCGGCCGCCGCAGCTGCGCCTCCTCCCCCTGGCGCAGGGCCAGCAGAAAAGGTACCAGACGAGCCTGTTCAGGCCGTCGAAATTGTACGCGCTCTTATTGCGCAGAAGCTCAAGAAGCCTCTTCTCGAGGTGCCTCTGAGCAAGGCCATCAAGGATCTCGTGGGCGGTAAGCTGACTTGGTATCGATTATTCGCACCAGGACGCTAACATGTGCACAGGCAAGTCCACCCTCCAGAACGAGATTCTGGGTGATTTGGGCAAGGAATTTGGTTCTACCCCCGAAAAGCCCGAGGATACGCCTTTGGACGAACTCGGTGCGTCCATGCAAGCTACCTTCGACGGCAATCTGGGCAAGCAATCGACATCGCTCATTGCGCGCCTAATTTCTTCCAAGATGCCTGGAGGTTTCAACATCACAACCGCCCGCAAGTACTTGGAAACAAGATGGGGCCTTGCTTCTGGTCGTCAAGACGGTGTCTTGCTGCTGGCGTTGACCGCGGAGCCTGCCGCTCGTCTAGGCTCGGATGCTGATGCCAAGGCCTTCTTGGACGATATCGCCAACAAATACGCCGCCAATGCCGGCATCAGTCTCACGACGGCATCATCAGGAGCTTCCACGGGAGGCTCGGGTGGCGGCATGATGATGGATCCCGCCGCGATCGATGCTCTCACCAAGGATCAAAGGGCTCTGTTCAAGCAGCAGCTTGAACTGTTTGCTCGCTATCTCAAGATCGACCTGCGTTCTGGAGACAAGGCGCACTTGGAGTCTCAGAAGTCGGAGAAGATTCTTCAAGCCCAGCTTGACTTGTGGACCACTGAGCACGGTGAATTCTACGCTTCGGGTATTGAGCCCGTTTTTAGTCCTCTCAAGGCTCGCACATACGATTCATCATGGAATTGGGCTCGTCAAGATGCCCTTAGCATGTACTACGACATCATCTTTGGTCGCCTCCAGGCCGTCGACCGCGAGATCGTCAGCCAATGCATTCGCATCATGAACCGCTCCAACCCCAAGCTGTTGGACTTCATGCAGTATCACATCGACAACTGCCCCACTGAGCGCGGCGAGACTTATAAGCTTGCCAAAGAGCTCGGGCAGATGCTGATTGAGAACTGCAAGGATGTTCTCAATGTTTCTCCTGTGTATAAAGACGTTGCTGTTCCCACCGGCCCTCGCACGACTGTGGATGCCCGTGGCAACTTGAACTTTGAGGAGGCCCCCCGTGCGAGCTGCCGTAAGCTCGAGCATTACGTCCAGCAGATGGCTGAGGGTGGCAAGATCTCCGAGTACGGCAACCGCACCAAGGTGCAGAACGACCTCCAGCGCATCTACAAGCTCATCAAGCAGCAACACAAGATGTCCAAAACCTCGCAATTGGAGATCAAGAGTCTGTACGGTGATGTTCTGCGCTCGCTCTCGATGAACGAGAGTCAGATCCTTCAGGAGAAGAACGCCAAGAGCAGGAAGATCAAGGGTGTCACCAACAATAAGGGCAAGGTCGAGACGATCCCCTTCCTGCATCTCAAGAAGAAGGGTCTTCACGGCTGGGACTACAGCAAGAGGCTTACTGCCTCATACCTCAACTGCTTGGAGGATGCCGCTAAATCTGGCGTTTCCTACTCTGGCAAGCACGTCCTCATGACCGGTGCCGGCGCTGGATCCATTGGTGCAGAGGTCCTCCAGGGTCTCGTCAGCGGTGGCGCCAAGGTTGTTGTCACCACCAGTCGCTTCTCCCGCGAGGTCACCGAGTACTACCAGTCCATGTACTCGCGTTACGGCTCTCGCGGCTCGCAGATCGTCGTTGTGCCCTTCAACCAAGGTAGTAAGCAGGATGTTGAGGCCTTGGTTGAGTACATCTACGATCCCAAGACTGGCCTTGGATGGGACCTTGATTTCATCGTTCCCTTTGCTGCCATTTCCGAGAACGGCCGCCAGATTGACAGTATTGACTCGCGCTCTGAGCTGGCGCATCGCATCATGCTGACCAACTTGATCCGCCTTCTCGGTGCCGTCAAGGCTCAGAAGACGGAGCGCGGCTTTGAGACTCGTCCTGCCCAGGTTGTCTTGCCACTGTCCCCAAACCACGGCACTTTCGGTAGCGATGGTCTGTACTCCGAGTCGAAGCTTGCTCTGGAGACGCTCTTCAACCGTTGGTACTCCGAGAGCTGGGCCAACTACCTCACCATCTGCGGTGCTGTCATTGGCTGGACCCGTGGTACAGGTCTCATGTCTGGCAACAACATTGTAGCGGAAGGCGTCGAGGCCTTTGGAGTCCGTACCTTCTCGCAGCAGGAGATGGCCTTCAACTTGCTCGGACTCATGTCGCCAGCTATTGTTGACCTTTGCCAGGTTGAGCCAGTGTTTGCTGATCTTAACGGTGGCCTCCAGTTCATTCCCAACCTGAACGAGGCCATGACCAAGCTCCGCAAGGATATCATGGAGACAAGTGAGGTCCGCAAGGCTGTCACCAAGGAGAGCGCCATCGAGAACACCATTGTACACGGCGCCGATTCCGAGATGCTTTACAAGAAGAAGACCATTGACCCCCGCGCCAACATCAAGTTCGACTTCCCTCCTCTGCCTGACTGGAAGACCGAGGTCGCTCCTCACAACGAAACCCTGAAGGGTATGGTTGACTTGGAAAAGGTCGTCGTTGTTACTGGTTTTGCTGAAGTTGGCCCTTGGGGTAACTCGCGCACCCGTTGGGAAATGGAAGCCTATGGCGAATTCTCCCTCGAGGGTTGCGTCGAAATGGCCTGGATCATGGGTCTCATCAAGAATCACAATGGTCCTATCAAGGGTAAGCCTTATGCTGGCTGGGTCGATGCCAAGTCTGGCGACCCAGTCGACGACAAGGACATCAAGCAGAAGTACGAGAAGTATATTCTCGAGCACTCTGGTATCCGTCTGATCGAGCCTGAGCTGTTCGATGGTTACGACCCCAACAACAAGCAGCTACTGCATGAGGTTGTTATCGAGGAGGATCTCGAGCCTTTTGAGGCTTCCAAGGAGACCGCCGATGAGTTCAGGCGCGAGCATGGTGACAAAGTTGAGGTCTTTGAGATCCCTGAGAGCGGCGAGTACACCATCCGTCTCAAGAAGGGAGCTGCCCTTTGGATCCCCAAGGCCCTTCGTTTTGACCGCCTGGTCGCCGGCCAGATCCCTACGGGCTGGGATGCCAAGCGGTACGGTATCCCCGAGGACATCATCTCGCAGGTGGACCCAGTCTCCCTGTTCCTCCTGGTCTCCACTGCTGAGGCCCTACTGTCCAGCGGTATCACCGATCCTTATGAGTTCTACAAGTACGTCCACGTGTCGGAAGTCGGCAACTGTGTCGGTTCCGGTATGGGTGGTGCTGCTGCACTACGTGGTATGCACAAGGACCGCTTCCTGGACAAGCCTCTGCAGAACGATATTCTTCAGGAGTCTTTCATCAACACCATGGCTGCCTGGGTCAACATGCTGTTGCTCTCGTCCTCGGGTCCCATCAAAACCCCCGTTGGTGCCTGCGCCACTGCCGTTGAGTCCGTGGACATTGGTTACGAGACCATCATGGAAGGCAAGGCTCGCGTCTGCCTGGTCGGCGGTTTCGATGACTTTGGCGAGGAGGGTTCGTACGAGTTCGCCAACATGAAGGCAACCAGCAACACAGTCGACGAGTTTGCGCATGGCCGTACTCCCAAGGAGATGTCGCGCCCCACCACCACTACCAGGAACGGTTTCATGGAATCGCAGGGCTGCGGTATGCAGGTTATCATGACTGCTAAGCTTGCCCTGGACATGGGTGTCCCCATCCATGGCATACTTGCCCTGACAACGACTGCCTCTGACAAGATTGGTCGTTCAGTGCCCGCTCCCGGCCAAGGTGTGCTGACCACTGCCCGTGAGCACGCCGGCAAGTTCCCCTCGCCTTTACTCGACATCAATTACCGCCGCCGCCAGATCGAGCGCCGCAAGAAGAACATCAAGCAATGGCACGAGGACGAGCTTGAGTATGTGTGGGATGAGGTCCAGGCTATGAAGGCCCAGGGCGCAGACTTTGATGAGTCCGAGTACGCGCAGGACCGCATTGCCCACATTGAGAAGGAGGCCGCCCGTCAAGAGAAGGAGTTGCTGCGCAGCATGGGCAACAACTTCTGGAAAAGTGATCCTAGCATCGCGCCGTTGCGTGGTGCGCTTGCGACCTGGGGTCTGACAATTGACGACCTCGATGTCGCCTCCTTCCACGGTACCTCTACCAAGGCGAACGACAAGAACGAGTCCTCGGTCATTTGCCAACAGCTCCGTCATCTTGGTCGTTCCAAGGGTAACGCAGTGATGGGCATCTTCCAGAAATACTTGACTGGTCACCCCAAGGGTGCTGCTGGCGCCTGGATGATGAACGGCTGTCTGCAAGTGCTCAACTCTGGTATTGTACCAGGCAACCGCAATGCCGACAACGTCGACCCCATCATGGAGGACTTCGACCTTATCGTCTACCCGAGCCGCACCCTCCAGACCGACGGCATCAAGGCCTTCTCCGTCACCTCTTTCGGTTTCGGTCAGAAGGGCGCGCAGGCCATCGGCATCCACCCCAAGTACCTCTTTGCCACGCTTGACGAGGCAACGTACAGCTCGTACTGCGCCAAGGTTGATGCTCGTCAGAAGAAGGCTTACCGTTACTTCCACAACGGCTTGATCAACAACACGCTCTTTGTTGCCAAAGCCAACTCGCCCTACAACGAACAGCAGCTCAGCAGCGTCTTGCTCAACCCCGACGCCAGGGTATCCAAGGATGCCAAGTCATCTGAGCTTACATTCGCCTCCAACTTCATGAAGCAGTCCGAGAAGCAGGTCCCGTCAGCTCGTGCGAGCGAGACCCAGCAAGTCATGGAGGCACTGGCACAGAAGGTTACCAACAAGAGCAGCCAGGTTGGTGTTGATGTCGAGGACATCTCCTCCGTCAACATCGACAACGAGACGTTTGTGGAGCGCAACTTCACCGCCAACGAGATTGCCTACTGCCAGAAGGCGCCCAGCCCCCAGAGCTCGTTCGCTGGCAGGTGGAGTGCCAAGGAGGCTGTGTTCAAGTCTCTGGGTGTCGCCAGCAAGGGCGCTGGTGCCGCCATGAGGGAGATTGAGATTCTGAAGGACGATGAGACTGGTGCACCAATGGTCCGCGTAAGTTCTCTTCACTCGCCCATGACGGCGAATTCCACTAACAGTGCTTAGCTCCGTGGTGAGGCTGCTGCCGCCGCCAAGAAGGCTGGTGTTCAAGACATCACGCTTTCCATCTCCCACTCAGATAGCCAGGCTATTGCTGTGGCTGTCGCCAACTTTTAGACACTGCGTTTTGAGGAGCTAGGGGTATACAAATGATAGATTTAAGGGGGTTTCTCTGGTGTGGCGTTCCGCAAACTAGATGTGTTGAGGACAGAAGGCGATGCACTGGTTCACAAGCATCTGATCTACGCCGATGTAATGAAGTGCGCAGCATGAGGAGGAAAGCGATTTAATACATTCCACGTTCTAAAGTTTGCTGTGCTTGACGCTTTGTGCTCTGGATGATTTCCCTTGCAAAACCTCCCCCGACAAGAGCCCTTGCCTGTCTGCCGGTCTGCCGGTCTGCCGGCCTGTTTGAGGCTCGAAACAGCAGACACGCTGCTCCCTCGCCGGTGTACCACATGCGATAGCGGTGCGTTCACATGCGCCCGTCACGGAGTGATGGCTCTAATTCAACTGTAAACTCACGTCGCTCATTGCCCTCTGCCGCCTCGTCCTCGCCCACGGCCGCCACCACGACCACGTCCACCTCTATCACCACCACCGCGACCGCCGTGATCCCCTCTTGACTGACCGCCTCCCCTGCCGCCTCGGAAACCGCCGGATTGGTTCTTCTGTTGTTCGCTCACAATGTCGACAATTTCGTCGGGCACCCGAAGGTATTTGATCTGAGACACATTGCGTTAGTCTCCAGCACCATTGATTGTCCAGTCGTTGAGCATGATTGCGCACATTATTGCCTTTGACGTAGACTTCTGGTAACCGCACAAACTTGTCGCCTTCCTGGTCTCGTGTCAGTAGCTGCCGCTTCTTCCCATCCTCGTCAGAATGACATGGGGCCAACGCACGGGACTTGTTTGCACGACTTCTTTGAGAGTCAGATTCATCCAGTTGTCGCAGTTCACGAGGTGACCGTTCAGTGTCTCGCCATTCTTCAGCTCCACGAGCATCGGGTGCCCTTGGGCTGCGTTGAGTAGACCGAGGGGTAACTATGCGCGACTCTGGTCAGTTTCCGGACTATGCTCGCTCTGAGGCGCAAGCGATAGGTCTCGTACCATTTTCGATTTGCCCAGCAGCTTGTGTGGCGTACGCTGGAGCTTTCGGCTTGGGTTATGGGCGAGAGTGGAAGGTGATGATGTCTTTGGCTTGATTGACCTTGAAGCATGTTTGCGTTGAGGACCCCGCCATGTGCATCGCCCCGCTTGTAAATACGGCAGTCGACTTACCCGGGAGCTATAGCGGCGACAATTCCGAGCGGAAGGCTTCCGCACAGCTGCTTGACACAACCGCCTGGAAATTTGAGGAAGCGCGCGAACGAACTCCTGCTCAGATATCCCATCAGGTCACCCTCTTTTGGTGTACACGCACGCGATGAGAGGCGCACAGGTGGTTAATGATGGCTTGTGGCGCTGTCTTTGCCCTTCCTTCGACCAGAGATTGCTCCAGAGCTCTGTGCGATCCATTACTACGCGACAACATGCTCGAGATCCGACGCAATTCACGACGCGACGATCATGGACGCAGCAGCGACATGTATCGAAGCAAATGTACTCCACAGCCGCTGCTGTCGAAACAAATTCGGTTAAACATGCAGATCAAGGTTCTATAACGCAGCAGCCTGCCGAGACCGTGGAGCCATCCGAGAACCAACAAGAGTCGTTGCCCGTCGAACGGGTAGAAGACCCTTCTGCAATCAAAATGCTCCTGAAAGTGAAGTCTCTGTTCCAGGACGAGCTTTCCAAGCCTTCGGTTGACGACATACTCGGTGCACTGCAACGATTGCGGAAAAGACCAGACCTTGAACGCTTCAGCAGCCAAGACATACCAAGCCAGTCCGTCAATCGATATGAGCGCACCATGACTCTTGTTACACATCTCATCCAGCGACGAAAGTATCCTCCGTCCTTGTTCATATATGAGTGCGTCATGGACGCCATGGTGGATGCCCAGGTTTCCACGTTTGCGGTACGCAAGCTGCTCAAGGAGATGGAGCGCAACGCCATGCCGCCAACCGAATACGTGCTCAACAGCGTGTTGCTGTTCCTAACCATACATCCGGACTATGCGTTGCGGTCGCAAGTGCTCGACACCTTGGAGCGCCAATGGCATGCAATCAGCGACGATGCGCGTGCCTACGTGCTTGTTGCGATGCTGCGCGAGGGACAGTTTGAGCTCGCCTATGATGGCTTCGTCTCGGATCTGGAAGCGGGCAAGACTTTTGAGCCCTGGGTCTATGACATCTTCATCGTCGTGTTTGGGCACGAGGGCTTCCTGGACGAGATGCTGGACTTGGCTGCCAAACGAAGGGCCATTACCGTGCAGGACGATGCAGGCACATTCAATCTGCTGTATTTTACTCTGGATGTGTGCAGCAGCGCCTCACACTACCCAGGCACGGTCTGGTCCTGGTTGGCAGGGATGAAGGACGACAAGACGGTGCCTTCGGATGGGATCTTGGAGAACGTGCTCGCCACGGCAGCTAGACATGGAGACGCAACACTCGCAGCTGAGGTACACAGCATGATCTCGAGACGCACCCGCATCCACATCCACCACTACGACGCGATGGTCGAGGCCTTCGCCGGGAATCAGAATGTGGAGGGTGTGCTGCGCGTGATGGAAATTATGCACGACAATGGCCTGCCGATCTCGCGGAAAACCGCCCTGCCACTGACAGAGCTCCTTTGCGCTCATCCCAAGCTGATCCCAGAGGTGGAAGATGTCACGCGGGAGATTGCACAGAAGCGCGACAGCGGCCGCATTGCTGGGGATATCGTCGATCACGTGCTTGAAGCCAAGGCCAAGTCAACAGGGGCCGACTCGGCTCTCGCTCTGTACGAAGAGGCCTTGGCATTAACAGGCCGCAAGCCCTCTGTGGCAACAATTCAAGACATGATCGTCTACAGCAAAGAGGAGGAGTACAGGTCTCGCTTCATTGACGACTACAGAAGTCGCCATACCGAGTTGTCGGGCTCCTCCAAAATATGGCGCAAGAGCCACGCGGTCAAGCTGTTGCAAGTCTTCATGGAGCACGGAGACCTCGACTTGACATTTTGTCATCTCAATACTTGGCTGGAGAACAAGACAGCCAGCGAAGCAGATCTCCCTGCGCATTCGCTGCGTCTCCTGACACATGCTGCATCTGAAGCGCATGACAAGACGATAGTGGATACATATGACCACTACCGTCGCCTCGGGAACCAAGACGCCTTGAATATCATCAAAGCGACAGTCGACACAGTCAAGCCGCAAAAGCCAGAAACATTCTAAGACGAAGAGCCAAGTCTAGGAAATGTTTTACCATGTTGAGTGACCTATGGCTCACCTTTGTCAAAAGAGGCGCCACAAAGGCTCTTAGACCTGGAATGGGTCTGCAATGACGGAGCTCATCTTCGGTTGGTAGGGCTGCTATGTGGCACCTTTAGGGGCGCTCACCTCAACCTGTCTTCGGAGCTCGTACATCTGATTGTTGAGCAACATGTGGATCGGCCTGCGGGCTGCACCTGTATATAATCCAAGTGGGCCGAAGGTTCCGGCGTTTGAAGCTTTGTACTATAATACCATTTGGCGAATGACAATTGAGCTTGGGGACTCAGAGTTATCGCACGCCATCGCCAGGCGGGACATTTTTCATCATGTTCTGTGCAAAGGTGGATGGCTCTTCGCTACAGGTGGTCTTGGAACGGGCGACAGACTGAAGCATAAGTACACAGTACTCTTGGCCCTGTACAACGTCTTTCGCGGGTATCAAAGGCAAAAATCCGCTTGAGCTGTTGACGCCTGCTCTCGAATACAATTACGGACATCGGTATCTGGTCAAACAGCACATTGTTCTTTCAAGATGCAACGCCGTGTCTGGACCACCGCCAGGATGACAATCGCAGATGTGATTCGAGAAGCCCGTTTTGGGCAGCTTGTGCGCCTCCCCACCAAAGACAACTACTTTCAATACCCCGAGGAGGAGCCTGGCTTCCAGCTCCCCCAGTGCTGGGTCGATCTCATGAACCACCCAGATCTGCCACTTCCCTCCCCTACCAGCCAAGAACTGGCGCTGGTCTCTCTTCGAGTCCATTTGGGCCGCCGCCCCCATCGCCGTCGTCATGTTCTTGTTCTTCCTCCCCGAGATGAGCACGCACAACCCTCTACTCTGTCGCGCGGAGCGGCTCCGCAAGCTCACAGGGAACCAGCGCTTCATGTCGCAGAGCGAAATTGACCAGCGCACCATGCGCTTCCGGCACGTCCTCGTCGACGCCATCATCAAGCCCGTGGAGATCACCATTTAGGATCCCGCCATGCTCTTCGTGCAAATCTACGTCGCCATCATCTACGGCATCTACTACTCCTTCTTCGAGGTCTTCCCCCTCGTCTACATCCCCCTCAGCTACCCGCAGTACCCAGCCAGCCTCTTTGCAGGCAATGACTTCTACCGGAGCGCCCTCGCCGCCGGCAGCATTCTGTTTGCGGAGCCCCTGCCCAACAAACTCGGCGTGGCGACCAAGGGCACTAACTAGTCTGCTGGGCGGGCTGAGTGTGATTGGCATCAACGGTATTTGGCTGCTGTACTACCATGGCACTACGCTCCGCGCCCGGAGTACGTTTGCCATTTCGTCGACGGATTCGTTTCAGGCGGTGAAGGGCTGGCATCTTCTCGCCCGTCCAAAGTATGGTGCATCGACAGAACAAGTCATTCGGTATCTTGGCGATTAAATACATATCCCTCTTCTTGTTAGACAACATGTATAGTCAGCCAGCCAGCCAGGTTCCTTTCATTGCCCCCGTACCTCCCCAAGTTCTGTACAATGAAAAAACTCCTCGCTCATTTGGGTCCTCTCATCGTCATGTATAAAACCGACGCACTCGCTCGACAATGAAGGTTATAAATGTAGATTCAAACCCACCCTGAGCCATTGGATCCGGAGTTATTCTCCGGTCCACCAAAGTAACTCCAAGGCCCCTGGCTGCCTACTGGCTGCGTTTGGGTGGCGTAGCCTGCGCGCCCGCGGTTCTGAGAGTTTGCTCGCATGTCAAAGTTGCTCAGCAATGCCGAGTCGGTGGTGGGTTGCCCGTAAGAGCCCGAGCTGCCGAACCCGCTCGCTCGGTCATGTGGTTGCGAAGATCTACTCGAACCAGACCATGGCCCGGCTGTCGACTCTTGGCTGTTGTGCGTAGAGGCCATGGTGGTAGCCGCGGCGTTCATGGACATTGTCGTGGAGCCACCTCGACTCATATCAAACGCCGGGTAGGACGTCGAGGTAGGCGCTGCCGTGGTACGCTCTTGTTGCGAGTATGGCTCATATGCGATGCGGTGGCTAGCATCGTTCGCAGCTGCATTGTTGCCTGCATACCGACCATAATCGTTGTACGCTGACGAGGCTACCAGGTCGTTATTCGGCGGCGGCGCAGCTTGCTGGATTGGTTGAGTGGGCGCATGTGGTGGATACGCTCGACTCAAAGCATCGGCGTTGGGGGTCCTGGTATGGGCTCTTTGGCCATGTTGAGACATGGCACGCTGCTGTTGCTGAGCTTGGAAAGGCGATCTCCGCGCCTGTGTCTGCATGGCGGCCATCATCTGAGGCGACTGCTGGGCTTGTGTTGGGGTGGTGTTGTTGTGGTGGGCAGGCTGCGCTGCATTGTCTCGCAGTTGTGGCGAGTTCGTTGACATGAGCGGGCTCGATTGCCTGGCTTGTTGCTGTCCTAACATGGCTTGCTGCGCCAGAATAGGCGACATCGTGGTGTTGTTATGGTTCTTGTTGTTGCTGCTGCTGCTGCTGTTGGCAGTGGCCACGTTGTTCCCAGCCATCCAACTTGAACCGCTACCAACAGCTGCTGTCCCATGGCCGCCCGAGCCTTGAGGCAAGCTTTGTTGGGAGGGGCTGCCAGCAGATGTCTTGAGGCGGTGACGGCCCTTCCCTGGCGACACCGTCTTTGCAGAAGCCATCACAGTGTCTGAGGTGGTGTTCAAGGATGAATCAGGCAAGGCGGGATAAGCACTCTGTGCCATGTTCAAGTGCGCCCCAGCATCCAAATAACCCTCTTGGTCGTGGCCGTGAGGAGGATCCACGCTCGGCGTCAACATGTCAGCTACTGGCATCTGGTTGTAAGAAGACGCATCACCTGCCGCGACCGTAGCGTGTGCAGCGTCGCCTTGTTGGCGGCTGCCATCAATGCCAGCGTGCTCGGCAATAGTAGTCTCAATAACCCCCTCCTCTTCTTCTTCTTCGTCGTCCTCGTCTTCGTCTTCGTCTTCGTCTTCCTCGATGGTGATCACGGGTCCAGATTTTCTGGAGCGCGGCTTCTGAGGTGGATATTCGCATGGCTGTCCCTCTGATTGACACTCTGAGCAGCTCGGCCGCTCCTTGGGGCATTTGACTCTCCGGGTCTTACAACAAAGGCACGATAGTCTCGACTTGCCCAATTTTCTGTGAGACTTTGAAGGCGTCTCGTTAGATCCGTGCACCGTAGTCTGGTCGCCATTGGCTGCCTTGGGTGTCGGCTTGCTCTTGCGGCCGCTCTTTGTGGGTTTGGCATCGGGGGCCAGCTCTTTGCTGGTCGTTGGTCCACTGGGTGTGGCTTGCTGCGCCCTCTCAGTGGTGCCTTCCGAGGACGGCTTGTCCTTGTTGCTTGGATGAATGATCTGCAACCTTTCTGCGCCATACTTCGCCAGCATCTGCACAGAGTCCTGTTGCAATGCTGGCGACTGGTTACTAAAAATGTTCATCTGGTCGACAGACAGGGAGTCAGGATTAACACCGTGATCCGACAAAAGCTTCCTAGCAATGGCCAACCGTCGCGCAGCTTCCTCGGGGGATATGTTAAATGGCAGCGAGCCTGTCGCTGGCGCAGGCAATGTCGCTTGTGACGCCTGCGCATAGCTCCCCCAGTTCTGTTCGCCTTGCTCGTTTGGTAGTCGCGCCCCAGGATAGTCTGGCGGCATGACGGCTTCTCCGGCTGTGCCTGTCGCAGTCTCCTCAGCAGATTTCTTCCTCTTCTTGTGACGCTTCTTAGGCCGCTCGCCGTCGGCACCAGCCTCTCCATCGGCTGGAGCATCACGCTTCTTCTTTCGTCGTTTCTCCTTGCCCTCGCCCTCGCCCTTTGGCTCCCTCGGTGTCTTTTGCTTCAGCTTCTTCTTCTGTTCCCTAGCTTGAAGCTTTTGCTGTTGCTGACGCTCGTAGCCAGGTCCAAACACTCTCTCGGGGGTTGGATAAGCCTTGCTGAGCTCTTCCACAGTCTTGTGGAGGAGCGTATGGTCATACCTCACACTGATGCACCTGTCCTTCCGATTGAAAGTTATCGTGATCGAGCCGCGGCAGTCGAACGCAGGACGGCTCATTAGGACAGGGTCGGGTACACGCAGGGTGCAGTCTCCAATGACAGCCGTTGTGGGGTTTTTCGCATTCTGTCGAGTCCAGTGCTGGAGAGAGGCTTTGCAGATGTAGCTGAATATCCAACCGCTCGAGCCCCTCGAAAGATCTCGCAACACCCAAGTGCTGTGATCGCGTGAACTGAGGGCTCCAATCACGTGCTTCGCTACCGCCCGCTGCAACACCGGGTTGTCGGATTGATTCATTATCGTGTCGCTTGCTTGCACTAGGCGCGTCGTGGTCCCCCCAGCCGGGTCCGCAGACAGGGTAGCTGAGCGCACGCCTCCCAACGATGGATCGACGTTGTTCAGACCCTCCAACGCATCATTCTCGCTCTCTGTCAGGCTCAAGTCAAATTGCGCCGAGCTGCTGAGTTTCAGGTTCGAGGTGACGTGGTCCGCTCGGGTCTCGTTCGTATTCTCGTCGAGAATGGTTTGAAGCTTGTCGGCAAGCTCGTCGGCCGACGCGCATTGTTTCTTCTTGGAAGGTTTGGCGCTCGTGTCAGTGCTGACTCCGAAACTGGCCAGAAAATCGGCCATATTGACCGGCGATGGCGACTCGGCGCCAGCAGAACTGCGTGTTCGCGCGTCGGCTGCGAGCTGGACCGCGCGTCTCGCCCGACGCAACAGACCGTCGAGATACCTCACGGACCCAGGCTCCTGTCCGGGTGACTGAGTCGATCGGTGCGACGATGTTCCCGCTGGTGTGAATGGCTCACAAAGGCGACTCCCATCGTCGGCAGTCGCGACAAGGCGGTGTTGTGGAGTGATTGGGGGTGACGTCTTGGCAGGCGGCGCGGCGCACAGCGCATTCCTCTTGGGTGTGCAGCCCTCACTCCTGGACGTCGGCGTGAGTATTTGGAGTTGGGATGTGAAAGAAGAAGGAATAAAGGGCCAGAGGCTTCATAATATGTTCAAGGACTGCAAATTTGCTTTTTGCACAAGATATCAGATCAAAGCGTGAAGTGACGGACAACTGAGGACAGCCTCAACCACGCGGACTCTTACACGCAGCTGAGGTGCTTGCTCAACGCCGTCGAACCAGCTTTGCAACGCATCCTAAATTATGGTTACTCTGCTTCTCGAAAGTTATAAGTATCTCGCAAAGCCATTGATCACGACCTGCCACGAGCTGCGACTCTGGCTATCGAGAGTGCAGCAACCAGCGGAATTGGGACAAACGAGTGGCGAACATAATGTAGGTATATATAATTTATTTCCCTTGCTTCTTTCAACAATCAATAGGCACGATGGCCGAGTGGTTAAGGCGTTCGGCTGCTATTAAGCAAATCAACCGGATGGGTTCGCCCGCGCGTGTTCGAATCACGTTCGTGTCGTTTCTTTTTTGATTTTTTGCCTCTTGGAATATTGACAGCGTATAAATTGCATTTTTGTTATTTTTTTTTTGTTAGCTAATAGTTCACCAATCTCCAAACTTTTTTCCTACGTTGGCTAGTTGCTGGTTATTTTCTCCCGGAGCAAACTTACTTCCTATAATAGTATACTTGAGCTTTATGTGGGATACGATAGATGCTCTGCCCTTCTTCACTGTCTTATAGAAAGAGTAATTCATTATGGTCTCTTTCACGAAAAGTGAGACACATCTGACAGCCCACACATCTGGAGATTCCTTAAAGTCCTCGATCTCTAGATACTACGTTAGAAGCAACGGGCCAAATCTACTGCAAAAAAAAGCAACATATTTCAGTGAGAAAACATTATGACAGCTTCAGAAATAAATTTGTCTCTTTCAACTGAATGTCATGGTACCCGCAGCCTGCTGCCCATCGCCTAGTACTCCAAAAGCTATCCTCGAGGTCGGTTCATGTCAGTCAATCTTGCTGCAGAGAAACAGATTGCTATAACGACCGGGAGAGTGTCCGAGAAAGTTTGAATTTCAACGGACATCCGAGCATGCCTCAATTCGACCCCGCGGCATCAACAGTGACCCTTTCCCATGAAGACATTATGCTTCCAGCTGCTTGTTCACTTGCGTGATGACGGTCTCTGGATTGCTCCTGGTCGGTTGTCCGGCTCATAATCTCGCTATGCCAGAAGATAGGCCAGTCGAGCAGCCATTGATCGTTACGATGCACTTTTGACGAAACTTGCGTGTCAGGAATGCTTTTCCACCCATTGTTCCACTCTTTCCACGAGATCCAGCTTTCTGCCCGAGGTACTCAACCCCTGTGCCTCTAGAATGTCTTTCAACTGGGCGACAGTCATCTTGACGATACCACCGCTCTCCACAGCGGATTTTACCTGGGGGAGGGTCAAGCCAGACATCGAGGGTTTATCTGAACCACTGCGGGCCTTCTTCGACGCCGGGCGTTCAGGCAATTCGCTTTCTGCTTCACGCTTCACAGCTCTGGTTGCTTGCGCATTCTTGGCATCTCGCTCCAACGTCTCCTGCCATTCCTCCAAATAGCCCCCGGCTCGTTTGCTAATCGCCTTGTACTTGGGCTCTGTCGCATCCTCAGCCTTCTCGGGGACCTCCTCCTCCAAGGCAAGGGCTTGCAAGATCTTGTAGTGCCACTGCAGCGCCGGGTTGGGGTACTTGGTCGGGTTGTACATCGCTTTCGGCAGCTGCAGTTGTTGCACGATGACGCGCATCTGTGTCTGTAGCTCGTCTGAGCTCCGTGCGAACCCATCAGATTCCTTGATGCCCCTCAAATCATCGCCAAAGGGCAGTGGATAAATCCACAAGCCCGACGGCAGGTAGGGCGTTCCACAGTCGTCGTCCGCCTGCTCCTTCGACGGTACGATGGCTGCCAAGATTGGTTGGGCGTTGGCCCGCGTGATGCACCAGGCAACGCCGAGTTTGTCGTCTTTCAGGAGCTTCTGCCACAGTGCTGTGTACACACGCGTCGAGCCGACATAGTCCTCCTCGCTTGGGAAGATAAACGTGCTCTTCTTGACGCTAGCCCACAACGGAATAGCACTTCGTGGCTTGAAGCCGATGATGCGGATGACAGGCGAGCCGAAGTCTCGCAGCTTCTTCTGCTCTTCGGGGCTAAAGTATACGTACTCGCCACCGAACTTGTATGCTTTCTTAATATCGGTCTTTTCCACTGTACGAGCACTGTCCTCGGCCACTCTCGTCGTTTCGCCCGCCGCAATTTGTGGCTTTTCGCCGTCCAGCCAGATGTAGCAGGTGCGCGCGGGTGTCTGTCGGTGAAGTACATTGTACCCCTTGACGGAGATTCGCAGTCCGGGCGCTATCTCGAACGGAAGATTGGAGAAAAGAGATCTCTTGGGGGTCTGTTTCGAGTTGATATTGGAAATGAGGGAGTTCAAAAGCGTCAGTCCGTCTCCTGACTTGGAAGACCGAACCTCTGACATGTTGGCTTCGCCCGCAAGAGGGTCTTGGTAGATAATGTTCTGAGAAGGTCAATCCAGCACGCAACCGACGACCGCCCGACTTACATCGTAGAACTTCTCGATGCGAAATGTGCTATCTCCACGAGTGATGGGGAAAAGGACGATGGTCACTCCCAAGTCGTACAGGTCTTTGGCTCGCACTGCAGCTGCTTGGCGGGCATCTTTACTTGAGGAGTGTGGGTCGTCATTGTCTGTCACGATGAACAAACGACGACTTCCAAAGTTGGCTGCTTTGGTGGTGAAGATCTGGTTCGCACAGAAAAGCACGTTTGACATGGAGACCCGTTCTTCCGATGGCTTCAGGACTTCATCCTCGTCCTCCCCTTCCTCCACAAGAGCCTTCAATGCCTTCACATCCTCGGCCGCAGGTATATCCAGGTCAGTGAAGAGATAGCAATGAGGATACCCTAAGCCACCACGACCGTCACCGTCATCGTGGAATTTGGATTTTTGGGTGCCGAACAGCAAAATGCCCATCATGTCTTTGGGGTTGGAAATGATGCGCTGCTCCATAAGATGGTAAGCACATTTCAGCGCTGCTTGGACCGGACTGTCTCGGTCCGCTTTTTTGGAGTCCGATGCTGGCGGAGGTTGTAGCATAGATGTGCTAATATCGATAGCGATCAAGACAGCGTCCTTCTGCGCTTTGTAGCTCTGTGGTGTGTAAGTGATTGCGCGTCTCACGTGAGTAGCCGGCCACCAACTGTTTCATCTATTTCCTGGTCTTCCTCATCCTCCTCCGGGCGCTTCCAAGAATTGTCTTCGTTGGCCATCTTGGTGTCAATTCATCAATCAATGTGATGGGAATGGTTGTAAGATTCACATCGTGAGATGGTGAATTCAGATGCATTTCCGCCAAGGCGTGTCAGAGCTAGGCAACAAGTACGCGCCAAGCCAGCAGGGGTCGCGGGGGCTGTCGCGAGATCACGTGGTCTATGACACACGGCTTACTCTTGCGAAGCGACGATTGGCAGACGAGCCTGCTAAAGGTGACTTCTGTTGTAGCGTCGTTGTGCCATCTTCATCAAGTATCTCCGAAACAAGAATCCTCGATGCCGACGCCAGCTCGTGAAAGCGCCGATCAGTCCACCTCGGAGGTCCAGAAATCCGCGACTGCATCATCGAAGCAGCGCCATTCCGGTCTTTTCCAATTTTCTCAACAACCCGCGCTACCTGCCAGAGGACACCCTCTAGACAATTGCAGCATTGTAGCATACCTTTAACAGCTCACCGCACGGTATTTCGCCGCCATGGCGTTCCGCTTACCGTCCCACATGCCCAGGCGCATCTGCGCAGGCAAGTCGTCCAGCTTCGGCCTTTCTCAGCTGAACAGCAGAGCTCGCGGACTGGCAACTGTGGTACCGCCGGTGACACAAGATGCAACCGGGTCCAAGGGACCAACAGCCATGGTGTTCATGAACATGGGAGGACCGCAAACCACGGATCAAGTCGGGGACTTTCTGAGTCGACTCTTTGTAAGCTATTGCTATCACTACAAACGTATTGCTCGCCCAGCTAACCCACCACAGTCAGACGGCGACCTGATTCCCCTGGGAAGGCTACAGTCCTACATCGGTCCCTTGTTGTCGAAGCGAAGGACACCCAAGATCCAGAAGCAGTACAGCGACATCGGTGGCGGGTCACCTATCCGCAAATGGTCCGAGTACCAGAACGAAGAAATGTGCAAGATTCTCGACAAGATCTCTCCCGAGACCGCACCGCACAAGCCGTACGTCGCGTTTCGCTACGCCAATCCCTTGACGGAGCACATGTACCAGCAACTTCTAGACGACGGCTTCGGAAAAGGGCGCGGGGGGCGTGCCGTAGCCTTTACCCAATATCCTCAGTATTCCTGCTCGACAACGGGCAGTAGTCTCAATGAGCTGTGGAAGTGGAGGCACAGGCTGGAGTCCAAGCACAGTGGAGGCGAGGGGGCGATCAATTGGAGCGTCATTGACAGGTGGCCTGTACACCACGGTCTCGTCGAAGCCTTCGCCCAGCACATTGAAGCCAAACTGGCGGAATACCCTGAGGAACGACGGAAGGATGTTGTGCTCCTATTCTCAGCGCACAGTTTGCCCATGTCTGTGGTCAACCGCGGAGATCCCTACCCAGCAGAGGTCGCGGCGACAGTGTACGCTGTCATGCAGCGCCTCAGGTTCTCCAACCCATACCGTCTTTGCTGGCAATCTCAGGTCGGGCCATCGGCGTGGTTAGGTCCTCAGACGTCCGACACGGTTGAGAATTTTATCAAGAAGGGCCAAAAGGATCTGGTCCTGATCCCGATCGCGTTCACGTCGGATCACATCGAGACACTGTACGAGCTGGACCTGGAAGTCATCGGCGAGTCTGGCCATTCGGACACGGTGAAGCGAGCTGAGAGTCTGAATGGCAGTCCAGTCTTCATCGAAGCTCTGGCTGATATCGCCAAGAACCATCTGGCTAGTGGGGAGTCATGCTCGCCGCAAATGGGGCTGCGATGCCCTGCCTGCACAAGCGAGAGATGCGCTGTTACAAAAGAGTTCTTCAGTGGTAAAAAAGCGCAATCGTATCCTGGCGATAAGGTGCTGGCCCAGTAGTGTCAGCTTATAGACTGTACGAATATTGTTTCCTGAGACGAGAATACATGTAGCGCCTCTGTGTATCAATGTGGCTTGGAATGTATCGTTGCTGTTCTGTGTTTCTGATGTTCGTAACCAGCTATCCGAGGCGTTGCCATGTTTGTTATTGGCTTCGCATCGTGACATGCGAGCTGCAGTACTCGTAGGCTGCAACGCCGGTGAAACAAATAGGCGATACATTGCTCATCTCCACAGCCCAAAGTCAAAAGGAATTCCGCATCGACTTGTCAAAGAGGCCCACCATGAAACATGTGTACAGTTGCAGGCAAGGCAACCACTGACTTACCCTGAACGATGCGTGAGAGCTACAGATATGTCTGAATATTGCTACATAACAAGAACATTGGTCGTGCAAGATTAAAGATTTTCTGTTTCAAGTTGAAATTGAGTAGCACATCGTTCCGATTGCCGAGTAGCTGCTATACCTCGAGACCATTCATAAATCATGAACCAATAATACTTTAAAAATGTTGCACCCCATTTTGCACAGTGAGGAACAAGAAACGAACATTGCAAATGGGATGTCAAAAAGGCGACATCGCATAGTAAGCATTGAACCCGGACAGTTGATTAACAAGGACTATCTTAATATTATTGAAATACTGACGCCAAGTAGTTAATAATTCAAGACCAAAAAACAAGTTGAGGCTTGACGAGCCTATCTCTAAATAAAGTCATGGCAGTGGTCAGATGTCGACGTGCAACCAAGAGCTCTTTACCCGAAATGTACTAGCTCCAGGTGAGGGACCTTGCGCTTGGGCCATGAGACTGGCCCAAGCTCCCCGTGGCTCAACGTGTTAAATGCTGCCCAGACGAAGGTGCTGTGACAATAACGGCTCAAAGGGGACACCTGTTTCAATGCGCCCAGCCGTTTACGAAAATGTGTCTCAAGCTCGATAACATTCCGTGACTTTGAACGTGGCTGGCCAAGCACCCGTCTCTCCGTCCGTTACGGAGATTCCTAGTCTCCCAAAGATTTCATTACGGGTTGGCGGACGTGGTTGTAACGAATGGGGAGCCACCCTCCGCTGGCATTTGTTCCCCATGGCAGTGGAGCTCGCGAACACTAACTTAAAGAGGACTAGTCCTTCTTGAACCCCTTTTGCTGGAGGAGCAGATCCCAAGACAGGGTAGACAAAAGTCGTGCAAATAAATCAGAAAAAGCTGTGCAACGCGGCAAGATATTTGTGTCGACCTCTCTCGTCTCCTGTCACACTGCAGCACAAAATTTCCCCTTTTCCCCCTGCCGACGGCTGCCCCAGTCCAGTCCCAGCATTCAGGCTCTACGGTATCCGTATTCAGTCCGTACTGGCACCACCTCACGCCAGCCCCGTCCACCCAGGTGCCAGTCTGGCCAGCCCGACCCAGGCCTTCGACTGCCCGCCCTGCCTGCCCCTAAACTTTCCAGCCAGGAATGCCTTCATACTTTACCTGACCTCACCTTTCCCAGACTTCTCTTCCCGTCGCCCTTTATCCCACCGTCCATCATTGGTATTTCCCCTTCGTCAGTATCGACTTGTGCGCCTCTCACCAGGCGTCTTTGCTCGACCGTTCTTTCCTGGCCTACTCTGCTTTTTGCGATTCAACTTGGACGACGCCAACACACGCGTCCCGACTCTCACTCGGTACGTTATCCCTAAGTCTGGTGTTCAGTCTGCGAAGTGCCCGAAGCAGGCTCCTGGACAAGAGGCGCTGTATTCGCCAGCTTCCATCGCAGCTGCAGTATCGCGTCGCTGCCACCTGAATTGGATTTCTCGGAAGCTTTCAAAGTGGGCGTAGCGCTCCGTACTAGCATCATCATACATCTCCTGAACAGCTCCTGCCTGCACTGAGTACCTGCTGACTTCGGATTCGCAGCCCTCGCGCTTTCCTACAAGCTTATTCCACCAGACCGGCCGACCGCTCTTTGTATTTCAATATGGGTAAGATGACACCTTCTCCTTTTTTCCCGTCCGGAACACGCGTGCCACAAGGTCGGACGCCACGAGCAGAGGGGAACTGGGCAGGAGAGACCTTGACCCGTCCGCAATGACGCCAACTTCCGACGACGTCGACTTCCTGATGCTTCTCGATCCGTCTTCTACTGCCGGCAGCTTGTCAACAACACGCTTCAACTCGTGTGGAACATTATTTAAACCCGCTCGGTTTGTCGCTGTTGGTCACAGCATCCGTTTCTCTCTGCACACAACACCATCAGATTTCACAACGGGCCACTCGAGTCTCTCTGCAAGTCTCGTCTTCAGCAATGAACAACTTGGTGAATCACATCAACGCACGGACTCGGAGCATCCAACTCGACAGGAACATGCTCAGATTAGACTCGGCGCTATCACCTCCAAGATCGCAGCCCAGATCCAACACACGGACGAGCAGCGAAGCCGCACCTCAAGGGACCATGAGGTCTGCAACCCCGTGTCGATCTCCAAACACCGTTCGCGGGTATAAGAGCATGCTCGACGTGGAAGATGCACCGAACATAGAAGCCACAGATTCGATGTCAATGGATGAGCTGCAGCCTTCTGCACCAGCCAAAGCTGCCCAACGCCGGGGACAGAGTACTTCGGATTCCTCTGCCGGCATAAGTGCCGCGACCAGCCAAGCTGCACAACGCCGGGATCAAAATACCTCGGATTCCTCTGCCGGCACAGGCTCCTTTGCGGTCAGACAGGCTGCTCAACGCCGCAGTCTAAATACGTCGGAATTCTTTGCTGAGACAGGTTCCGTTGTGACCGGGCAAGTCGCCTATGACAGTGGTTCCGAGAAAGGCCGCAGTTGGACGCACATCACTTCATTTCATCATCAGAAAATCATGACGCGCCCTCGGTTTTGCATGGATGCTAACTTGAACTCCCTCATAGCTTCTGACGGCCCTCCCGCTGTGGCTCCAGCCTCCCCCACCAGCGACGACATTATGGAGTCGGTCCAGGGCGTGCCTGTGAGCGACCCTACGACTCTCTCTGTCGCGCACACACCAGCTGCCGAGGCCAAGAACATTGTCCGCCGGAAGTTGACTGGCTACGTCGGTTTCGCTAACCTCCCGAACCAATGGCACCGTAAGAGTGTGCGCAAGGGCTTCAACTTCAACGTTATGGTTGTTGGCGAGTCTGGCCTGGGCAAATCCACTCTGGTCAACACCCTCTTCAACACCTCCCTGTACCCTCCCAAGGAGCGCAAGGGCCCTAGCCTCGACATTATTCCCAAGACCGTTACCATCCAGTCCATCAGCGCCGACATCGAGGAGGCTGGCGTTCGTCTCCGCCTCACTGTCGTCGACACTCCTGGATTCGGTGACTTTGTGAACAACGATGAATCATGGCGCCCCATTGTCGACAACATCGAGCAGCGCTTTGACGCTTACCTCGATGCCGAGAACAAGGTGAACCGCATGAACATCATCGACAACCGCATTCACGCCTGTGTGTTCTTCATTCAGCCCACTGGCCACTCGCTCAAGCCCCTTGACATTGAGGTCATGCGCCGCCTGCACACCAAGGTCAACCTGATCCCCGTCATTGCCAAGTCGGATACCCTTACAGATGAAGAGATTGCGAGCTTCAAGGCGAGGATTCTCTCTGACATCAAGTACCATGGCATCCAGATCTTCGAGGGTCCCCGATACGAGCTGGACGACGAGGAGACCATCGCTGAGAATAACGAGATCATGTCCAAGGTTCCCTTTGCTGTTGTTGGTGCTACCAACGAGCTGCAGACTCCGGACGGCCGCAAGATTCGCGGCCGTGAGTACCCATGGGGTATTATTGAAGTCGACAACGAGGAACACTGCGACTTCGTCAAGCTACGCCAGATGCTCATCCGCACCCACATGGAGGAGCTCAAGGAGCACACAAACAACCTCCTGTACGAGAACTACCGTACCGACAAACTGATCGCTATGGGTGTCTCCCAGGACCCCAGTGTGTTCAAGGAAGTCAACCCTGCCGTCAAGCAGGAGGAGGAGCGCGCCCTGCACGAGCAGAAGCTCGCCAAGATGGAGGCCGAGATGAAGATGGTATTCCAGCAAAAGGTCGCCGAGAAGGAGAGCAAGCTCAAGCAATCGGAGGAGGAGCTGTATGCTCGCCACCGCGAGATGAAGGAACAGCTCGAGCGCCAGCGCCTGGAGCTCGAAGACAAGAAGCAGCGCATCGAGAGCGGTCGACCATTGGAGAAGGAGGGCAAGCGCAAGGGCTTCTCCTTGCGATAAACGCCTTCGTCCATTGCTCCCGCTCTCTACGATCAATGCCTCTGTTTTTGCAATGATGCCGATACAATACCAGCTCGACGCACTCTCTTTCTTTATTCTTGTCTTCCTCGCCTCTCTTCGACCCATTCCTCTTAATCGCACGGCTCACATAATCGCATGACGGAGAAGAAAACAACGGCTAGGATAATGAACGCTTTGTCACAGGCTACGGAGAGGCCACAGTTGCTTGCCACGCCACAAGATATGGCCCGTGCCTCGTTCTCCTCTCGGAACATACATGAGGACGTGAACCTGGGCGATTTGCATCAGCCGGTCGTGGAGAGAGGCGATTGCTAGGGTTTCCGGGCGAACATGGGTCTCATTGTTGACGAGATCCGCTTGGCGTGATGTCTACATGTGTCGATACACACTCATATACATGGTTTCCTTGTTTTGTTTTCTTCTCTTTTACTGTCTCTAATACATGTGGATTGCGAGGCGAGGCACTCGGCCGGCGGCGAATTAACACCTCTGGACCGCTGGCGGACGGGGAGAGGACGAGAAGAAAAACTGTTGTACTTTAGCTGCGAGATGGAACGGTGGGCACGTTCCGGTAGCAGACGTCTAGGCCGCGTATTTCCTAGCTAGTTCGATTTATCTGTTTGCTTGACGATTTTACATGGTTCCCAGTGTGGTGACAGGATAGTTTTGCCAATCGCAAATAGTAGTGTCTCAACTCCGCGCAACGCCGTTCCCAACAATTCGATCCCTTACCATACAATCAGCTACGCTATGCGACTCCTTTTTTGAGTTTTGTCGAGGCTTTGGACAGGATCATCTCTTCTTGGCGTTCCTCATGATGAAGGCGCCTACAACACCTGCTGCAATACCGACACCACTCAGAATCGCCACGCCCATGAGTCCTTCCTTTGCAACCTTGTCGTCAATGAGCTGTCGCAAGTTCGCTGCCTGCATATTGCTAGGTTCTCTCTCCAGCAGGAGGTCATTGTATCGTCGGGCATCCGCGAACGAGCCGAGTTTGTAGTTGCCAAGGGCAAGGTAATAGAGGCATTCCCTGCGACGCTCAGGGGAGTGCCGGAAGATGTCGGACAGCAGGCGGACGCCGAGTTGCTGGTCGTTGCGGTTCGTTGATTTCACAAGTCCCTGTGCACGTGAAAGAGGGCGTGGTCAGTTTTCGGGCCAGCATTTGGGGCGGCCGAGGGGGATTTGTACGAACCCATGCGTAGTTAAACTTTGTCTGTATGCCGACCATTTCGCCTTCCTTCTCATATTGACTGCGGAGCACGTCGAGCTCGTTGGAGTTGAGCGGCCTGCGACAGATGGGTCAGTATGGCTCTTTGGCGTGGTGGTGGGACATGGGACGTACGTCTCTGCGTCGAGGGCGTCTGGGTCGGTCAGCTTGAATGTTCCTTGAGGAGAAAGTTTGGTTGACATACATGGGAGTTCGGCGACCATTATGGCGACTTTGAACGTTTGATTCGTAAAGTTGGTGTGGTGAGGGAAACAGTTTGTCGCAAAGCGAGATGGAATACGGCCGAGGGACTTGGAACTGCTGGCGCTGGTCTTGTTTGATGGCAATCGTCATGTGGCTGAAGGAAGCTCCTTACCACGTCGGCACGTGTGGCAGCAGTGGCGCAGCCGCTTGCTTGGTCGGACTGGTGAGGGTAATCCTCGGTAAGCTGAGCTGGGCGTTGGGCGACGCGATTGTTGACAATCGCCGGGGTGATGTGGGGGTCCGTCAACAATGATGCTGATAATACCACACGACAACCCATTTCAGCGACCGGGGAAGCCCAATTAAACATTGTGCTCATCGAGGCGCGTGTGTCATTCTTCACACTTGCAAACGCCATCATGCTTCTCTCAGAGGAGCCCGCGACGGTATGTCTGGAGCCCTGGTCGGTAGGCACTACTGACGCAAGAACAGCTCATCCACCACACAATCAACAACTTCAACATTCAACCCGACAAACTTGCCATTGCCCGCGTCACGGAATCTCTTTCAACACTACAGCAAGCACGCGACCTGCGCATCCGCGAAGCCGAGTCTGCGCTGAAGAAACTCAGCCGGCAGCTCAACACACTCTCCTCGCAGCACGACGACCTCGTGGAATCGCATTCGGCCAACGACCACGCCTCGCGGATCGCGACCCTTGACACCCAAAAGTTCAGGACCGCCAAGGCGGCCAGCGACGCCGAGATCGAGGCAGAGCGCCTCGCACAGCAAGCCGCCGACCTCAACGCGCGGCTGCAGGAGCTTGAGCTGCAGGGTGTGGACGGGGCCGAGTCGACGAGGCGACGAGATGCTGTGGACGACGAGGTCCTGCTGCGACTCAAGGTCTACCGTAGTCTGGGCATTGACATTGAGCGTGACGGTGGGGAGGCGGGCGAGTGGGGGAGGGCGGTTGTGCGGAACGACAGGAAGGGCGATGTGCATGTGGTGAACATGGACAAGAAGTTCTCGCGGTACTTTTACGCCAACTACTTCTGGTCGACTCTCTGAGGGGGTGAGGAGGCTTCGAGGTAGCGGTTCTGGTTGGCGTTTGGGAGGGTGTTTGGGCACAATTATACCAAGGCGTCATTTGGAATCATGAGAATATGAATGTCTGTTACTGCTTCGTCTTTTGAGTGCTCATATCACTATGCACTGGGTGTCTTCCGGCGTCCGATTTCCACTATGTACATCAACATCTTGGCAAAAACCCCCGACTTTGTTGCCTCTGGTGTTGTAGGCATGCGTTACAGATGTTGAGGCGCAATTTGAACGTCCGCAGTCTACAGGCAACGTGGCCGAGTGGTATTAAGGCGATGCCCTGCTATCTTCACGTAGCATAGGCATTGGGTTCGCCCGCGTAGGTTCGAATCCTGCCGTTGTCGTTTTGCGTGTTTTGAATGAGAGCGCGTCTCTTTTTGCCTGGACGATGTATCTGAAAATGTAGGCAGTGTTTTCTTCCTTCGAACTTTAATATTAAAATCTTGATCAATTGCAGTTGTGATCTATTATTCTTGCGACGACAGGGTGATTGAAGATCTCGGGTAGAGGACTTTTTTGGCCTGTGGAGATCGGCTGTGCAGGAGGATCTCATTTGCGGAGCACCAACGAACGGCGAGTCGATAGACACAAACATCAACAGAAACGAAAGCAAAGCAAGTGAGATGTCAAGTCCATTGTGCGAGCTACTCTTGTTTGCGCCATCGTGAACCCAATCCGGCCAGACAATGATGTGATCAGCGGGATCATCCCTTCTTGGCGGGCATGGGCGAGGTATTCCGACTTAGAGCAAAGTATCCATCGGCCTGCAGTCCGGCCCCTCGAATACCAGTCGGCGTCCTCGCCCTCGAGCTGTTGGGCGACATGCCGACCTTTGGACTTCTGCGCTTCATGACGAGGTAGCCCTCCGTGCCCGGGGTCGTCGGCCCTGCGCTCGGTGTACGGTGGTGATAAGCGTGCGAGCTCGTCGGTCGCGGGTTCACGGTGACCCAGGGGTCATCCTTTTCTTCCTGCGTACCGTTGCTGACGCGCCAGCCGCCTATGCCTTCGTAGTCTCTGTCCGGGCCCAAGGAGGGGATGAGGCCCAGGCTTGTGGGCGGGTCGGAAACGGTGGAGGAGGCGACGGAGGAGCGGCGACGCCTGTGGCAATGCCTTTTGACCAGCGAGGTAGAGAGTACCGGCGAGTTCGGCGGGAGAGGTGTGGTGGGCTTGGCGGCATTCTGGATCTGTGACCGCGGGAGGAGATAGAGCGCCAAGTCGACGTAGATGAGCAGGGCGCGGATGATGAGCACGCTGAAGGCGAAGATGGTGGTGAACGTTGCGAATACGGCGAGAGGTATGGATGCACACAGGATGGAAGGGAGGACGAGCAGCGACAATGGACTGAACCCCATTTTGGAACGATTCACATTTTTCGCACGAGTATCACGAGATGGGTAACGTGGTGTCGCGCCAGGTTTGTGGTTGCTGGAATGTCTGTCGGACAGGTGGTGCGAGAGTTGGCACGTGAAAGTCGTCACTCTTGCTCGTACGTAAGGCACCTACCTCTTGATTCGGTTCGATGGGTCGAGGCCAACTGAAGCCACACACCATCTTCCTTTCAACCGCCTAGTATTACTCTTGTCGCGTTCCTTTGACAAAACCGTCCTGCCGCATGCAATTGGTCAGATATGCATGTGTCTGCCGTGTTGTTTGATCTCGACAAGACGCTGTTCGATCACGTGCATTCGCTTCACCAGGCATTGATGTCATGTCGGGCGTCTTTTGAGGAGCTGCAGCCATTCAGCCCGGCGCAGCTTGCCGAAGCGTACTGCAGAGGGCACGATAGAGCCTACGCGAAACACATTTCTGGGGAGATCACCATACAGCAGACGGACGTTGTCAAGGTCAAGCTGTTCTACAAGTATCTCGGTCTTGCTGAGCCACGCTCGCGCTGGGTCCGCGATGAGTTTCGGAGAATCTACAAGCCCGCCTATCGCGACTCGAGACGCGCTGTCGCAGGGTCCAAAGACATGTTAAGGACGTTGCGAGCGCATGGGAAGAAGGTTGGCGTGGTGACGAATGGGGACCACAGTGAGCAGATGAACAAAATCGAGATCCTTGGGCTCGCTGAATTGTTGGACTGTGTCGTCACGTCGGGGGAGCTGGGATATTCCAAGCCGGACATGAGGATCTTCCAGCACGCACTGGTCAAATTGAACGTGCAGCGCTCCGAGACGGTCATGGTGGGAGATTCGGTGCAGGCAGACGTCAAGGGAGCCATTGCAGCCGGGTTCGCTAGTGTGTTCCTCTTTGCACCCGAGGCGCACGAAGACGTCCGAGAGGTCTTTGGCTGTAAAGTGCCCGTTTTGAGGAGCATGGGGGATCTGCTGTCTCATCTCGAATTAGAATCTGGGGCGCAGGTGATATCCGGGGATGGCAGGCCAAGTGCCGCCGGAGCCGAAGACACTTCAGCCGGAGCCGAGCCGCCCCACACAGTAGCATCCAGTCTTGAGAAGTTGAGCTAGCAAACGAATCAATCGATGCATAAACTCAATGTTGCGGTACTAAAAAAATAAATGAGATAGTAAGCTCTGTAAGTGAAGTCTCTACCTATCAGGGACTCTGTTGACTGCTTCTCTCCAGCGTTGTGATTAAACTCGAGCTTCGACGCCCAATACACGTGGACCCGACCCTGACTGACATCATTGTTCAATCTCACGAATCCAACAACGAACATAAGATCCTCCTCAACCAAGCTTCACCCGTCGGCCAGTCCAGTCATGTCGGAACCTACGAGGCGCAATGGCGATGCTTTCCCCTGGCATCTTGGCGTCTGCGACGCGCACTGCCACCCGACAGACACCTTGTCTTCCCTAAGCTCGGATCCGATAAGCAAAGCCCGCTACCTCACTGCCATGGCAACAAGGGCCCAGGATCAGCATCTCGTCGACTCAGCCGCCAAGCAGCATCCTGAGACTATCGTACCTTGCTTCGGGTGGCACCCTTGGTTCACACATCTGCTGTACGATGATACCTCTGATGAGCCAACGTACGCACCAGACAGACACGGCAACGACAATGGCAAGGCCAAGGAGGAGCACTACAGAAGGGTTCTGACACCAAACTCTTCCACCTCGGAGATACAGCAGGGGTTCATAGTCTCGCTACCGAGCCCTACGCCGCTCTCAGACCTGATCAGCCAGACGAGGGAGTACCTCTTGAAACACCCCACAGCGCTAGTTGGCGAGATTGGGCTGGACAAGGCCTTTCTTCTCCCGCAGCCCTGGTCCACTGACCAGCGTGATGGGTCCCTAACCCCCGGAGGTCGAGAAGGGCGGCCCTTGTCGCCGTACAGAGTCCGGGTCGAGCACCAGATTGCCATTCTCAGGGCACAGCTCCATCTCGCCGGCGAGCTCCGTCGCGGTGTCAGCGTGCACGGAGTCCAGGTGCACGGCGTCTTGCTGGATGCCATAGCCGCCACGTGGAAGGGCTACGAGCGGGTGGTGCTCTCGAAGCGGCAGATGCACAAGATCACAATGGGCGAGGAGGAGCCTCCGACGCCCCCTTCGTCCTCGGACGCCGAGTCGCCCAAGCCCTTCCCGCCACGGATCTGCCTCCACTCGTACAGCGCGTCAGTGGAGGTGTTAAGGCAGTGGCTAGATCCTAAAATTCCTGCTGATATATACTTTTCCTTCTCGGTCGCGGTGAATCTGAGTACCAAGAGTACGAGGAACAAGATCCGGCAGGTGATTCAGGGGGTGCCGGGTGAGAGGATCCTGGTGGAGAGTGACCTGCACAAGGCCGGGGAGGACATGGAGAGCGCGTTGGTGGAGATGTATTCGCTGGTCTGTGAGATAAAGGGGTGGGCAATTGAAGATGGGGTGAAGAGGATACGGCAGAATTACGAAGCATTCATAGGATTAGAGCTAGACGAGCGATAGCGAGCCTGTGCAACGAGATGCGCCAAGTAGCACAACTTACAGTGAAAACACCGAGTCCCGATACTATCTCGTTACTTCCGTCGACTAGCCTCCTCATTACAGGGACTTGCTTCGAAGACACCAGACGCCAAGTCAAACCTATTCATTACCTATTACTTCGTCCAGTACCCCAGCCGGTCGCTACTCGTTTGAGGGGTGGTCTGCGGATAGCCGTCCCCACCAGGGGTATATCGAAAGCCATCCGCAACCATGCTCCCCTCGGCCGTGTCACTCTCATAGGATGGCGGCGGAGCGGCATCTTCCTCCCAGTGCGGCCGCCGCCGGTCGTCAAAGGACACTCGTCCCCTTCCTTCCTCGATGACCACTAGACTCTCAACCATGTCGGCAGCCTCTCTAAAACCAGCAATGTCGGCTTCCAGTGTGTTCTGTTCCTCGCCGGCGGTCCTCAGATCCCGGCCCTGCGGCGCGGAGGACTCCTTCTCCGCGAGACCAAACACGCCGCAGAACAGCTTCTGGAGAAACCCCTTGAAGACGCGACGTCTATTTGCAACGCGGGCCAGGCGTTCCTCGCAGGATTCACGATGGTATGGGAGCCGTTGGACGTCGGAGGAGACGTAGCGTCTCGCACCGAGCACAGCGATGCCCAGAAACGAGAAGATGGTGAACGCCAGAGCCGCGATAGACATGGTCATGAGGAGGTCTTGCTCAGGAGCCGGCTGTCGCTGTTGGTTAGCATCTTGTGTCTCTGGTCTGAACCGCAGAGTGGCAGTGGAAACTCACAATGAATTGTGCCGCGGACGGGGTGGGCGAGGCAGCGTGGGTCGTTGTGAGAGGCCTCATTGTCTTCGTCGGTCGCTCCGCGATGATCATTGTCGAGACGGGCTTCTGGGTCGTGGGTCGGGGCCGGAGGGTGTAGAGGTGGCTGGCTTTGGACTGGACATCTTCTATAACATCGTGTAGCAAGCAACGCCATCCGTTGCATTTCTTCTCCCCCTCTTTCTTGTTCTTGAGATGCGTCAGCTGCTGAATTACACCTTTTCCCGTGCCGACCGTGTCCTCAGCGAGGTTCTGCTCGGGCAAGGGCAGTTGGGCGGGTGTCCAGACCTTCCAATCCTCAATCTCATCCTCGGTAAATTCAGCCACGACCGCTTCATCAATGGTCAAGAGCGAGTCCCACTGCCCACCAGTCTTCTCAAAAAAGGTCCAGGGTTCACTGCCATCTGCGATGACTTCTGTCACCTTGATGTGGTCGAGGACTATCGTCATGGACCAAGAGGTCCCATCCCTTCTATCCGTCTCGAGGTGGGCTTCCATAGAGCCCCCATCAGGGCTACATCGCATCGACCAACGAGTGAGGACAGGGGCGGCATGATTGGGAAGGCTGATGGGAGCAGTGCCGTCGAGTTCTTCTTCGAAAGAAGTCCGTTCTGTCAAGGACTGACTGAACAACTGTATGCGCGAGGCATTGCACAGATCGTTCGTGGGCAGGACATCAACACGAATGGTCTGTTGATTGGGGCATCATCATCAGCACGATCGAGGTCTCCATACTCAGGACAGGAAACTAATGGCAGCCGGTCGACTACCTATCTAGGGCAAAACTGACCTCAAGCTCAGCGCCAGCGCCAGGCACCGGAACGAACGCAGCAGAATGTTCTAGCCCTGGAGTCATCAGCGTCCACCTCGCACAATTCTTTCGTTAATCGCCGGACACACCTAGTACATGCTCGGGACCAACAGAGGTCGCTCCAGCCAGCGACGCAATCCCCACCACGACGACGGTGAGGCCGCGTAGCATGTTCAAGTATCACGGCTACAGCCAAGCAGTCGGTCAGTGAGTACGTGACGAATAGGCTGCCGGCGTGCGCGCGAGAGCAATGGACAGAGGATTCAATGGCAACAGAAAGATACCTTCGGCTGGATGAGGTGCCCGAGGCAGAAAGAGAAGGGGGTGAGTGAATGAGCAGGACAAGTGGAAGCCTAGTTAGCAGTGCGCGCGAACGGTTCCGCGTTGAGGCTGAGCAGCTTCAAGCTGACAGTTGCAGGAGGCAGGTCTCGAGGTTGGTGGTTCACTTAAATCGAAGCACTCTGCTTGGGCGCATTCGCCAGTCCCAGATAAAGACATACTGGCTTTCTGTTCACATCAAAGAAACCACCTGTCCTCTCATGGTAGGAGAGTTGTCCTCGACTTTTGCTGTAGGACTGGAGGTGCCGTCGTGCCGCTCTCCAGAGTGCAAAGTGCAGGATCCAGGAACTTGGCGGGGCTAGGGGATGTGATGACGACCATGCGCCAATCAGGGTAAAGGGGCCCTGTCACGGCTGACGACTCCAGCCCTGTCGGGCAGGAGCTCCCCACAATTCAGGGACCTGACGTTACACGTATGTTACTCGCTAGGCAGTCGCATTGGAGCTTCAATCACCTTCAAATTCTCAACTCACCATCTTCATCGCTTCCAGGCCGCGTTACTCACATCATCCAAGGGCTGTCTGCAATATTCATATTCATATCTGATGGTGTCTATTTAATTAAATATATTTTGATCCAATTCGCATCTCGACGTCCATAATGTCTCGAAGTCGCTCAAGACCAGCAATGCAGTAACTCGTCCACGAACTTGTCTACTCCGTACCTCAAGGCAGGCAAACTCAACGCCCGCTAAAACACCACGTCCTCCAACGGGTACGTATGGTGACTCAGTTCCAGAAAGGACTTGTCCTTATGCTCATGAAAATACCGCTGCAGCGCCCGCACCTTGTCGTCGGAGAGCAGTTGATACAAGTTCCGGACGGTCTACTCCTTACCGATCCAGTAGTGCCGGACGAACATGCCACTGCGCCCAGCGCCGCCATTCTCCTCTGGCATGCCGTTGCCGCCCTGGCAGCTGATGGCCCGCAGGTCCTTGTGCACATCATAGTCGTAGCGCACGTAGTTGCCAAACGCGGCCTGCTCGTGCGCCCACTGCGCACAGCTCTCGTACTCCCCCCTCTCGGTAGGGCAGTCCAGCCAGCGCTGAAAGAGCTCCTGCGTCCTCTTGCTCTGCTGGGCGATGCTGAAGCCCGTGTTACACAATACCCAGCCCCTGGCGTCGCTGTTCTGCTCCGAGTGCGGATCCTCGGCCATGGCGATGAGCGTCTGCGGCGTGATCTCCCACAGGCTGAAGAGCCACTCGAGCGGGACCTGCACGTAGTTGAAGATGCCATCCGCGTCGAGGAAGACAAGAAAGTCGTACGTCTTGAGCGCCTCCTGCTCAATGGGCACCTTGACCCATGTCTGGTGTCGGTCCTGGTACTCGGGGGCGCGGACGAGACGATAGTTGTACCCGTGGATCAGCGCGTAGTGGAAGTGGTTGAGAATGCCAGCCGTGCGAGGCTTGTTGTTGTCTGGCGTCAGCGGCATCCCTGTGCCGAGCATTGAGCCCGTGGAGGTATCCAGCCGGGTGTCGACGTCGATGATGAGGACCTTCTTGCCCAGCGGTGCCCAGCGGCGCGCATCCTTGGGAATGTCATAGTGGCGGTCGTCGAGCGTGTCGCAATGCGTCTCGTTGAGAGGATGGATCATGCCTTGCCGGGCTTCTGGTATCGTCACGGATAAATCCTCCCCTAGCTCCGACGCGCTGAAGATGGACCACGTCCTACTGCAGATTGGTTAGCAATGGGCCCGTACATGGATGCGGTGGCAAGAGATGATATTGCGTCCGTCTGTCATGGATCGCCGTCGGGATGTGGGCGTCTCGGGTAGCAAGCATCTTCCCCCACCCACCCCTATACTAGCATGTATTGGCAGCAGACAGACATTTTGTCGGTACGCAATACCAATACGGACGCACGTATGTGTAGTGTCATCTCGGCGTAGAAACGCCGCGCAGGTCCTGGGCCTAGACCAGAAGCTTTCTTCCCGAAGGATTGCCCGGGGCGTATTTAGTATTATTGATACTACTCTCACGTTAATGCCTTTCCTACTAAGGCTCTCCTACGAGTGCCACAGGACGACGGCTCGTGACCCGAGTCCCGGACTTCAGCTTGCCCTTTTATGCTGCTATGATTAAACACGAAGTCGCAACGGCAATGGAGTGAGCTCGTGATAACCGCACCGCATTCCAGCACGTACGGAAGAAAGGGGGCAGTCTTCATTGAGTATGGCGATAACCAACAATCAGGCCAAGGGCATTCTTCATGACGAAGCCTCGCCCCCTGTCTAGACTTTGCATTCACGCAATTAGTCCATCATTGCCATACTGAGGAGAAAAATTCACAGCCCATGTGCCTGGTCCGTAGCGTCGAGTCGCAAAGCAGACGCATTATCCTACTTGAGCAAGTCTTTCAAAACCGATACGCGGGACTCGGCCACGTCGGACTCCTTGCCCATAATCTCCATGATGGCTACCATCTTCTCTATTGGTTGTCAGCTGGTGCTTTCTGCAGACTTGGCGTCGTACTCACCTATGTCGTCCCGGCCCCTTGCGTACAGTGGATCCTTGTACGCCAGCTGACGATCTCCGTCCGTCTTCTCGACTTCTTGCAGTGCGTTTCCGATGCACATTGCCTCGAGAAAGGCCCGGTGGTTGAACACCCACCAAACGCGTGCTTCCTGCTCGAGCAGCTCCCAGAGCATAAAGAAGGCCGTAATGGCGTCGTGGGCAGACTCGAGTACGAGTCTCAGGTTGACACTCGACTCAGGGCAGTCGGACGCGTGCACCAGCATCAGGTTGTGGTGGTAGTTGCTGGAGAGGAAGAGGGTCTGCCGCACGACGCGTGGCTTCTCGACAACCAGCCTCGTCAGCTGGTCTGCGTCCCAAGAGCGGAAGCTGTCGGGAAAGGACCTGTAGACGGAGCGAAATTCGCCAATTATCTTGGATTTGGCCCGTGCTGTCGGACAGATTGGCATGTCGAGTGAACGCTGCGAGCAGATTGTTTCTTGCACCAGGTTGGCGAGTGTCCACGATGCGCGAATATAGGCAATGTCCGTAGGATCACTGAGCGCAATGGAGGAGCTGTCATCCAGATCTTCCACCTTGACATCTGTGTGTGTGGCCGACGGCGGAAGCGACAAGAGAACAACCAGGAATGTATCTTGCAGCAGGACTGCCTGCCACAGCTTGCGCCTCTGCTGCTTTTCAAAGGGCGTCGCGTCTGGTGTCACAATGTTGGGATCGCGATGGAGACCCATGGCGTAGGCCTGCCGCACCAGGACTCCCGCAAACGCCCACCCATCTGAGGCGTGGTTGTCGTTGATGAGGAAGTAGGTGATCAGCACCATGGTCTGGATCGACGTGATGGACGCCGTGCTGAGGTACGAGAACATGCGCAGGGCCTGGTTGCTCGCGGAGGCGTAGAACTCGGCCGAGTGCTTGCGCTCGGATATGGTAGTTCCCGTGCCAAACTGGAATTGCGTGCCGAGCGCAAAGATGACGAGCATCAACCCAATAAAAGATGCATCTGCCATGTTCTTTGCCTCATCTGACAGCTGCCAAAAGTGTTCATACTCGGCGTAAAAGGTCTGGCGGTGGATCATGGGGTACACTGGATCAACGCACTCAAAATACCGCTCCAACAGGACATCGGCTTGGTACTTGTGAGGGAGCACAGCGACAACCTCGGCCAGGCCACCGCCGCAGGTCCAGTAGTTGGCAAACGGATGCTCGGCGCCGACACCAAAGACGTTGCTCGCCTTGGGCACCGAGTACGGGACGTGGCTGAGAAGACCCGTGGACCCTGAGACAGGTCCTCGATCTGCTAGGTTGGGAACGGGGGCTGAGGCGTAGATGCCGGGCTGGTTCTTTGGGGGCTTTGTTATGCGCCGGCCATTTGTCGCAGCCGCATTCGTCTTTCTGGCGAGAACTCTCAGTCACCGGTGATGTCTTGATACTGGGTCCAACTTACTCGATGAGATTAGCCCTCTCCGCATAGACGCAAGGCGTCTGTCTCCGCACACCTGCGAGCGATAAGTTCATGGTTCTCTCGGGAGCAAGTTGCGTCTCTACTTACAGGCTGTGCAGTGAGGACGCCCGCGGTCACACTGGAGAGCATCAGCATTGGTGTTTCGGTTGTGGTCATTGCTTCACTGACCTTGGTTTTGCGGTCGACACATTCTTGACACGACAGAGTCGGCTTGTTGCGTTTCTGCTTCTTTCGCGCATGCTCCTGGCCTCCGTCGAGCTCGAACTTGATCTCGCTGCGGAGGTAATCATCCTGCGCCCCATTCCGCTCTCCGTAGATACCGTCACTATCTGCCAAGGCATCTGGTCTTGACGGCCTCCCCATGTACGAACCAAAGTGCACCGGCTGTGTCTCTTGCGGCGACGGGAAGGAGCCCTGGCTGGTAGCCGAGCTGGGCGTCAAGACTGAGGCGGCATGACCCGGGGTGCCATAGGGGTGAGGCTGAGGCTGATGGTGAGCGGCCACTGGCACTGGCGGGAGCACGGGCTGCTGCGAGTGTGGTGGCGCGGGCTGGCTGTATAGACTGGGATACGGCTGTTGAACGCTAAGAGGTGGTGGTGGAGGTTGCTGTTGGCCATGACCGCGTCGCAAGTCCATGCTCAACAGGCCCTTCCCCGGATTGAGTAGCGATTGCCAAGGCGTGAGTGATGTGCTCCCACTTCCCAGCACCGGGAATAATCAGGCGCTGAAGGTTGTCACTTGTGCAGCTCTCGGTAAGGAGTCGGCTGCAGGACAGACCGCGGATCTGTCGGATGGGGATGCAATTGGTGCGAATGATTGGGCTGAAAAGGCCCGGTGCCTGGCTTTTCACCTTGGAGCAAGCAGTTCGTTCGGCTACCAGCTATGCCCGGCAATCAATAGTTGATGGGCGCACTGCACGGGCTGGTTGACATGTCTCGGAGCCACCGTTGGTAGTACCAAGTTCGTGGAAATAAGAGGGGAATCTTTTGAGGTTGATCCTCCATATTTGCGGAATTGGAGGCTGGATGGAGCATTGTTGGAGCCTCCAGTCCAGTCTCGGTTCCGCCTTCTACTTTCGTCACGCGCGTCTCGATGAGTGTCATTGGGTAAGGCAGGTAAGGCAGGTAAGGCAGTACTCCGTAGGGAGAGCGAGCCAGTCCCGATGCAGCTAGCGAGGACAACCGCGTACCGACATGGACCTACGTTTTCGACACTTCTCACAAGCACAGCTACTTATGTACAGTGATATCCAGATGTAGAGAGTAATGATCTTGGACACTTGTAGATGGCTCCAGATCAAGCGATTGTCCGCCAATTAGAGCTGTGGGGTGCACCATGCGCTGGTCCTCTCTTGGACAGTCCGTTTTCCTGATGCGACGTATTAATGAAGCCCTTCATCTTTTCATCAGGGGCACACACACAGAACCCAGCCAATCTTGTATTTTCAGGAGAGCGAAAGCCTTCAGTAGGCAATCTTGCTTATATTGGATTCCAGTCGGTCGCAGTTTGGCTCAATCTGGCGCCAGGGGCAGCTGGTGCTGCTGTCCTGATTGTGGTCTAGAGTAGGCTGAGCTGAAGCTCAGTAACTATCAGAATTACCGTCGCGGGGACCGCACTGGTACGGAATATACAACAGAAATAAATAGTCAGCGCTACGACACCCCCAAACTTCTTGTAGTGTGATATATTGGCGCGCTGTTGAAGTCTCAGTGGACGATGAATTGGTCGAGAACATACCCACATGCAGCCATTGCGCTGCGCCAGCAACATCATGAATCATCATGCCATGACCTCAGTTCACTACTTCGCTAGAGCTCAACCAGCCCCCACCTCCGTCCAGCACCATCTACTCTCTAAGCTCACCACCTCTCATGAGCGCCCCAATTCTCGCCTTACGACGCACATCGCAGATACGGCATCATCTCCTCCACACCACGAGTGCAATGGCCGAGACTGCCCGTTCTCCGGCGCCATGGCGCGCCAACTTCCTCGCCCACGTCAAGGACATGGACGAGCCGTCCTTCAACCTCAGCACCCTGCACCGCATTGACGACAAGACAATCGTGCCGCGGTCGCGCACCGTGATTTACAGAGGCATGTGGGCCGACATGCCCGTCAACTCCAAGAACCAGGCCGAGCTCAACCCAAAGGGGTTCGAGAGCGACATGCCCACCCTCACCAGCGACGCGCGCATGGAGAAGGTGCCCGAGATGCTACTTTCGGGACAAGATGCTGATGACAAGGAGATGATGCAAAGCGGCAAGGGCGGGCCCGTTGAGGCCGTGTTCTGGTGCTCCAAAGCGAAGACGCAGTGGCGCCTGCGAGGGCACACCTACATCATCGGTCCGGACATTGGCAGCGATGCAGTGGCACCTGTCCGCGCCGCCGTGGAGAGGCACATGCGCGGATCCGCTAGCGAATTCAGTTTTACACGCGAGCTGACGGCCCATTTTGGCAACTTGTCGCCCATGATGAGGGGGACGTTTCGAAATCCGCCACCAGGGACGCCCTTGAGCGAGACGCTGTCCGCTGGCGAGGCATTGGGCCAAATGGTGGAGGATCTGGACGACGCGGTTGCGAGGAAAAACTTTCGGGTGGTAATTATCGTGCCCGAGGAGGTTGACCAGGTGGACTTGTCCGATCCAGCGAGAGTAAGGCGGTGGAACTACCTTCATGTAGGCGAGGGCACTGCCGGGTCTTGGAAGATCACTGAGACGTGGCCGTGAGTCTGTGTCCGTGTTTGCGCCATGAAGCTCACAAGACTGAGCGAGCATAGTGGCGCGCAGTAATAAAAATTAAACAAAGTTTGCGTGGCTCATGTCGGGACTCCATCGACTGACTTACCGCGTCCTCACCTGGCGTCATGGTCGAATCTATTAGGTTCGGCGGACTGATCTGGAAGTCCATAAGGGACGGCACACGTAGAGAAGCATCGGCGCGAAATGCACATGTGCAATCTGACTGACCCCATTATTTAATTATGGTGTCCAGTCTGGCGCATAGAGAACGCTTTATCCGTAGCATGTGATGAATCTTCCCTATAATCCTATAATCAGGGCCGTCACGTCCAGGGCTTGGAGACGATTTTGCGCTACGTAACGTTACCGCAGCCTCCATTGCAGGGGATAGGCCAGGTCTGGTTGTGAATTGATGATCAGCCTTTAGGAGTACGTAGGAACCCCATCGGCACTGCAAGGTGACTGAGATGCCGTCGCAAGGGCGATCTGCCAAGGCCATATCATCGTCTCGGCAGCTCATCCTTCCGCGCCACCCACGTTTAAGCATTAAGGTTAAATGTGGTGACGATCAGGGTTCCGATCACAGGGCCGGACCAATCTGAAGCTGTCGTCTCTGAGACCGTGATGCTGACACCTGTAGGCCTGAGTCAGGGGAGAGGGTCTCGCCAACCACATGTGATAATCTGCGTTCTCTCAAGCTTTGTCTCGTCTCGTGTCAGTCTGGTACTTGGCCATATTAGTACATGTAGGGTCCATGACACTACTGCAGGCTGGAATTGGCTACCGTAGCCTGGAGGACTATCACCAGAGTCCACAGTCCAGACTGGCGCTTGTGGAAACAAGCTTCGATGCCCAGAGCGGCTGCATGTTTGGTTTACTCCATGTTGAGAAACCACCTACCCATCTCGCGTACGGTCGATCCCTGCGTCGGCTACTCGCCCGGCCGTCTTGGCTTCCGTCGAGGTAGCATTGCTTGCCTCTTTCGTACATGTACTCGACTATCTACATACCAAAGGTCACTTACCTTATCTTTGTCATCTCCGTGATGCCCATGATATGGGTGACATGGGTGACGTGGGCGTCGGGGGCGTCGGGGGCGTCGCGAACCGGGATCTCAGTTGCTTCTCCAGGCGCGCTAGTTCAATGTGGACTGGATGAAGGCGCGCGAATGATGAGGACCAGATGCCATGGTCATTGAAGTGCGTAGATGAGAGCACAGGAGAGTTCACGGGTATAAGATGCCAGAATGAGCCCGCCACTGCAATTCTGAGTCCAATCCTCATCCATCTCAGTCCTAACTCAAGCCAAAAAATCTCCTGCTCCTATCACTCGACCGTACACACAAGCCCGTACCTTAATCCGCCAATATGAAGACTGCTGCTGTTCTCACCACGGCCCTCGCTGCCGCCACCCAGGCCGTCCCTATCCTCAACTTGGGCAATGGCAGGGGCAACAAGGGCGGGCTCCTCGGCGGGCTCTTGGACCTGGACCTCGACCTTGGCTCGGGACTCAATCTCGACCTCGGGAAGGGTGATCTGAACCTCGGCGACCTGGACGTGGATCTCGACCTCGACCTCGACCTTGCCCTCGGCGGCAAGAAGGGCAAGTACTTCACCTCCGCCTACCAGGTGATCGCCACCCCCGACCAGGTCGTCAACACGATGAATGAGAAGACGGGCGGCCTCGAGGGTACAAAAGGCCTTTACACATTCGGCATCAACTCGAACAAGGATGTCATCTGCTACAAGATCGTCATCACGGGGTTTGAGGGCGAGTATCAGTCGTCCGCTAAGACGGCTACCCACGTCCACCAGGCGGACAAGGGCATGTCCGGCCCTCCTCGGTACGTCTGGCCCTTGCTTCCAGGTTGACCGAATCAAAATGATTGACAGTGCCTTTTGCAGGATTACCTTCCCCGATCCTCAGGGCGACAAGGTCCGCGTGTCCAAGGGCTGCCTCCAGGGACCTTTCACGACGGGCATCATTGTCGATGGCCAGGACACTGGGAGGGGATTCACGCTCAAGCAAATTGAGGAGAATCCTTCAAACTTCAACGCCGACGTGCACTCGTCCCTGGCCGTGCCAGGCGCTGTCCGTGGCCAGTTCAAGCACTAAGCATGATCCTGCAATGAAATTGGAGTCTGGGAGGGGATTGTTATATATTTGAGAACGTACCTTACGACTAGTCTGTAATGCTAATCACTCACTACCAATGCAGATTGTCTCCCAATCGTTTGATGTATTCACGTAGCCTTGGGAACACATTTTCAGGTTGAGTCCCGGCAAATTGCCAAGTAAGCGTATTTAACTATCTCGCGGGTCGAATGAATGAGTTCCGTAAACAGGACCTTTGTGGCTCCTCTCGTTGAAATAGAGGAGCATGTGGATGATGAATCACGATCAGGTCCAGCGGAAAATACATATGAATGATCGACGGCACACTGTGCCAGTGCTAACAAGTTGAATCGCCACTCATGTCTCGGAGTCCAGCCTGAGGCAGGTGCAGAGCACGAAACCTTCCTCCTGCAGAAGGTTGGTGCACGTGATGTGCCGAGCAACTTTGCTCATCAACAAGCGTACTTGTAGCTAGGTACGTACTTGCGTAGAAATGAACGAAAACAAGTCTCATGTTTGGGATTGGGCTTCAAACAGGCGGTGTCGAGTATTGCGTCCCCCGCTCTTGAGCTGCAGGTTGCACTTGTGGAAGATCATCAATATGCGTCGGAGATGGACCAGTGAAACCGTCCAACCGTGCTCCGCGCGTCTTTATTAGCGACGGACGCGCAGGCCGTCATCATAGGGCCCTGGCGAATCGACAAATCAGAGGCCCCTAGCCTGATGGCCTTTAGGCCAGGTAGTGCGCCGGGGGATCAATGTCTGCAGCCGTAAACACGGATGCTATGAGAGGATCATGCGCGTGAGCCCGTTCCGTGCCGCCTTTTTCAGTGTCGTCTGGAATGTTCAGGCTTGAGTCGCTGGACTCGTGCGTTGCAGTCGTTATTGCAGGTGTGGATTGGCTGGGACGTAGGCTTCCAATAATATCATGCATGAGACACATGGGCGAAGGTACCAACAAATGTGGGGGATCGAGCTGTGTTGTTGATCAAGCTACTCTGTACGTGCGTATCAACTAATTAGTACCTTGGGTAGATCTCGTATAATTAGTTACTAATTAGTTGGTGCTCACCTAGCAAAATATGTGCTCACTCGACGAAGATATGAAATTGACGCTCGGCCAGCCTCGCTTGAAGATACGTTGTCTGGCGGTCTGATTTCGGAAGAGATACAGTGCTCACTGCTCAGCCCGGAATTCCAAATACTACCGTAATTAGTGAGGCACGACATGGAGATCATTGCCGGGGATGGGGCGGGCCACCAGCCCCTGTCGCTTGGCAGTGGGAAACACGCAGTCTGACAGGCACACCAGTGACCAGACCTCGATCTCGCATCTCGTTGCGTGTGCCGTGCTGACAGCGGATGGCTGCTTCGAGCCTGGTGCTCAGTCATATTAAACTGGATTGATTAACGATTAACCACTCCCACAGCTGCCGCTCGCCCGTGCAGTGTGTTGGCACGGGCACAGTGCATCCATCCTGCAGCAGCATGAGCACGGCTGGGAATTAGGCACCCCTGATAATAGTACCGTTCAAGTCCGTACGTACCTATAGGTCATACGACTTCCACTTTCATCACTGCTGCAGGGAAACGAACAAGGCCATGTACTGACTGGAGCCCACAAGTTCATGCCCACCGCGGACCGCAGCGGCAGGCGTCACTTTGAGTCCGTGACAGCAGACACTCCCTCCCTCCCTCGCTGCGTCTCAAAAATCTGCCGTTGCCCACATCCATCCATCTGTCCATCCCGCTGCTTCCTACATTCGACGTCTCGCTCTTTTTGCCTGCCTCACCAGACCGCGTCAATTATCGAGCTCGCCCCTTTACTTACGCCGCCATTGGCACATGTGCGACTGATCTCTTGGCTGGGCCACCCAACAGCCACATCGCATACCGAAGATTGCCAATTCGAGCAAGGCCCGGCACACAATCGACTTGTCCAGATCCCACAGGGACAATCATGGTCTCTACTTGAAGTCCGCTGGCACCCTTCCCCGACGTTTTCGCCCAGACTCGAATACCAACGTGTGCACGCACGACCGCCCTTTGAGATTGTTGGTGGTCGACCAACCGTCCACATCCCCCGATCGAAGACGACCAACGACCCGTCCGTCGCATGGGATCCTGAGGGCGAGCTGCATGTTGGTCCCTCGTCCCTCGCGACCCGAAGCGACACCCCAGACCGCACAGCACAGCTGCCTTCTTCTTCGCAGAGAGTTGGGGGTGCTCGCACCTGCTCTGTGAAATCCACAGGGCAAGCCAGCTGATAATCTACCATCGAAAACGCCGCTCGGACACCGGAATACCATGTGCGAAATGGCAATGGACGCGCTCAAACACATAATCGGCAACGTGCCGTATTGGCTCGACAGATTGGAAGAATTGAGCGGCCAGATTGAGAAGCGACAGCTGGAGTTGGCAGCCATTGCGACATCTACAGAGCCGAGGCCGCCCGGGCCCAGATCTCTGAGGAACAAGGGCTCTACGGAGTCGCTCAAACCCGCGAATGATGGCCCATCCATGATCCCCGACACGGAGGCGGCCAGCCCAGCTCCTCGACGCCCAATGTCAGGTGGCCCTCAAGGCGTCACACAGCCCCCCCCTGAAGGTCCAGCCGACACTGCTGCCGCTGGGCCTCCCGGCGGCCGACTAGGTGATGGGGCGACCGCGAAGAAGAGGCAAAGGTCAGCTTCCACGTTCGCAGTGGACGATGCGCCGCACGTCTTTCGAACGAGGAAGATGATCATTGTTTACTACGACAGCTACGTGCAGCGCTTCTTCGACGACCTTGTACGGTTCATCTCGTCGAGCAGGAACATGATGCGCAAGGCCAAGATGGCAGCCAGAGTGGCGCAAATCAAGAAGATGGCAGAGATGGACATGTCCTCGACAGATGGGCGAGACGATGATGGCGAGTCCCTGCCTTCTCTTCGGTATCTGAGCTCTCGTCGCATGCGCCCAGGACGCGCTGGGCCCGGCTCCCTCGGCGGAGAGGAGCAGCCCGATGCCTATAGTCACCTGGACAAAGGCCTTGAATTCATCCAGTGCACCTGCGAGCACGGCGCACACCAGTTCCTGCGCGACGCGGACTGCAAGGACGAGATCGCCAAGATCGGGATGAAGCTGCGTGATGTTCTCGACATGGCGCAGAAGGAAATGGACAGAGTCCTGGCGGAGGAACCGGAGCTCGCCAGGGAAACCAGCGAGGTGGATAGGACAAAGTCCTGCAGGCCCATCAGCGTTCGTCGAGAGCTGTCGGCACAACACAAGGAAGGACTGGTCACCTCAGAGAATGCCTCGAGCAAGCTCGATGCTGCCACCTCAGCGCGATCCCAGAGCTCCTTCATCCAGCCCGCCACAAAGCCACTGGCAACTATCGAGTTGGAGCCGGATGAGGGTATAGATGTCGAATTGGAGATGCCCAAGTTGCAGTACAGGTCTACGCGACATTTGCGTGCTCCACGCGTACACTATGTGTCGAACTGCACATAGGCCCTTTCGCTCAAAACAGCAATTGTCTTTACGCATACGGCGACAAGCCGACGGAGTCTTTGGGGAGAACATTTGAATTTATTTTTTGTGGCATTGCCAGCGTCTTGCATGATCTGGGGTTGGAAACTAACGGTCGGGCGAGCATATTTAGGAAAACGTAGCTTGACTGGGCCTTCATTTTAGCGATTGATTTGCAGAGTATGGTTCGCAAGCTGGTCTGGATTATGATTGAATGACTACTATCGAATGATGTATGCCACTATAATGGTGAATGTTTGACGCAGCATGTTATACCTTGTTCTTGTGTTTGGATGGTGCCGGTGCTGTGGGTAGCAATGATTAGCATCTCGACGGGGCAGGGCCACCTTTAACTATGACGTCCAGGGTCCGGGTCCAGCCAGCTACCACCAACTTACCTTATCACCTACTGTTTTCCGACGCGTACACCAACCGACGGCGCCAGGACCGGAGCCGGCGCATCTTCTTCCTTTCACGCCCAATAGATTGACATTGTCGGTTATCGAAGCGCGACACCATGACGGAGGCCTTGCGGCATAGGCCTGGCATCTAGACACCACACCCAAGCCACCGCATAGCGAGCTCTCACAATGGGCCAGGGCTTCTCCTTAGCTACGCCGGCTGCCGGATCGACGGGCATCGACATTGCGCAGCTCAGCGACGTGCAATATGAGCGCAGCGTCGGCAACGCCCGCTTCATGAAGGGCATCCGTGGTCGCACCGAGAACGGGGTCGTGCTGGTCAAGGTGCTGGTGAAGCCATACGCCGAGGTGAAGCTGGACGAGCACAAGAGGAGGCTCATCGGTCAGTCTTTTCCGTCCCCTCCACCCGGAAACTTCTAACGTGCCCAGAACAGCGGAAAGCCCTCGCCGACGTGCCCAACGCGCTCGCCTTCCAGCGCATCATCGAAACCGAGACCAACGGCTACCTCGTCCGCCAGTATCTCTACACCTCGCTCTACGACCGCCTCAGCACCCGCCCGTTCCTCGAGGACATTGAGAAGAAATGGCTGGCCTTTCAGCTCCTGTGCGCCCTGCGCGACTCGCACGCCCGCGACATCTACCACGGCGACATAAAGGCGCAGAATGTGCTTGTGACGTCCTGGAACTGGCTCTACCTGACCGACTTCTCGTCCGCCTTCAAGCCCGTCATGCTGCCCGACGACAACCCCGGCGACTTCTCCTACTTCTTCGACTCTTCGGGGCGGCGCACCTGCTACATTGCGCCGGAACGCTTCTACGCCTCGGGGGAGACACCGCCGCAGAAGTCCAAGATGACGTGGGCCATGGACATTTTCAGCGCGGGCTGCGTGATCGCCCAAATGTTCCTCGAGTCTGAGATCTTCAGCCTTGCGCAGCTGTACAAGTACAGGAGGGGCGAGTACGACCCGGTCATCACGCATCTCGGTGTCATCGCGGACAAGGACGTTCGGGAGATGATTGCGCACATGATCCAGCTCGATCCGGAGAAGCGGTATTCGGCAGACCAGT